AGTGGTGGGGAAATAAGGTCCCTGCTCCTTTAATTGCATAAGATACCAACTTCGTGGCCATGAGACCAAGCTATGAATCAAGACGAAACTCTGAGTTCAAATCTTGCCTCTGCTATGAACGGGGACAGAGGGTGGCCCTTGGGGTGGAACTGTCGTCACGCCACTCCTTGGTGTGTGGAGTGCTACAGGGTGTGATACTCTCCCCAATGCTTTTCAACATCTTTATGTGCCCCCTCACTCAGCTTGCCCGGAGTTTTGGTTGGGCTGCCATCTGTTGATGGACGGCCATCCTGACTCGGCCCCAGACACACTGACCAGATGTTTTGAAGCTGTGGCTGGATGGTTACGTGGGAGCCGGTTGAAGCTAAATCCTTCGAAGACAGAGGTCCTTTGGCTGGGTCGGGATGATATGGGATGGGGGGGGGGCAACTCCCATCTCTTGCGGGGGTGCAATTAGTGCCAGCATTGTCCGTTAAGAGTTTGGGTGTAATCTTCGACACCTACCTTTTGATGGAGGCGCAGATTGCAGCTATAACAAAGGCAGCATTTTTTCATCTCCACCAAGCTAAGCAGTTGGCTCCTTCACTCTCTCTCCCTGACCTAGCCACGCCATGGGATCACATTCACCCGGTGCTATACCAGCTGCACTGGCTCCCGGTGGAGTACAGGATCAGGTTTAAGGTGCTGGTTTTGACCTTTAAAGCCCTATACAGCCTAGGACCCTCGTACCTACGGGACCGCCTCTCCTGGTATGTTCCATGGAGGACCTTATGGTCTTCAAATAAAAACATCTTGGAGGTCCCAGGCCACAGGGAGGCTAGGCTGGCCTCAACCAGAGCCAGGTCTTTTTCGACCATAGCCCCGATCTGGTTCAACGCTCTGTCACAAGAGACTAGGGCCCTGCTGGACTTGACAACTTTCTGCAGGGCCTGCAAGACAGAGCTGTTCCACCAGGCCTTTGGCCAAGACACAGTCTGACCCCCTCCTTTGGTAATCCTCACAGAACTCTAGCCCAATGGTTACCATTAATTTGATTCTGAATTGATTCTAGAATGTATTTCAATTAATTGAATGTGATTTTATGTAAACTGTGCTATTTTTACTGTTGTTAGTCACTCTGAGCCCAGCTTTGGCTGGGGAGAGCGGGATAGAAATAAAATGTTGTTGTTGTTGTTGTTGTTGTTGCTGCTGCTGCTGCTGCTGCTGCTGTTGTTGCTGTTGTTGTTGCAAGCTGGCCTCCTGTACACCACTGCTTCTCAACCTCACCATCCTTCATCTGTGATATGGAGATGATGATGATGATGATATTTGTATACCACCCTATCCCCGAAGGTTTCAGATATAATGATGCTTGCCTTGCATTTTGAGGCCGTTCGTCTCCTGAGCTGACACATATAAGGTGCATTGAGTGCTCAGACACTATACATGCGGTTCATGTCCTGCATTTAAGTGCCATTCACTTGAATTAAACTTAAGTGGGATAGGAATGGCTGGATGAGTAAATAAAACTTGGTCACCCAAAGGGATGCTTCTAGGTGGCCCACAAGCAGGGCCATGGAGGCGGTAGTCCTCCCTGTTTGCCCCCAGCATCTTGTAGGCAGCTGGAGGCAGACTGTGTCTGGGTATGGAGAGCTTGTTTAGATGGACCAGGAGATCCATCTGGTCCTCTCTGAGTTTCATCTGCAGGGGAGGGGCATTGCCCATCCCCTAAGTGGTGGTGTCTTGACTTGGGAATACACCTTCCAACTGACTCATTTAACCAGCAGGACAACCCTTTGAGGTGGGTTAGGCTGACAGAGGCAGTGGCTGACTACCAAGATAACACACTGTAAGCCTCATGCTGCGTGAGGATTTGAACGCAGCTCTCTTTTAAGTTCTAGTCCAATATTCTAACCACTATGCCACATTGACTCTCTACTGCTTAGCAACACCAGCCCCATAAAAGGCTGTGGGGATACCAGCAGAGGAGTGTGGTGGAATGGTTAGAGCATGGATGGCAAGCCCCTGTGGTCCTCCAGTTTTTGCTGGACTCCCAAAAGCTAGGAAGGACTCTATGAATTGAAAGCAGAGATGTTGTATATGCCTTTGTTATCCAAGAAAATATTTTACTATCTATCTATTGGTGTGGTGTGAGCAAACTTTTATTCTGAAAGTGTGGCCCAGGTAAAAAGTTTGAGAACAACTGGAGAACAACTGTTCTAGTGTATAGTAGATTGGTTTGTTTGTTTTTAAATTGTGCTAATACTTGATGTTTATATGCCCTGACCTGAAATTCATGCTTTGGATGATTACACAGTTTAGACATCTTCAGAACAAATAAATGGTCACATTTTTGTGGGACTTAGTATTTTTTGCACATGTATCCTACTACCTTGGATTCTTGAGTCATCTGATGGGCATCTTTACTAAAAAGTACATAACAAATAAAGGGACGCGGGTGGCGCTGTGGGTAAAACCTCAGTGCCTAGGACTTGCCGATCATCAGGTCGGCAGTTCGAATCCCCGCGGCGGGGTGCGCTCCCGTTGCTTGGTCCCAGCACCTGCCCACCTAGCAGTTTGAAAGCACCCCCGGGTGCAAGTAGATAAACAGGGACCGCTTACTAGCGGGAAGGTAAACGGTGTTTCCGTGTGCTGCGCTGGCTCACCAGATGCAGCTTGTCATGCTGGCCATGTGACCTGAAAGTGTCTTCGGACAGCGCTGGCCCCCGGCCTCTTGAGTGAGATGGGCACACAACCCTAGAGTCGGACACGACTGGCCCGTACGGGCAGGGGTACCTTTACTTTACATAACAAATAAAGAGTAGCTTAGCACCCGAGATTCTCACAGTGGTGTTTCAGATGCCTCTGTTGGGGCAGGGGGAGCCCACAAAGAGGCTCATCCATGAAAGCCAATTTTATGACATTTATAGCCCACTTTCCCTCCCAGGGATGCGGGTGGCGCTGTGGTCTAAACCACAGAGCCTAGGACTTGCTGATCAGATGGTTGGCAGTTCTTGCTCGGTCCCTGCTCCTGCCAGCCTAGCAGTTCGAAAGCACGTCAAAGTGCAAGTAGATAAATAGGTAGCGCTGCAGTGGAAAGGTAAACGGCGTTTCCGTGTGCTGCTCTGGTTCGCCAGAAGTGGCTTAGTCATGCTGGCCACATGACCCGGAAGCTGTACGCCGGCTCCCTCAGCCATAAAGCGAGACGAGCGCTGCAACCCCAGAGTCGGCCATGACTGGACCTAATGGTCAGGGGTCCCTTTACCTTTTTATCTTCCCTCCCAGGAGGGCTAGGCAGCTCTTCGCTTCCTCACAACAGCCCTGTGAGGCAGGTTAGGCTGAAAGACAGCAGTGGGCACAACAGCACCCAGAGAACTCCCTAGATGGCCTTGGATTTGAACTTGGATCCCACTCCTTCTTCCTAGGCTGACGCTCTAACCTAGGAATACGTACAACCTCCATCAACTTTGTTGGACTGGTCATGTTGTTCAGATGCCTGATTATCATCTTCCAAAGCAACTACTCTATTCCCAACTTAAAATCGGAAAGCGAAATGCAGGTGGACAACAAAAGCGGTTTAAAAATGCTCTCCAGGCAAATCTTTAAAAAATGCAGTACAGTGGACGTTCGGGTTGCAAACGTGATCCATGCGGGAGGAATGTTTGCAACCCGCAGCGTTCGCAACCCGCAGCGTTTGCAACCTGCAGTACCGCGCGTGTGCATGCACGGGTTGCAATTCAGCGCTTCTGCACATGGGCAAAGCGCGATTTAGTGCTGTGCATGCGCGATCGCTGAAACCCGGAAGTAACCTGTTCCAGTACTTCCAGGTTTCGGCGCGTCCATAACCCGAAAAAACGCAACCTGAAGCATCTGTAACCTGAGGTATGCCTGTATAAGCATGGGAAATTGGGAAACACTGTCCTGTGAGCACTCTAGTTGGGGAATATCCTTTACCAATGTGTATTGCACTTTGAAGAAGCATGAACTCAGGACAAAAGGAAGAAATGAGATGATGATGATGATGATGATGATGATGATAATACCCTGCCCATCTGGCTGGGTTTCCCAAGCCATGCTAAGAGGAAGGCATGTTTGGCAGACTCTCACTGTGATCAGCTCCCACACGGAAACCTATGTCCCCTCTGTGGAAGAAGGTGTGGATCCAGAATTGGCCTCCACAGTCACTTATGGACTCACCATTAAGACCGTGTTGATGGAAGACAATCTTACTTGGCTATGAAGGATCGCAGCAGCAGCAGAAGAAGAAGAAGAAGAAGACAACCTCCACCAATCCTAACCATTGTGTGCCACCCTGAGCTCCTTGAAGAAAGGGTAGGATGGCAATGAATGGAATCTATCGGATTTCCTTACCCATATATGCCCACTTGACCGCTTTGATTGCCAGAATGGGTACTGTTATACCTGCTGCACCCATTCCGTATTGCAAGTACTCAGTCTTTTAGTGTGGCAGCACCTGTACACTTTGGAACTCCCTGCCTGTTGATGGTGCTTTCACCTTACTCTTTGTGGCGCCTGCTAAAAACATACTCGTTTAAAACAATAAACAATAGACTAAAACAGATTAAAACATCTGGGCAGCCTTGTTTAAACAAGAATGCTTTTAGCAGAATGTTTAAGAAAATGTAACTTTCTGAAAGTTTTAAATTGCTGTTGTTAGTTTTTCCTTATTGTTGATTTATCTTTTTTGTAAGTTGCTTCGATGTTTGTGTGCTGTTGTTGCTGTTTTAACAGTCAAATTTTATGAAACAGACACATTAGCACATAAATCGGCGGTAGCCTGCGCCTGCACAGAGAGTTTCCACCGACCTGCCATCCCCACGCGTGGGGCGCTGATACTTCCCAGGAAGCCCGGTCCAAGCTGACTTGGCAGCTTTGCTAAGAGGAGGAGGAGGAGGAGGAGGAGGAGGAGGAGGAGGAGGAGACTCTACCCTACCTGCCCAGTCAGGTCCCGCCCCGCCTTCCTTCTTTGGCTGCGCCAGCCTCTTAAGCCGCCCGGTCAGGAAGGAGGAGGAGCTGAGCTTCGGAGCAGCGGCGGAGAACAGGCGAGGCGCATCAGCTCCTGTTTTCGGTTTGCAGCTCCGGTTTTCGGTTTGCCCAAGCCGCGAGATGGGCAGCGGCGGGACCAAGAAGGTGGCGGTGGTTCTAGGCGGTCTGGGCTTGGCGGCGTTCGCGGGCCTCCTGCTCCTCTGCCTGCCAACCAAGGACCTGCGGGAGCCTCCCGCTTTCAAGGTAGGTAGCGCGCGCGCAGCGCCCGGCATAATCCAGACGCCCGGCGTAGCCTCCGCTGCAGCTGGCGTGGAGGTGGTGGGAAGATACCTGAATCGGGGCACAGCTCTGTCTCCTCCAGGAAAAAGAGCATGTGCAGAGGCACTCAGCTTTGCAAACTGAGCGGGCTAGGGGCAGCGTTCTGCAGCAGAGCATCTGCCTTATGCGCGGCGGGTCGCAGGCGCAGTTATTGGCATCTCCCAACAGAACTGGCAGCCTCCCTCGTCTAAGAACTTGGAGAGCTTCCGCCAGCCAGAGCTGGCACTGGCAGCGCTAAGCGCGGCGGACCAGTGGCCTGAACCCAGTATAAGGCGGCTTCCTAGAGTTCCATTCTGAACCAGCTCTTCATTCAGAACAATGGGGACCGGAGCCTTATTTTGGTAGGGGAAGGGCTGTAGGTCAGCCTCAGAGCGCTCGCTTCGCGCGCAGGAAGTTCCTCGTCCGGTCCTTGGCGTTTCCAACGGGAGTCACACGGAGCTTCTGCCAGTCAGTGTCAGAGGACCAGTTCCTCAAACAGGGAGATGGGATGGGATGTCGTTTCTAACTTCCACTTTTCTGCGGGTGGGGGCAGCGCTTCTCCCCGCCTCGAGTTTCCGAACCCATTTAATGACCTCCAGTTCAAGTCCGAACTCTTGAGCTGAAAGCAAACCAACTTAAATGTTTTATCCAATTGAAGAGTTCAGAAGATGAAATAAAAGGGCCCCATCTAGGATGCAAAGTTGGGAGAGAGCTCAGTGTATTACACAGTTTCCATACGAACCTCTTCATCTTTCTGTTCAAAAGTTGTGAAAAAGTATTTCCAGTTTGTTTTTCGTTGGGGGGGGGTGTGCGCGCGCGTGTTGAGAGTCATTCGGGACAACGCTCAAATTTTCTGTTATCCTTATTGCTGTTTATTAATTAGCCAACCCCTCATGCTAAGGTTGGCGGGTTACAGCATTAAAACCAATATTTAAAACAACTTAAACTCTTAAAGCAACTTGCAACCATAAAAATATGTTGGGTCCTAAAAACACGCGCCTCGAGTGTTAAAAGCGTTGGTCTTTCATAGGCGTGGGGACGTCTCCTTGCTTTGCGTTCTATTGTCGCGGCGTTTAAGGGTTTGTCGATTTAGATGCGTTTTCCAGGTGGTTTGCTTGCAGGCGGGCAGGGTTAATGGGGTTGAGGAGGGAAATGGGTCGCTAGGGAGAGGGGATCACTGACTTAGCATCTGCCGGGTGCAATTGGAAGTTCATCCCCACTCCCGAAAATTGACATTGATCTTGTTCTTGAACGGGTGGTGGAGGAAGGGCAGGCTCCTCCTGGGCAGTTTAAAGTTTAGCTTTCTGGTGAACAAGTCCAGCTTTTTGCACTGTAATTCAATGGTAGCAATTTTTAGGAGTTTCGTTGGAACCCAGGGCTGAGCTCCAGGGCTGAATCCAATCTCTCTTCATGAAGCGCAACGAAGGATGCGCAACAGAAGGGCTTAAGGCCCTGTCTGTTCTTGACTCTGGCGCCACCTATTGTTGGTCTCTCTGCTTTCTGGCTTTCTGAAAGTTTTAAACTGCTGCTATTAGTTTTTCTTATTGATGATTTTATAATATTGTATTTTTTGTAAGCTGTTTTGAGATTTGGTTGTTGCTTTAACAGTCAAGTGGCAGACAATTTTTCTGGGTGGCCAGCCACCATACATGAGAAGTGGTGGCTAAAAATGTAACAGTAGCTTTGAGCACATCCAAAGTGCCACCCTGCTTACTCATGCTCTGCTTATTAATTTTTTTATCACCTGTGCTTTAATATTCTTCTGAGATTTTGTACTTAGCAGAGATGACAAAGTTAACGTGTTTAATTAAAGAAAAATATTTACTGACATTTATTCAAGACTGGAAACTTCTTATGGACTTTTTGTATGAAAGAGAAAATGCTTGTAATATCTGAATTTGAAGATTTAAAAAATGGTTTATAGAAGATACAATGGTTGGAAATTAATGAGTAAAAACTATATTTACCTGCAGGACAGAGAACCGGGAGTCTTTTTCAGAGAGTATTTCTTTCCCTTTTCACTTTCTTCTTTCATTTATTTCCCTTTCCCCTTTTTTCTTCTTCTTTATTCCTTTTTAGAGTAAACATTTATTTCAGTGTATTATTAAAAAGATATTCTGTACTGGGTATGAACTTTTGTATATCTTTGGGCAAGTATCAATAAATATAATTAAATGGGGAGAGGAAAAATGTTTTGAGATTGTTTGCTTACATCTTTCATTTTCTTCATTTTCAGCTTTTTGGCTATAACCTGTATTTGGCTGACCAATAAAAGTTGTTGTTGTTGAATAACCACACCCAACCTGCAACCCTCTAAAATCAGATGCTAATATTTCTGAATGTGACAGAATAATTTGAGTACATGATTGAATGCCTATAATCTCTCTGTTGTATTAATTAAATACTTTGTGTTATGTATGTGGGGGGAGGCGAGGGTCCTGGATGGCTTTCCTGGGTGGTAAAACTGGGGTATGTCCAGGGAGCAAATCATCTTCAGTGACAAGAACTCTGAATTGGTACCTTATTTATCAGCACCTATAACACACACAAAAACCCATGGTACAAATCTTTCAGATTGCACATCACACTTTTTCAAAGCAGAAGGGGTTAAAATGAAGTAAAAGACCATGCATTGTCTCCAGCAAAGTGCCACTGAATGTGCCCATTAATCTAGCATTGGATATTACCCATCTTTACATCTCCTGGTTAATATTAACAAGCTGAGATATTAACAAGAACAACTTCAGAGTGAGTGTTATTTTAAGAAACAGTGGAAGGAATAAAAAGGGATTGCTGGGTGGACTTAAGGACCCCCTGACCTTGTCCAGCCACCCCTTTTGAAATCAATTATCAACAATTTGAAGGAGGTGTGTGGGGGGGGAATCTGCTAAGAAATATTAATGGACTGGATGACAATGCACTTTCTTGCTATCCCTGCAAGGCCTTCAGGGCCTTTGGCATCTGGTCAGGGAGACACAGGTCAACTCATTTAGTTGCAAAGCCTGCTAGGAAAATTTAATGTCCTGTTTTTGGGGAACCCAGTACTGTTGGCCTCCAGTTCCCATCAGCCAGAACTGCCAATGGTCAGGGATGATGGAGTTGTAGTCTGAATGGCCTCAGGTGTTCCTCACACCTGGCCTAGTGGGCAGCTTCGCCCTGTGGTAGAAAAATCCCAGTTTATCACACAGCAGCTCTTTCAAGACCTTTCAGTGGACCAGGGTTTGCACCTGACCCGCCCATCTCAGAAACCAACACCCTCCCAATACTGGCATGGAGTAACGGTCACAATCTTTCTTCCTTTCTACCTCCCTGGAGAGAAAGGCAATCAGTCAGCTCAAGCGCTCCAAAACACTTTAAGAATGCAAGGGTCATCTGTTTAGATCAGGGAGGGCAAGGACTTTGCTGGCATAGAACATCGGCCTGGCATGCACAAGAGCCCACGTCTAAGGCCTAAGACCACCTTGGGAAGCTGCTGACAGTCGGAGGAGGCTGGATGGACAAAAGGTCTAAAAGGCAGTGTTTGATGTTTAGAACAAGCAATCTGTTTGCTGGAAATAATCCCAGTTTCCGTGCCTCCCTTTTTATGGTGGTTTATTGGATTCGTGTGAGGTATCTTCTTGGGCAGTTTGTAGTTTCTGCTTTGGAGAGATGCCTGATTTTTTTTTTTTTAAAAAAGGCAATAGGAACCATCTTCAAATATTTGGAATGCTGTTCTCTCTTGTCTCTTGTTCCAGAGGATAAGAACCCAGATTAGTGGGTGCACATTGCAAGAAAAAAGGCTTTGAACGAAGTGGTAGGCAGTGGAACAGAATGTGGTTTCTCTTCACTGGAGGTTTTAAAGCAGAGGTTAGATGGCCTCCTTACAGGTTTGTTGTATGAGAAGATTTCCTGCATTAAAGGGGTGTGGATTGTACTAGACCCAGGAGCTTAGCCCCTCATCCATAGCTCCACCCCTCTCTTTTCACAAAACAGTGGTACCTCAGGTTACAGACGCTTCAGGTTACAGACTCCGCTAACCCAGAAATAGTACCTCGGGTTAAGAACTTTTCCTTAGGATGTGAACAGAAATTGCGCAGCGGCAGCAGCGGGAGGGCCCATTAGCTAAAGTGGTACCTCAGGTTAGGAACGGACCTCCAGAACAAATTAAGTTCTTAACCTGAGGTACCACTCTATACAGTGGTACCTCGTGTTAAGTACTTAATTCGTTCCGGAGGTCCGTTCTTAACCTGAAACTGTTCTTAGCCTGAAGCACCACTTTAGCTAATGGGGCCTCCCGCTGCTGCTCTCCGCCGCCGGAGCACGATTTCTGTTCTTATCCTGAAGCAAAGTTCTTAACCCGAGGTACTATTTCTGGGTTAGCGGAGTCTGTAACCTGAAGCATATGTAACCCGAGGTACCACTGTACACTCATCAAGGTTCTGCTTGCTCCTTTCATATCTATCAACAACAACAACACAATAGCAAATATAACAACATAAGGAACAACAGTAGCATTTCAGTACTATAAATACTACAAGATTGCATTAATCTTTTCTCACAGAGTTGGTCTTGCTCCTTGGGAACCTCTTCCTTGAACCTTTTCCATCTAGGCATCTGGGCTGGCCCTTTTTTGGGTGCTGAGCACCATGCCAGACAGGCAAGATGCCTTCCATATGATCGCAAATTTCCAGTTACGTTTCGGGCCTATCTGTGTTCCCATCAGCAGGGCAGGTGCAATATCTGCTGTCAGGGAAGATGAGGTGAGGTTAGAGCGGGGAAGCCCTCTTGTGTCATCCACACTGTGGAAACTGTTGCCAAACATGCCTCGTTCCACGTGCATTCCTGCCATAAATAAACACAGGGCAGTGTAGGAGTTCTCCGCCTACCCTCCTGGTTTTTGTTTTTGTTTAAATTGTTTGGGGCACTGCTCCTTATGCCCTCCCCAGTGGAAAGGAGGCAAGAGAGAAAGGTATCCCAGCTATTTGGCAACAAGGATCTATTGTGAAATGGCAATGTGAGCTTAGGAAATGAAGTGGCACATTTAGGCAAGGTCAGGTTAAACATTAAGAATATATATACTTGCTGGTGCAGTTTGCAAATGGAGCGAGGCTGTGTGGAGAGATTGCGAAAGAGACTTCCTTGTAGTCGTCGTTTTCTTCTTTGACCGCATTTTTGCACCATGGAAATCTCATACTGTATCTTCCTTGTAGGGCACATACCAGACATGCATAAATTTAAGCAGATCTGCTAGCATTTCCTTTTGTTTATCTCACAGCCCTGCATCGTGATGGAGGCCAATTAGGTGGCTTTCAATGTAGAGAGAAAGAGATATGGTTAGATGATACTGCTGGGCTGGAGCTCCCAATGTTCCTGATCATTGGCCACATTAGCTGGTGCTGATGGGATCTAGGTCTGGTCTTGGACTGGGTGGGTGACCACCTGGAAGCCACACCCACCTTGGCTTCTATGATAGCAGCGTCCAGTATGGTTTCAAACTGGATGGGAAACTGTGTTGAGATCCCTACCTTGCAGGGAATTGGACTAAATGACCCTCTACAGTTTTATGATTCTATGGAAGAAAGAGTCTCTGGATCTTTGCATTTATAGCCAACCTTTCTTCCATAGAATCAAAGTATTGTAGAGTTGGAAGGGACCCTGTAAAATGAAGGGGACCTTCCAGATGTAACCTTCCAGATGTTGCTGGATTGCAGCTTCACTGTTCCCCACCCACTGCTATGTTGAGGCCAAGGCAAAATGGATTCCACAGAGGGTTGAAAGGTAAATAGAACTTCCACATGCAGGGGCAGTCTACCTCTAGGACAGATAGGGCAGACAAACAGTAGATCACCATCAACTGCCACTCCCTGCTTGCCCCTTTTAGGAGCTACAGTGCTGGCTAAGTGAGATCATTGCTTTCTGCTCCTGTTAGTGGTTTACCCACTTCCTGCCTCTGGCAGGCTGACATCTCCTGCTGATTTCTGAGGTTGCACTGCCACGACATAGGCTCACTTTTTTTATTATTTCTATTTAAAGGTAGTCAAGATTTCCCACCTGTGAACATGGGATCTGTGGGTCCATAGAAGGGGGATGAACAACAGAGAGGGAGAATTGTGGGTTCATATCTTGCTTCAAGCATTCTCGCTCATCATCCCCTTTAATCTGCACATAGCTGTCAACTTTTCCCTTTTCTTGCGAGGAATCCTATTCGGAATAAGGGAATTTCCCTTAAAAAATGGGAAACGTTGACAGCTATGAATCTGCACCATGGGAAGAGTCACACTGACCTATGTTATGCAGTCACTGGAAAGCTGTTTGAGAAAAGTGAAATAATATAGAGATTGTTCAGGGGAGTTTCTGCTTTTGGTTACATGCATAGGCTGGGTTGCTGTGGGAGCATTGCATTTGGAGAGTCTCCTGGTGGGGCAGGGGGCGGGGAGAGGCACGGTCTCCTCATGGGCATCCTGCCTTCCATGCTTGGTATGTAAATCTCTTTAAATCCCTTGGCACCCCAGCCAAGTCTGAGACTGCTGCTTTGCCAGGGCAGGAGAGAGCCTTTTAAGAAGCCTGGGAACAATCTTGCACAATTTTGCTGAGGCTTGCATCCAAAAGCCTGCCCTGCATGCACAGAAGCCTTTTGGCACCTTGACTTTGCTGGAGGGGAGATCAGGAAAGCCTTGGGGCTAATTCATGGACTGCATTTGCTAGAGACACTTCCAAGTCATTTGCAAAGTCTAAATCAACAGTAAAAGGATGTGGGGTTTGCATTAACCATGAACCCCTAATCCATTCTTTTTCAGCATGGTTCCCTCCAGATATTATCAGACTCCAGCTCCCATCATGCCTGATCCTTGGCCACACTGGCTGGGGCTGATGGGAGTTGGAGTCCAACAAGGTTTTAGGTCCTTATATCTATTTACAGAACCTTGAATAGCTTTGCTCCAGGGTACTTAAGGCACCACCTGAATATTTGTATCTTATCTCAGTCACTGAGATCATCTGCAGCAGCACTGCTGGTCATTCTCCGGGTTGGTGAAGTTCATATGAAAGCATCAAGAAACTGAGCCAGTCCTGTGGAACACCCTACCACCAAAGAACCAGCAAATTCCTTCCATTTCAACTTTTAAATGTCTGTTGAAAATTTCTATTCCTTCAGGCTTGGAATACATATTTCCACAATAGTTAGCTGATTTCTGATTTTAACCTTTTGGTATGGTTTTTACTGCATGCCTTTACGCACAATTGTTGTAAACAGCTCTGATATATTTAGGAAGAAGCAACTAAGGGTAAGAGCTGTTCGACAGTGGAATGTTCTCCCTTGGGAGATGGTGGACTCTCCTTCCTTGGAGGTTTTTAAGCAGAGGTTGGCTGGCCATCTGTCCTGGATGCCTGAGCTGAGATTCCTGAATTGCAGAACATTGAACCAGATGACCCTAAATGACTCTACAAGTCTATGATTTTATGAATCATCATATGTAAATATTTTTATAAACATCTGGAGGGCCACAGGTTGCCAAATGGAGTGCTACCTGATCAGGTTCTGAGCCATTCCAGTCAGCCATGCCCCTCTTTTCCATCCCCACTCTGTCAGTCAGTATCCTTTGACTACTGACCACACTCGGTCTTTATTCAGCAGTTTTTAGGGTTTTCTCTTTCCACCACTCTGACTGCACTGGGGTTTTTCCCCTGGGTATTTTTGTACTTCTCCAAACTTTGGGGCAGCCCCAAGCCTCTTGACCTCCTTCTTGTGGGGGGGGTGATGTTATTTTGGCTACCTAAACCTTGACTCTCATAGCCTGAATCTATCAGTCAAAGGAATGATTTGGAACCTTGTTCTGTGATCTCCCAGGACTGATCTCCTCCCATTCCCTTCTGCTCGTTCCTTCCTTCAAGTTTGATGACGCCTCCTCTGGCGTTTCTTCTTCCTTCCTCCAGATTAGCATTCAAGTCACTCAGGAGTTATATAAATGCTGGGCTCTTTCCCTGCTTTCATTCCTGCTTTCCAGCTGGAACTCTCCCTGACTCTCCTGTAACTTTGCCAAAGTGTGACTTCATCTGCAGCCTCCCAAATGAGACAATGAGCAATCCTGAAGCTCTGTTTCTCAATCTCTCTCACTCGGAAGCATTGGTGGCTAGAGCTTTGGGAAGTGACAAAATGTGCTGTCACAAACTGACATGATATCTTAGGAATACAAGGAAGAGCTGGGTCAGGGAAGGGCTGTAGTGCAGTACTAGGGCACCTGCTTTGCCTAAAGAAGGTCTCAGGTTCCCCTAATGGCATCTCCAGGTAGGGTGAAACCCTGTAGAGCTGCTGGCAGTCAGTGTGGTGATACTGAGCAAGATGCATCCAGTGGTCTGATGGTACAAGGCAGTTAAATGACTACACCCCAGAACAGTTGGCCATAGAGCAAAGCCAGGGGTGACCCTGGACTGAGCCTTAAGTGGTCCTCAGGGCCTGGTGCAACATGTTAACTGTTGCTGGACTGATTGGCAACAGTGATCATAGAGCCATAACTTCACATATGTAAATGGACATCTTCCAGTAACATTCATATGTGACTTCAAAAGTGGAAAGCAGAAATAGCATGGCTTCTGCAAACTATCTATATGTAGGGATGAGCAGTGAGGCAGCCAAGTTTGCTGGTGCTGCTAAATGGTTTAAAACAAAAAGAGTTTGAGAAGAGCTCTGATAGGACCTCTCTAAACTGAGTGAGCGGGTGGTAAAATAGCAGGTGCAATTCACTGTACACAAGTGTAAAGTGAGACACACCAGGGCAAAAGAAATAATAATATTGATTTCATGTTTATGCTCCTGGGGTCCAAGGAATAAATGTGGCCCTCTAGATGCTGCCTTGCAACAAGTTTCAGCATATTTCTGCATTGCAGGGGCCTGGAGTAGATGACCCTTGCAGTCCCTTCCAAATCTACAGTTTATGATCTACGAGTTGCAAGAGTCAAGCAGCATCCTGGAGGGCTTGCAAGAGACTCCAGGTCTTGCCCTTCTTTATTTCAAATCAGGACACAGAGAAGCTGCAGTCAATTCTTCTTCTTCTTGTTCTTCTTTCTGGGAATCCCAGAGATGTTCTTTGCAAAGGTCATTCAGCCGCTGCCAGAACGAGCCCCTGTGCGCTTAGAAAAATTCTTCTCTGTTCTGCAGATTGAGTGCCAGGACTTCTCAAAGAGACTATTGGGCTTGACTTGGGCTTTTTGCAATGCAGCGGATCTCTTGAATTCATTCTCTCTCACTGGTGTTTCTCTCTCTCTCTCTCTCTCTCTCTCTCTCTCTTTCTTTCTCTCTCTCTCTCTCTCTCTCTCTCTCTCTCTTTCTCTCTTTCTCTCTTTCTCTGCCTCTGCAGCTATTTCCTTTCTCAGAGCTTCAAATAATGTTTTCTGCTCAGAGTTCTGGTTGCACCATGACATAGGTGCAAACTCCTAGGGGCCGAGGGATCTTCGCTCCCCCCCCCCATAAAATATTTGAGGGAGCCCACCCCACATTGATGGGCATTGCCAGTCAAATGGTGTGCATGTTCCACATCTTGTGATTGATTATATGGGGTGAGGCTTATATGGGGTATAGTGTAGTATCAAAATAGGGCTTCTTTTTTTGGCACAATATGGATAGACGTCTTTTCAAAATTTGAGGAAGAGGATTGGCTATATTTTACAAAAACTATACCAATCAGTATTCCTTTATTGAATCCATCAAAACTTATTTATACTGTTGAATTTATCTTAATGCTACCAGCGTTTTCAGCTGTACATAATTATTTTTCATACATTAAATAAATGTTTTCCAATCTTCTTTAAACACATGTTCTTCTTGTTGTCTTATTCTATATGTTAAGTCTGCAAGTTGTGCATATTCTGTCAACTTAAGTTGCCATTCTTCTTTGGTTGGGACTTCGCACGTTTTCCATTTGGGGGCTAACAAAACACAAGCTGCAGTTGTAGCATACATAAATAACCTTTTTTGACACCTGGGGATTCCAGTCTGAATTATCCCCAACAGAAAGAACTCTGGTTTTTTGGGGGGAAAGAACCTTTAAACACCCCCCCCCCAATTCATTATAGATCATTTCCCAATACTCTTTTACTGGGGCTGATGAGAGCTGTAGTCTAAAACCGCAGGAGGGCACCAGGTTAGTGAAGGCTGGTCAAGAGGGTAGCTCAGGTGACCCATGTAATGTTGGGGTGTCTTTCACCCCAGTTTCTCCCATTCTTAGAGCCAGCCAATTAGCCTTGATGGCCCATTGTCTACCCTGCCATGACAATGAATTGCAATGGCTTGGTCACTGGGTGTGGGTAAATGGTTAAAAGCTTGAACTTGGAGTTCATGCAAGCACCTTGCAAAATTTGCTATATAAGGGCATTCTCTGTAGCGGAAACACAAACCCACTCTGCCACCTCCAGCTTTCAGTTTTAGATGCGTTGTGAAGATGAAAGGAAACATTTTCTTTTTTTAAAAAAAAAACATTTATTGCTTTTCCAACGATTTAAACACTACAAAAACAATACAATACAATACAAAAACACTACGTAACATTGACACATTAAACACATTAAACTAACAAAACAAAACAAAAACAGTTTAAAATAAATCAAACAATTTCAATATCTTATCTTTCATTCACTTATTTCCACGACCTCCTCACACCTCCCTTTTTGTATTCCACTTCTGTTAATTGTTTCAGCAATTCCTTTCCATCTTCCTCTGTTTTCTATCCTATAATTATCTTAACACATTCTAACCTTATTTTTCCTTTAATACTCTATTAATCTATTTATACTTATTTCCTTATAACATTTCTACTAAAGCCATATAATTTCATTCCAACATTTTTCTAACATTCATTAATTTTACAATATTTCTGTAGATAGTCTTTAAACTTTTTCCAGTCTTCTTCCACCAATTCTTCTCCCTGGTCTCGGATTCTGCCAGTCATTTCCGCCATTTCCATATAGTCCATCAACTTCATCTGCCATTCTTCCCGGGTGGGTAAATCTTGTGTCTTCCAATACTTCGCGATGAGTATTCTTGCTGCTGTTGCATACATAAAAAAAGTTCTATCCTTCTTTGGCACCAATTGGCCGACCATGCCCAGTTGGAAGGCCTCTGGTTTCTTCAGGAAGGTATATTTAAATACCTTTTTCATTTCATTATAAATCATCTCCCAGTATGTCTTAATCCTTGGGCATGTCCACCAAAGGTGAAAGAATGTACCTTCAGTCTCATTACATTTCCAACATTTATTGTCGGGCAAATGGTAAATTTTTGCAAGCTTGACTGGTGTCATGTACCACCTATAAATCATTTTCATTAAATTTTCTCTTAAGGCATTACATGCTGTGAATTTCACACCTGTGGTCCATATCTGTTCCCAGTCAGCCATCATTATATTATGTCCAACATCTTGTGCCCATTTAGTCATAGCTCATTTCACCGTTTCATCCTGAGTGTTCCATTTCAACAGCAAGTTATACATTCTTGACAAATTCTTGATTTTTGGATCTAACAGTTCTGTTTCCAATTTTGATTTTTCCACCTGGAAACCAACTTTTTTGTCCAAATTGTATGCCTCCATTATTTGGTAATAATGGAGCCAATCTCGCACTTTATTTTTCAATTTTTCAAAACTCTGCAATTTTAGTCTGTCTCCATCTTGTTCCAGAATTTCCCAATATTTCGGCCAAAGGAAACATTTTCTTGGTGGTGTAAAGAAATTCAGAATCTGGCTTTGGGTCTCTCTCTCTCTAACTACTGATTGTTTTCTCTTCTTGGGGGGTCTTCTGAGATCCTTCTGCTGCTGGTTTACAACCCAAGCCCCCCCCCAGGCCCCCAATGATTAGAGTACAGCAATTCAAGGAAAACCAAAACCTCCTGGGGCCACTGTTAAGCACAATTCAATACCAAACCATGTGGGAAGTTGTCTCCCCTGTGGCTCTGCGAAAGTTGCTGCTCTGAGTTGGCATCCGTTCAGTTGCTCTCCTCCAGGAAGTGGAAGCTTCCAGGAAGTGGGGAGACAAGTCTAACATACTCCACATTCTAAGGATAGATCACAACTAATAAATGCTTTTTGTGCGGTGATGGGAAGCAGCATTTCCTTAGATTTGGACATGCTAGCCACAAAAGTAAGGTAGCAATGCTAATCGTGGACCCCTCTGCATTTCCAACTTTACTATAAGAAGACATTAGTTAAAAGATACCCTTCGAAAATCTAAGGGCATATTGGCATTCCTACCACCACACGTACATACATGTCCCCTCCCCACCCTGTATCTTGCATTCCCTCCAGCAATTAAGCGATGGGAGATCACAAATGCAACTAAGGGCAGACAGGGTCATGAACCAGGGGAGGCAGATGCATGGAGCAGAGGTCTAGCCATCATGGCTAACAGCCATTGGCAGGTGGAACCTCCAGGCAGTATGCCTTTTGAACAACTACTGCAGGGGCCAGATCATTGATCCACCATGCTCACTGTTGTCTGCACTGACACTCTCCAGAGTTCCAGCTTGTGGCTGTTCCCAGCCCTGCCTGGAAATGCCCAGGATTAAACCTGGGAGGATTTTCTGAGGCAAAATGGTTGGCCATTGTACGAAAACAGGATACTGGACTAGATGGACCAGAGTCCAATTCAGCAAGGCTCATCTTACATCCTTATGCTTGTTAAATGGAGCCTCCATTTGCAGAGGCAGTCTGCCTCTGAAAGCAGATGCTGGAAAACCAGCGAAAGGAGGCTCTTGCCTTTATGCCCTGCTCATCCTGATTGGCTGCTGGAGGTATGGGTTTAGATGGATCTTTGGCCAGATCCAGCAAGGCTCCTCTTAGGATATGTTGTTGCTATTTGCACACACACACCCCTCTCCCGAATGCGCCAGCTTTCCAAGAACTCTGTGATCTTTACAAGTCATGCATCTGGCAGTCCGAAGCATGTATTGTTTTGGAATTTGCAAGAGTCCAAGTCCCAACTCTAGATTTTTCCACCTAAAGGAGGGTGATAAAAAAACAGACTTCTCTCCAGGCTCTTTTGTGGGGGCCTGTCAAGGAAGCGGGGGTGGGGTTGGAGGGTGTGTGTGTTCCTGGCTGAGGTTTGACCTACAGATGTGCAGGCTGGGAAATGGGCTGCTCTCTGTTGCTCAGCTCACAATATGCTGTTTACGGAAAAATTGGCATTGTGAATCTTGTAGCTAAATAAGCTCCAGGGGAGCCTTGCTTAAAAACGGGAGGAGAGGCTGGACTGCGGAACAAGGCAGGAGGCATAGATGACTATCAGATGTACAAGGGAACATGGGCTGGCTGTCGGTCTGAATGTCCCCTTTTGGCTTGGAGTGGTCAGAGGTTATGGGAAAGAGATTTCAAGGGGCGGGTGCTGGTCCTGCAATAGGCGGAACCAATGTACAAACTGTGGAGGCAAAGCAAGCGAGCTGCTCTGAGTTTTTACCGTATTTTTTGCTCTATAAGACTCACTTTTTCCCTCCTAAAAAGTAAGGGGAAATGTGTGTGCGTCTTATGGAGCGAATGCAGGCTGCGTAGCTATCCCAGAAGCCAGAACAGCAAGAGGAATCACTGCTTTCACTGTGCAGCGATCCCTCTTGCTATTCTGGCTTCTGGGATTCAGAATATTTTTTTTCTTGTTTTCCTCTTCCAAAAACTAGGTGCGTCTTGTGGTCTGGTGCGTCTTATAGAGCGAAAAATATGGTAATTCCCTCCGCCCCTGACTCCAGCCAAACTGCTTTGGAAATCATAGAACTGTAGAGTTGGAAGATATTGGTCATCTAGTCCAAACCCCTGCAATGGAGGTACCAAAAAAATATATATGAAGAAGTCCAACCTCCTGCATGAAACCATCACCATTTGCACGCACACATATTACACAAATGTCCTGGAGTGTTTGCAAACATTCCTCTCAGTTGTATGGTGTCTGTCATAGAATGTTGGCCAACTGGAGCCTGCGTCTGTGAGTTTGGATATAGCTGTCATGAATCTTAAATCTGAATTGGATCTTAAGTTCAATTCCACATCAGCCTGCTATTTGTTCTTTAAGTTCTCATGAAAATTCATTGGTATTTTAATGCCAATTTTTGCTAATATATCCATCTTTATATAGAGCTTTGCCCAACATTTTTTTTTTTTTTTTTGCAAAGCACATCTTCTCTAATGTTTGGCATCTTGGATGTCACTGCTACGAATACAGGCACACTGTTCCACACACTTTACCCAGTCTTATGCAATTTTGTGCACATTGCTGGACTGGAGGAGAATGGCATTGCATAATTCAGAGGAACATAAATTTTGGAGGATGGCTGTGTTTTTGTCTGCATATTTTTCGAGAAAGTAGAAATTAGGCAGGCTTACCTTTAAAGGTGATCTGGATGGAATTTCTCCCCCATCCTGAATAGTTGTCAAGACAGAGCTAGGCACTACTAGGGTAAGTGAGGTGCCAGGACTTGTTTGGAAGGAAACTGAAGCAGCGTTACCAGTTACAAGGCATTTTTTGCTTGCTCTGGATACTGTCATGTTGTCTGGGCAGCCTCTTTAGGACAATCAAGTTATTGCTTGAATGCAAACCGGCAAGTCTCGCCCTAGAAAATTAACTGCCCTTGAGGTGTGTATTAAGTAATCAGAAGGCATTAAGAAATAAAACCCTTTTGCAAGAATCTCCACCAGATTTTTGACACAGAACTGGATCGTCCAGGTTCTCTGCAAAGTGGAGGGTGAAAGGCTGGTGCTTTGTGTGCATTGTTGCAAATTTGAGAACGTTATCCAAAGAAGAGCCCTGCAGCAGCTGGATCAGACCAGAGGGGCCCATCTAGTCCAGTATCCTCTTCTCACAGTGGTCAACCAGAGGCTCATTATGGGAAGTGTGCAAGCAGGGCCTGATTTCAACAGCAGCTCACTCCCCACTTGCAATTCCAAGCAACTGGTATTGCCTACAAAAGCAATGATGGGTTTAGTTTGGATGTAATCTGAGGGTTCCCTTATAGTCCTGTGATTCTTGGCTGCGTTTTGTTCACCAGGAGAGGGTTTACAGAACAAGGAAGACCTTCAGGGATTATCTTGCTGGTTCTGAGACAGTGTTCAGCTGCCCTGCCTTTTGACATGGAAGCATGTTCCATCAACAGATGGGCTCTTCTGAAAGGAGGTCATTTGAGAACCAGAGAATCATAGAATTGTATTATTGTTGATGACTTCTGGGAGAAAGGAATGGCAGTTTAGCTGTCTCTCTGTTAGCTCAGTCTTCTGGTGTAGGGAAAGCAGACAGAGGTTTTTTGCTCATCGTACTAGAAAAAAACATTTTACCACCCCTGGCGGGAACGCATTCCAATATGAGGGTTTTGGTCTGATGCGCATAAGGAACTGCAACTGGTGCTACAGGTGATAATACAGAATTATTTTTGCTGTCTATGTTTATGGGGCATAACAAGGATATCAGGTCTAAGGACTTGATTCCGCATTTGCTAATTGCAGCTGGATGAGCGGCCGCTTGACACAGGTAAGATTTTGATAACCTAAACTTACCATCCTGGTACAGAAGGATTTGGACTTTAGCAACAGCAGAGAAAATGATGCAATAAAGCAGCTTTATGCAAGGAAAAGGAAAACCACAATAATGGCAGTTATGAACATTTGGCAACTTTAATATACTTAATGTGAACTCTGGGACTGTTTAATCTTTTATTCTTTGAGGTCATGGTGTGCCTTGTCCTTTTCTTGCATTTCCCCCCTTTTTAATTTCTATTTTATTGTTTTTCTTTTGCATAAATAAACTGACAGATCCAATGAAGGTGAATCTTGGAAGATTATGGACAGACAAAAGAGAGTAGTTCACTCAGGGCAAAGTTAAACTTAAACTCTGAACTTCCCTCCCAGAAGAGGAGGATGGCTTTAAAAGGGGTGTGTGCACAAATTCATGGAGGATCAGACTCTCAGAGGCAACCAGCCACAATGGCTGTGTTCTACCTCCATTGCCAGAGGCTGCATGTCTCCAAATGCTGGGACTTGCAGGTAGGGAGGCTGCTGTTGTGCCCAGGTTCTACTTGTGGGCTTCCCATTTGGCTGGCCACTGTGACAAGAGGATGCTGGCTTGGATGAGCCTTTGGCCTGATCCATGAGGGTTCATCTTCTGACGTCCTCATGTTTCTGAGTCAGACTACCATTCCACCCAGCCAACCATTGTCCCTACTCTGCTTGGCAGTGATTCTCCAGGGCAGTGAGCAGAGAGAGCAATTTCCAGAGCTGATGCAGACATTGAACGTGGGATCTCTTCTGCTTGCAAAGCATGTCATCTGCCACTGAGTGCTAGCCCCAAACGAGGGCTGGCAATCATGAGCTGGCACCACTGGGCACTTTCCAATGCACACACCTCCAAAGGAGGGCTGCTGCCTCTCGTTGTTGCTGCCTGTTTCTCACTCTGAAGTAGCACAGGAGGGTCCAGAAGGTGAGCAAGCTGCCTCTGTTTCCCTTGCCATCTCTGACTGAGCTTTTCTGTGGACTGGACATCATCAGTGGTGGGAGGTTCACCTAGGAAGAGCCTACCCATCTCAAAATCTGGAGCTGGCCCTGTCCCAAATCCCGTTAATGGAGCTGGTTCTAGGTGCCTCGGCAGTGTGGGTTTAGCCTGAGAGGTCAAGAGAGGGAGTTTTCAAGATGGCTTTGCAAGGCTTCGGTCTCCTTATCACTAGTTGGCAGAGAAGAGCCTTCTTTGCATCCTTGGGTTCCGTGGGGCAGCCTCATTGCCTTGTGGAGCTGGACAATAGCCAGCCGCCACCATCCTTCAGTGGCAAAGCACAAGCTGCTATTTCATTCCATTGTGCGCTGTTACTTGTTGGAACGTGAAGGCTTATCTCCCTCCCATTTAATAATGCTTTTTGTTTCTTTCATGTAGAGCACTTATGTCCCAAGTGCTTGTGCTTGCTGGCCAGAAAGGCTCTTTTCTTTTCTTTCTTTCTTTTTGTGATATGATACTTTATTTATAATTCAACATTAACAAAGGGGGGGAAACCACAGTAGTTGCTACATCAATTCCTTTACAATTAACCAATCTTAACAATATATAAATAGTAATTTTTAAAAAAATTACATAACATCACTTTTAACTTACTGAGGTTTTCATATTACACTTTTATCTCTTTCTTAACATATCAAAAAGAGAAAGACCAAGAAGGGAAACAGAAAGAAAGAAAAAAAAGAAGAAGGGGGAGGGAGGGAGGGGAGGGGAGGGAGAAGAAAAATAAAACAGAGCTCTCAGAGTAGCTGACACACACTCAGTTAAAACTAGACAGTCCCTGTCCACAGGCTTGCAGTCTAAAGAACAGAATATAACATGGCACACAAAGGACAAGGGGGTGGGAATCAAACTCAGGCGCCAACTCCTAAACAGTTGTTTCTGTAATGACCAAATGCTGGCGCTGTTCAAGGGAAGGAGGTGCTTAGTGCAGCTGGTCTTTCGGCAAAGCATCCCATGTCTCCTGCTGAGGCAGCCTGATGGAATGGCTGCCCCCAGGGGACGGCTGAGGGAGAGGAGGAAGGAATATGCGTCCAAGGATTCCGTTCATGCTGATAGTATGAGCTGTTGTTGTTGTTTTCTTAGTGGGCCAGGACAGTTTTCTGCGGTTCCATGAACAAAAGCCTGCGGCCCTCCTGATGGCTGTGTTGGCAGGGGCTGATGGGAGATGTAGTCCAAAATGGCGGTGGGTGGGTGGGGACTCCAAGTTGGCAAAGGCTGGAAGAAACCTGCCCATTGGACACGGGAGCAAGCCCAAATACAGAAGAACAGCCAAGTAGTGAAGTACTGGGTTTCTATATTGCTGTAAGATTCCCAAGAAATGTTTATTGATGGGTAGCTAAATAAAATAATAGAATCTTAGAGCTGGAAAGGACCCCAAGGGTCATCTAGTCCCTCCCCCCGCAATGCAGGAATCACAGCTAAAGAATCCCTGACAGGTGGCTATCCAAACTTTCTTTGAACATCTCAACTGAAGGAGAGTCTACCACCTTTCAAGGGAGCCTGTTCCATTGCCAAATGGACCTTACTGCCAGAAAGCTCTTCCTGATGGTTAGTCGACATCTCCTTTTTTGTTGTTTAAATCCATTGGTTTGGGTCCTGCCCTCCGGAGCAGCAGAAAACAAGCTTGCTCCATCCTCCCTGTAGATATTTGAAGATGGCTATCCTGTCATCTCTCTGTCTCCTCTTTTCCAAGCTAAACATACACAGCACCTTCAACCACTCCTCATAAGGCTCAGTTTCCAGGCCCTTGATCATCTTGGTTGCCCTTCTCTGCATGACTTCCAGTTTGCCAATATCCTTCTTAAATTGTGGTACCCAGATCTGGACGCAGGACTCCAGGTGTGGTCTGACCAAGGCAGAACAGAGCAAGACTAGTACTTCCCTTGATTTGGACACTTCTATTGATGCAGCCTAGAATTGCATTGGCCTTTTTAAAAGTTTTGGTTACTTTGAGTTGCCAACAGCATCCCGCTGCCTGTGCCTTACAAAGTTCAGCTGATACAACTGCAGCAAAATTGACCCAGTGGGCCTCTTCCTACATTCCCATATGCCCCACAGGACAGATAATCTGAATTTCTGAGAAGGGGGAAACAGAAGGGTTAACTGGGAAGAAAATTCTCAGATGCTTCCGGTTGCTCCCTAGCGTGCCCTTACAGGCAGGGGCCTCTCTTTTTTTAAGCGCTCTGTTCCTTTGATGGCAGCTTTCTAAATAAATAATAGTTTATCTTTCTGTGTAAGTCTTTAAGTTGCCAATAATGCAATTGTGGCAAAATCTTGAGGGCCATTCTTCTAAGTGGGGAGGGCAATTTGGAGCAAGTGCATTTCATGATGTATTCTTCTAATCAGGGAGAACGATTTGACGCAAATGCACTTGATGATAGAATTGTAGGGTTGGAAGGGACCCAAAGGGTCATCTAGTCCCACTGCCTTCTTTCTACCCGGCCTTTTGGCAGACATTGCTGGACTTTGCCATCTGGGAATGGATCTGAGATTGCCTGGCAATTGGAATCTTTCCTACCCCCCTCCAAGCTTCTTATCATCATCATCATCATCATCATCATTTATTTATACCCTGCCCATCTGGCTGGGCCTCCCCAGCCACTCTGGGCAGCCCTCAACAAAATATCAAAACACAGTAATGCATCAAACATTAAAAGCTTCCCTAAACAGGGCTGCCTTCAGATGTCTTCTAAAAGTCTGGTAGTTGTTTTTCTCTTTGACATCTGGTGGGAGGGCGTTCCACAGGGCGGGCACCACTACCGAGAAGGCCCTCTGCCTGGTTCCCTGTAACTTGGCTTCTCGCAGCGAGGGAACCACCAGAAAGCCCTCGGCGCTGGACCTCAGTGTCCGGGTAGAACGATGGGGGTGGAGACGCTCCTTCAGATATACTGGACCAAGGCTTATCAGAAGTTCCTGCTAACTCAGGGGGCTACCAGGGAGTTGTGAGTTCAGCACCACATTCTGGGTGCATGGCTTTGGTGTGTCAAAGGCCCCTGCACCGCACAAGGAAATTCTCTGGGCAAACGCTCTCCAGCTCCCAAACAGTTTAACACCAAGTAGTAGTAATAATCAATTATTCCATTGCTGTTCTTGTGCTCATCGCTTCTCTCTTAGCTTCAGGATTCCTCACCTGTAATATAGGTGTATGGATCAATTCAGGGGCATTGTTGCCCTGCCCTATTTTGCAGTGGGCACTGGATCTCTTGCCCCTCCATCTCTTTAGTGGTGCAACTCCTGCTTTGCATAAAAAGCTCACAAGTCCAGCCTCCAGTGGCATCTCTAGGCAGCGCTAGGAGACTCTCCCTGCCTAATGGGTCCCTGCCAGTCAGTGTAGGCAGTATTGAGCTGTATAGACTGCATAGTCTAATTATTGACAGTGCGGTATAATTTTTTTATGCCCTCATGAAAACTCAACAGTGTCTCAGTGCACCTTTCTCCTTAATATATGCATTTCTGTATGTAGTTCTCCTAATACAATGCATTTTGTTTTGTACGTTACACTGTGAATTATTTAATGCGCACTTCCCCCTGATACATGCATATTTGTGCATGGTTTTCAGTTTGGCCTTTTTGATTGGCCAAAAGGCTGCATTGCAAGATTCAGGGAAACTAAGGTTCTGATACCCAGAACTGTTTCAGTTCCCTTCTTGCTTCGGGGAATGTGAATTGGGTAGGTTTGCATTTACATGAGGACCGAATTCCTCCTGCATCTCTCATTGGTGATGGGTGTTCCCCTTCTCCACCCCCTGCAGAAGCCTTGTGTGTTTCAGTTCCCTGTTCTTCATGGGCATTTGGTGGGGTTTGCCTTGGCAAGCAGGAGGGAGAAGAAAGGACCTATTTATAGAATGGCTGTTCAGTCCATAGATGGTCAAAAGGACAGGAACCGTTGAGAACCCTGCCGTTCTCCTGCCATGGTCTGTTTTGAGAAGGAGCTGTGGGTCTCTCTGCTCAGGTGACAGCTGAATCTTTCCTGACGCTCTCTGGCAAAGAGCAAAGTCCAGGATATCAGCTCTGAAGTGAGTAGCCTTGTAATCCCTGTATGGAAATCCTGCACTTGAAGCACAGTTAAGTGTGGGCAAAGCTCAGTTTGCATTTTAAAAGACAGGGGTGTGGCGGCTCCATTCCCCATCCCAAACCAACAGGAGTCCTGTCGCTTAAACCAAGGTATATGAGAGCTGCCTGCTGGTATTCAGAAGAGAGATGGTGGCACTTTGCATGTGCTCAGAGGCTACTCTCCTTGCTCAGAGAAACACAATGGGATCCAGCCCCCAGGGGATCCGCATTCAGTCCTGGTTCCTTTCTGTGTGTGCATTTGGAAAGCCTTTACCTATGTCCTCTCTAAATTAAATTAAATTCAATTAATTCAAATTCAATTAATTAATTCAAATTCAATTAAATAAATTATATTTATTTTATATATTCATTATTATTTTTTAATCCTACTATCACTCTTGGGGCTGCATGCATAGTTTTCATAGAACCATAATGTTGGGAGGGACCCCAAGGGTCATCTAGTCCAACCCGCTGCAATGCAGGAACCACAGCTAAACTATTCATGACAGACGGCCATCCAGCCTCTGTTTAAAAGCCTCCAATGAAGGAGAGCCCAGAAAGTCATCAGGTACCCACTTCACTTCCTCACATCAACCCTGCAAGGTAGGGTGCGAGAGAGAAAGGAGTGACTGTCCTAAATGTCACCCAGTGAGTTTCATGATTGAGGGAGGGACTGTAACAGTAAGGGTGGGGGCTTTTAAGGGATAACCACCATCCAGGAATTATACTTACCCCCTCCCCCACAACTTTCTTAATTTTTATTTTATCTCACCATTTGCTCCTAAACCGGAAGTGAAAGAAGCTCTGCAAGGCAGGGAGTAGGACTGAACCCAGAGATTGCTCTTCCACTGTGGTTAAAAATGCACCGTATTTTTCGCTCTATAAGACGCACTTTTCCCCTCCTAAAAAGTAAGGGGAAATGTGTGTGCGTCTCATGGAGCAAATGCAGGCTGCGCAGCTATCGCTGAAGCCAGGAGAGCAAGAGGGATCAGTGTGCACCAATCCCTCATGCTCTCCTGGCTTCAGCGATAGCCATGCAAAGCCTCTTGAGTGAAGAGGGATCCCTCCTTCCTCTTCGCTCAAGAGGTTTTGCATTGCTTTCTTGTTTTCCTCCTCTAAAAACTAGGTGCGTCTTATGGTCGGGTGCGTCTTATAGAGCGAAAAATACGCTAATATTTATGAGAACAGAAGGAGAGCCTGCTGGGTCAGGCCAGGGGCCCCTCCAGGATCCTGTTCTCACAGTGGCCAACCAGATGCCCCAATGGAAAAACCTGCAAGTAGGACCTGAGCACCAAAGCCCCCGCCCCTTCTGGGTCCCCCAGCAATTGGCATTATTCAGAAGCATTCCTGCCTCTGACGGTGGAGGCAGAGTAAAGGCCTGGCGTCTTGTAGCCTTTGATAGTCCTCTTCTTCTCCTCCATGAATTTGACTGCTCCTTTTTTTTAAGCCACCCAGGTTGGTAGCCCCCACTGCCCCCTGCAGGAGGGAGTTCCACAGTTGGACTTTGCACTGCGTGAAGAAGGACTTTCTCTTATCTGTCCTGAACCTTCCAGCATTCAGCTCCATCGGATGTCACGAGTTCTAGCATTATGAAAGAGACAGGGAAACGCATAGCTTTCCCCATGCTATGCATCGTTTCATAAACTCCAATCATTTTCTCCTCTTGTAAGGTGTTAAATATAATACTTAGCCATTGAGCCCCTTTAAATGGCACACCTGTGACTGCTACCTCTTGGCATAGCGGTCAACGTTTCCCTTTTTTAAAGGGAGATTCCCTTATTCCGAATAGGATTCCTCGCAAGAAAAGGGAAAAGTTGACAGCTGTGCCTCTTGGTTGGGTCGGACAGGTGGGTTTTTCCTCTTGCTGGATCTTCACAACAGCCCTGTGAGGTGGTTTAATTTGTGAGGCAGAGAAGCCTCTTGTCAAGAGTCACCTTTTGAGTTTCAGGGCTTGGCCATCTGTAGTCCAGAGTTCCTTCTGAAGCTAATATCCCCCCCTTCTCTCTTTGTGCCCAGTATGGAATTGTCTTGGATGCCGGATCTTCCCACACTGCCATGTTTGTGTACAAGTGGCCTGCAGACAAGGAGAATGACACTGGGATTGTCAGTCAACACAGCATGTGTGACGTAGAAGGTAAGTGTGGCTTGTGCGCAGTTAGGCATCCCAGCCTTCAGGGGGCGCTCTACCCTTACTGCAGCTCCCAATCATGCTGTTAACAGAATGGGGATGTATTGTAGAATTGGGGAGTTGGGGCATCTGACTGAAGGCTTACCTTTAAAAATCATTTTGAAATTAGAGGGTTCTGTCTGCAATTGGAGGCAACATCACTCAGTTCCTCAACAGATGTCGCGGTTTGTTGGCAAGTTAAGGTACCGCAGGTCCTAGGTTTCGCAAGCTACAAGCAGATTATCTTAAATCTTAGCTGGTCAGCTGGTTAGGCTTACGAAAGATCTGTAGTCAACTCTGCTTGTTGTGCCACAGCCTGGAACTTGTTAGAGGATCCTCCTTTAACTCAGACCCACCATATCTTTTCTGCACCAAGGAAACCTATTTTGTCAAAGGAGAATTAAGTCTCACTTTAATTACGCAATTAAAATTGAAGCAATGGTCTACTCTTGTCCTTGAAAAACTCTCTGGCGCAGTGACAGAAAATGACCTGCCCCAGGAGAAAACAAACTCCTGCATTTCTACCTGAGGGAAGATAGGAGAGAGCAGTGACTCATGGAGGGGCAATGGGAACTCTGGTCAGAAATCGCCATTCTTCTTAATAGGGCTCGAATTGCCTCTCAGTTAGTGATGTGGCAGAATTATCTGCAGCCCTGATTGGAAGACACTTGCAAAGATGCAGTAGACAACGGCCTCTCCTGGTCTGCCCCGCAGACGACCTTAAGGTCCATGAATAACCATAGTTTAGAGGTTCCAGGCCCTAAGGAAGTCAGAATATCCTCCACCAGGGCCAGGGCCTTCTAAGTGATGGCTCCAACCTGGTGGAATGCTCTGTCCCATGAGACTAGGGCCCTGCAGGATTTAACCTCCTTCCGCAGGACCTGTAAGACAGAGCTATTCCACCTGGCTTTCAATTTGAATTTAGCCTGATCTTTTATTCCCCTTCCTTCCCTCCCCTTTTTATGAAGATTCCCCACTCTGAGATCCCACAGCTAATTCTCCCCTGGTCTCCTCGCTGGCCCAAATGGGACTACAGTGGTGCCTCGCAAGACGAAATTAATCCGTTCCGCGAGTCTCTTTGTCTTGCGGTTTTTTCGTCTTGCGAAGCACGGCTATTAGCGGCTATTAACGGCTTAGCAGCTTAGCGGCTATTAACGGCTTAGTGGCTTTAAGAAAAAGGAAACAAACTCGCAAGAACTCGCAAGACGTTTCGTCTTGCGAAGCAAGCCCATAGGGAAATTCGTCTTGCGGAACGACTCAAAAAACGGAAAACTCTTTCGTCTAGCGAGTTTTTCATCTTGCGAGGCATTCGTCTTGCGGGGCACCACTGTAATTTGGCCAGATAGCCCTGGTGATCATCTAATGTTTATTGGATGGATTTCCCCCCCTAAATTGATTTTTGAATTCTGAATTTATTGTTATTCATGTTTTGTATTGTATATTATGCTATTTTTTGTTGCATCAAGTAAGTGTTTTGAATTTGTTGTTGGCTGCCATGAGCCCGGTTTTCTGAACCAGGAAGGGCGGGGTATAAATAAAAAATTAGTATTATTATTAAGAGCACAACTCTAGGATTCCATCTTGCGCAATGTGACATTTGTTTCTTCTTGGGTCAAACTGGTGGCGCCTGCCTTGGGAGTGTGTTGTGGTGGCTGGCTCTGATCTGGCCATTGTCTGAGCTTTCCAATCTGGCTTTTGTACAGTGGGCATGCCACAGGAGAAGCTGGGTTGGCCAGTCCACCATTTTCTCCCTTTCCCTTTTCCCACGGAGCGCCAGACAAAGAACCAGCCTCGCCCACCTGCTTTGAAATCTTTAGTGCCAACTTCCTTTTCTTTTTTTAAAGGCAATGTGGTCTCTGTTCCAGAGCTGGCATCAGTTGGGCAAATGGCACAAAAGGCCCAGGTGCTTGTTTTCAAAACATAAAATAATATGTCACAATGGGAGGCCAGGCAGAGAGCCAGGTGGGTGCTCTGCCCGTGCCAAACTAACAAATGGTTTTGGGACCCAGAGGGTGGCTCAACAGGGCGTGCCACGGCGATGTAAAGGGCACAAGTTAATCCCCTGGCCATTTCATGCTGGCTCTACACAGCTTTGGGGAAAGCTAGGAGGACTTTGGGATGCAGGTGGCGCTGTAGGTTAAACCACAGAGCCTAGGGCTTGCCGATCAGAAGGTCGGCGGTTTGAATCCCTGCGACGGGGTGAGCGCCCGTTGCTCGGTCCCAGCTCCTGCCAACCTAGCAGTTCGAAAGCACATCAGAGTGCAAGTAGATAAATAGGTACCGCTCTGGCGGGAAGGTAAACGGCATTTCCGTGCGCTGCTCTGGTTTGCCAGAAGCGGTACCTTCTGGCCACATGACCCGGAAGCTGTACGCCAGCTGTACGCCAGCTCCCTCGGCCAGTAAAGCGAGATGAGCGCCGCAACCCCAGAGTCGGCCATGACTGGACCTAATGGTCAGGGGTACCTTTACCTTTACCTTTAGGAGGACTTTATCCAAACGGTGGTGTAGTAAATTTTGTCAATAACCATGCCACTGTGATGTTTAAGGCAACTTTACTTGCTCAGAGCAGTGGCCACTGGGAACCCACAAAAGGGGAGCCCCCAGCCCCATAAATTACGCAGGCTTATACAGAGGCATTCCCTCCATATGGTGGGGAGGGCCAGGGGTGCTGTAGCCCTGGGCACATGATTTTGAGGAGGTGCAAGCCAGGCTACCCCACGCAAGGATCCCCGCCCTACCTGCCGCCAGGGGTCCCTGGACCCTGAAGCCTAGACTGGCCTGGCTGCTGTGCCCTCCAGCCCCCTCTCTGAAAGGCCACCCAGCCAGCGTTGGGGCCATGCGGATTCTCCTAACGATATCATTGCACACACTCTGCTTACATCTTCTCACATGTAGACTCCCTATCCATGTGACCTATGGAAGAGTCTTAGCTCAGCTGACAGAGCACCTGCCTCGCAAGCGGAAGGTTGCAGGTTCAGTCCCTGCCAGCATCTCAAAGTAGTGAAAAAATGAACCTATGCTGCCAATTCTCATAGTAGACCAGTATGACGTAAGCAGCACATAAGCGGCACACAAAACACTAACAAACCATTCTACGTTCTAAATCTTATATTAATAATCCAAAAATTGAGAGAGCTATGTACAAGATCTACTACAGAAGCCACAAACAGAAAACTCATTCAAATTGTGTCCAAAAGGAAGATTCAGTCTTTAAAGTTCCTTTAGCCAGGCTCTTGTAGATATCAACAAAGGTAAGTTTGATCAAACGAAGTGTCGGCGATGTTACGTTCAAGGGTTAGATATCAACGAAGATAAGATATCAACGAAGATATCAACGTTTGATCAAACTTACCTTTGTTGATATCTGCAAGAGCCTGGCTAAAGGAACTTTGAATCTTGCTTTTGGACACAATTTGAATGAGTTTTCTGTTTGTGACTTCTGTAGTAGATCTTGTACATAGCTCTCTCAAGTTTTGGATTATTAATATAAGATTTAGAATGTAGAATGGTTTGTTAGCATCTCAAAGTAGGGCTAGGAGAGACTCCATGCCTGAAACCCTTGAGAGCTATTGCCAGTCAGTGTAGACAATACTGAGCGTAGACAAGACCAATAGTCTGACTCCATATGAGGCAGCTTTCTATGTTCTATGGCACGGGTGTCAAACACAAGGCCCGCGGGCCGAATCCGGCCTGCCAGACCTCGTCATGTGGCCCGTGTAGCCGCCGCCGGCCGCCAGCCTTCACCTTTTATTCTCGCTTTTTCTTTTTGACACAAGAAAGCCGCCTCTTCAGTGCATGCACGGCAGCCTACAAGCCAGAGAACGTCTGCCCTCTAGCGGCGCCAGCTGTTCTACACAGGAAACCTCCACTTTACATTCAGGAAACCTCCACTTGTTTTTATATTGAGCGCATGCTTATATTATTACAAAAAACAGTAATAATTGAATGCAGTGACAATAATTTTTGATAAAAAAGAGTGGACACATAGTCCTACAGATACAACCGGCCCTTTGAGGGTGACCAAACTGCTGATGCGGCCCCCGATGAATTTGAGTTTGACACCCCTGTTCTATGGCAATCTATATACCTAAACAGGAAACTAAGGGCTCTTCCACACTTCCGCTTGTCCTGCTGCTTTCCCCCAGGAAAACCCATTCTTTACCACTGAATTGGAGCAAACATCAATCAGATTTCCCCACAGATGAACGTTTGCTCCAATTCAGCTCCAAATAGTGAGTTTTCCCAGGGAAAGTGGCAGGACAAGCGGAAAACTGCTTGGACATGTGCTTTCTAGGTCAGGGACCAGAGGAAGTGTGGATGGACCCTAACACAGAGAGTCTAATTTCAGATGTTCTTTGGAACGCCATCTCAAGGGGATGGCCGTGGCTCAATGGCAGAGCATCTTCCTTGCAGCAGAAGGTCCCAGGTGTTCACTCCTCAGTGGCATCTCCAGGCTCCCTGTCTGAAATCCTGGAGAGCCATTGCTATCAATCAGTGTAGACAATACTGAGCTAAATAGATCAAAGGCCTGAGCTGATACAAAGCAGATTCCTATGTTCCTGCTTATGCCTACGTCAATACGGCCACCCACCACGCCACACCACCCAGCTGCCAACCACTTGATGATGTCACCATGGCGCCAGACGATTGACACCTGCGGAGTTCAGTGGCGGTCACTGTGTGATTAGAGGTGACAGAAGCCACCTCTGAAGATGTACTTTCTGTGCCATTGGCTGATTGGCGCTGGGAATGCACTTCCAGAGAGACTCCCTCTGACCAATGACCAACTGGCATGGTCAGTGCCACCTTCTCCTTTGAATGCCCATCCCCTACTGTGCCCCTAGACTGGGAATGATGGCTTTGTCTCTGGTTGCATCCACAGGTGGTGGCATCTCCAGCTATGTTGCAGACCCCTCAGCAGCCGGACGGAGCTTGCAGGCGTGTCTTGACCAGGCCCAGGGCGATGTTCCGAAGGAGAGGCATGCAGCCACCCCTCTGTACCTGGGAGCCACGGCCGGCATGCGACTGCTCAAGTGAGAACTCCGTAGCCTAGTCTGGTGTCTCGGGGCATTTTTTCATGCTTCTATCTATCATTGCCATGTCATCCTCATCACTGGTTGTCATGGCTGCAGCTCCCCAGGAACTGGCTTTCAGAGGTAGACTGCCTCTAAAGCTGGTGTTTCCAGACAACCATCATGACTGGCTGCTCATCCTCCCTTAAATTTGTCTAGTCTCTTTCTGAAGCCACCTAAGCCAGTGGTATCTTGTGGCAGTGAGTTCCATCGTTTGCTTGAACCTGCTACCCATCAACTTAATTGGATGATCCTCAGTTCTAGTATTACAAGGCGGGGGAGGAACGTCTCTCTCTCTCTCTCTCTCTCTCTCACACACACACACACACACACACACACATATTTTCATAAACCCCACTTGGGCCCTCCCACTGTCTTAGAAACCATTTTTCTGAACCCCAAAGCTTTGGATACTGAAGGTGCTCTAATCCTTTGTTTGCACTCCATGGATCAGATCTATTTCCCACTTGGCTCTTCTTCACAGCATCAAAATTATACTCCCTGAGGCAGCGGTTTCTGTCCTCTCTGGACAGGTCCTAGACCAAAAGGTGCCCAGCTGAGTAGCATCTCTCTCTCTCTCTCTCTCTCTCTCTCTCTCTCACACACACACACACACACACACACACACACACCTTTCATGCATTTTAACTTTTGAATATCACGTGAATGTTTGTGTGTTTGCATGTGTGTTTAAAATTTGCAATTGTAACCCACTTTATTATTTTGGAGCATGATTTATCTCTGCTACATAGGATTACACATTTATTTTATTTATTTTGTTTCATAAAATTTATACCCTGCTTGATTGTAAAACACACACACTGCAAAACAGTTCACAAAAAAAGGATAAATCAATAAAATTGTCAATAAGAAAAATTAACAACAATTTAAGACTTTCAAATAGTTAAAATAACAATAGACTAAAAACAAATCAAAACTTTGCACCAACTCTCTAAACATCTGGGTAGGCATAGCTGTGTTTTTAGAAAAGCACAGTGAAAGTTCCTGCCAGATATCAAGAGGCAGGGAATTCCAAAGTGTAGGTGCTGCCACACTAAAAGATCAAATTGTTACATTTGCACACGTAGCGCTGATCACAATTCCTCATGCCCACAGTTTCTTTGAAGGGTGTTGACCATCACCAGTGCCCAGTGAATAAGTTGTGTGCACGTGAGCAATCAGTGTGTGTGCATTGGGGTTCTAACTGTTAACAATATGCTTATGATAATATTTTATTCTCTTGTTAATTATGCTGTTTCAAAGGTTCATTTTATATTTGACTTCCTTTCACTTTGAATCTTTTAGATTACATTTTAGTTTCCTCTTGCTTTGAATGCTGCTCTGAATGTTTGATTCAGTGTTTTATTCAGGATTGTTTTATTTGATGCTTCAGTGTGGTAAACGGCACTGAGGTTTCCCCCCCTTAAAAATATAAAACAGCATAGAAATGCAATGAATGAACAACAACAGCAACAACAACAGCAACCACAAGACAACACTGTCCATCCAGTTCAGTTTTGCCTGCTTTGCACTACTTTGCTGTTGAGTAAGGAGAGCTGAAGGAAGGGCCTTAGTTCAGTGGTAGCATCTGCCCTGCAATCAGAACATCCCAGGTTCAATCCCTGTCATCTCCAGGTAGGGTTGTGGGAAAGCCTGCCTGAAACCCTGGACAGCTGCTGCCAGTTAGTGCAGACAGTACTGAGTGAGGTGGACCAATGGTTTGACTCAGTATAAGGCAGCTTCCTATGTTCCCATGTTTCTGCACCCGTGAATCTAGCTGGCTGCTTGGGTCACTGGTGTCCAACTTGCAGCCTGATCTAAACAAATGTTCTTGTTTTTTGGATAGTCTCACTGACCCCGAGGCTTCGGACAGGGTCCTTGCAGCTGTGAGCTCCACTATGAAGCAGTACCCCTTTGACTTCCATGGAGCGAAGATCCTGAGCGGAGAGGATGAGGGTGTGTTTGGCTGGGTCACAGCTAACTACCTCCTGGAGAACTTCATCAAGGTAGAAGAGTCTTTCTTTCTTTCTTTCCACGACCCCTTTTTACTATATTAAACATGAACCAAAGTCATTCATTGCCAGGTGTGGAACAAGACATTGCGACAGTGCAGTTTCTGCCCCAGAGGCTTTGCATACAATGGTTAAAGCCAGAGGGGTTCCCTCTGGGTTCTGCTGGACTCCACCTCCCATCAGCTCCTGCCTGCAGGCCCAGTGCTCAGGGGTGAGGGGAGCTGGTCCACAAACATCTGCCAGGGCACAGGTTCCTCATACGAGAAACTCACCATGCAGAGAAAAAAGCATGCCTCGTAGAAAGGATGAGCTCTGGCAAACTAAGTCAAGAGCCAGCAGGCCAGTTCTGCGCTTCGAAGCCAGCTCCTTTAAGATGACCATTCCTGTTCCTTTTAATTCAGTACGGATGGATTGGACAGTGGGTCCAGCCCAAGAAGAAGACCGTGGGCGCCATGGACCTGGGAGGAGCTTCCACCCAAATCACCTTTGAGACAAAAGAGACTATCGAGACACCTGCCAACGAGGTGATGCTGCGGCTGTACGGGCAGACCTACAAGGTCTACACACACAGTTTCCTCTGCTACGGCAGGGACCAGATCCTGAAGAGGCTTCTCTCCAAGGTGCTGAAGGTAAGGGAGTAGGGTTGGAGGTGAGACATCTGGGGGCTGCCATCCTAGCCCAAAATTTCCAGTGGTAAGAGGCTCCCTCTGGACTTTCCTTCATTGGCTGTCTGCCAGGGATTCTTTAGTTGAGATTCCTGCATTGCAGAGGGTTGGACTGGGTGACTCTCGGAGTCCCTTCCAACTCTACAATTCAATGATAGTACAAACTCCAGGGGACGCAGGTGGTACTGTAGTCTAAACCACAGAGCCTATGGCTTGCTGATCAGAAGGTCAGCGGTTCGAATCCCCACGACGGGGTGAGCTCCCTTTGTTCAGTCCCAGCTCCTGCCCACCTAGCAGTTCAAAAGCACTTCAAGTGCAAGTAGATAAATAGGTACTGCTCCAGCGGGAAGGGAAACGGCATTTCCGTGTGCTGCTCTGGTTCACCAGAAGCGGCTTAGTCATGCTGGCCACATGACCTGGAAGCTGCATGCGGACAAACACCGGCTCCCTCGGCCTATAGAGCGAGATGAGCGCCGCAACCCCAGAGTCGTCCATGACTGGACCTAATGGTCAGGGGTACCTTTACCTTTACTTTTTACAAACTCCAGAGAATCCCAAAGGGCCTGGTGTTTTGTTGGTTGACTCAGACTGGTTATTTTCACCCACAACAGGCTGGAAGGTATGTTCTCCAGGTGAGCAACCCCTGCTGGCCCACAGGATACTGGAAGAACTTCACAGTGGCAACCATCTATGACTCGCCATGCACTGAAGCGGAGAAGCCGACCAGCTACTTCCCCACCGCTATAGTCAACATGAGCGGCTCTGGAAATGCAGCCAAGTGCCAGCAGCACGTGGAGAGCCTCTTCCAGTTTACTCCATGCCCCTATTCCCACTGCTCCTTTGACCAAGTCTTCCAGCCAAGTGTTACAGGGAACTTTATCGTGAGTAGCTCGAGGCGGCGGAATATCATGGGAGAAGGGAGGCCCACTTTGAGCCTTGGCTCAAATAGCAGGACCAGTATTCAGAATACACAAAGTACAGATGGAAAAGGGTGCCTCTGGGCATGTGTAGAGCACATTGCATTTGCCGCCAATTAATCAGGGTCTTGCAAAGGATTTAAGGGGAAGGGTTGCAGCTTAGTCTTAGAGCGCTTGCTTTGCATGTAGCAGGTCTCAGGTTCAGTCCCTAGTGGGATCTCCAGGTAGGACTGGGAAACCCTGGAGAGCTGATGGCACTCAGGGTAGGTGATGTTTAGCAAGATTAACTGGTCTGATTCGGTGTAAGGCATTTTCCTATTTTCCTTAGAGGAAGGGAGGACAGTGACCTCCAAGTCATAGTTCAGCCTTCAGCCCTCCACCCTGATCTGGCCAAAACTTCTATGACTACTCATATTTTTCCTAGTTTCTAATCTTCAAATTCTGTGAACCCAAACACTGTAGTTGTTAGATTAAACCATAGGTGCATGCTTTGCAGGGAGCCAACTTGGAATAAATTATTTCAGGGGTGGGGGGAGTCCGCAGATAAACCCTGCTCCACATAATAAATAACAAAATGCAGTGCACACACACCATTTGAAAGGCAACCCCCATCAACTTTTGGGGGGTAGTGGTGGCCCTCTCAAATATTTTATTGGGGGGCTGAAGGGACCTTGGCCCCTAGGAGTTGGCTCCTATGATGCTTTGTTTTGTGTGTCTACTTTTATCGGTCTGTGACTGTATGAACAATTCATTCATTTGGATTACTTAAATGAATACCTGCCTCTGTTTTCTAGTTTCAGGGGTTTTGTAAACTACTGCCCCCTGCTGGGGAATGTTTGAATAACACCCCATTTTCCCCTAAACAATTTGGGATATTGTTTGCTTGCACCATTGGTCCATGTGGTGTGCACCTTTCCACCTGCTTACAGGATTCTGACCGGTGGCCTATGGACCACTGGTAGGCCCCCGTAGACTTTTAATTCTTAAATCTGGAAGGTGGGAAGAATACATGGGCAGAGAGGGGGGTTATTTAAGTACATTTATAAAACATGCAGTATTATAAAACAAAAAGCATCTCAGTAAGACACCTCCACGAATCTTTTCTGTAGCAGTGGTAACATTTTGCCAAATTAGTCCCTTCCTTCTGGAAATGTTTTCCAAACTCTCTTCTGCATAAAATGCATTTAACTAGGAAACTTAATGGATTCTAGCATTTCCCGAAACTTACCATGACAGTTATTGGCTGTCAGGCCTATTTATTTAATGAAAACAACATTTTGCTATCCATATATTGGCAGCGGCCAACGGGTTTAAATAATAACCTCTGCTCGATTTGGATGTTTCAGCAACTTTGTGGCTGATTAAGCCAATAACTGGGTTGAAACAAATAAACAAAAAACACATCACAGTCTATTGCTCATGACAGTGGTGTAGAGGGGGAGGGCAGGGGGGCTGTGTCCCCGGGCACAGAATCTGGGGGGGGGACCAGGTGCCCCCCTCATGTGGTTGGCATGCGAGCACCTGGCTGCCAGCTGACGGGAGTTGCATGAACACAGACGGGCGGCCGCTTCCATGCCAGGCAGGGGTGGTGCGGAGGGTAAAGAAACCCTCCATGCTGTGGTGGCAATGGTGAGGGCTGGGTAAGCAGGCTCCATCCCCACCCCGGGGGGGGTGCACACTTGCTCCCGCCCCCCAGGCACTGTCAGACAGTACTACGACCCTGGCTCATGAGTCCTAACCTCAGCATATGACCACAAGCTATTAAGTAAAATAAGGGCATTAGAAGAGCTTGCAGCCCATCTAGTCCAGCATGCTGTCCTCAAAGTGGCCAAGCAAAATAATATTAACATAATAATAATTTATTATTTATACCCCGCCCACCTGGCCGGGTTTCCCCAGCCACTCTGGGCGGCTTCCAACAAAATATTAAAATACCATAATGCATCAAACATTAAAAGCTTCCCTAAACAGAGCTGCCTTCAGATGTCTTCTAAAAGTCTGGTAGTTGTTGTTCTCTTTGACATCTGGTGGGAGGGCGTTCCACAGGGCGGGTGCCACCACTGAGAAGGCCCTCTGCCTGGTTCCCTGTAACTTAAAAGTCTATTATGAGAAGCCCACCAGCAGGACCTGCGTGCAAGAGCTGTCTCCCCTTCTGTGCTTTCCAGCAACGTGTCATGGACTGGCTGGATTCAGAGAAGTGGTGGGAGGCAGGGGAAGAAGGCTCAAAGCCAGGGGATTGGTGTCAGGAGGACCCTGAGTGGTCAGAGGGAGAAGAGGGAGCAGACTGGGAGGAGGAGGTGTCAGAAACAGAAGGGGAGACTGGGTTTGGTGAGTGGGAAGTGGCTGTGGCAGAGCACAGATCAGACTCCAAGGCAGTAGCTGATGCCAGGGAGTCTCCCACTCCTGCTTTGACCAGCAACCTTCCCCTCTGGTCCAGAACACACAGAGAAATCAAATATGCGGAGACGCAGCCTGAGACTGTGAGGGAAAGTTCCTGGAGAGGAGGAGTCCTGGAGAGGAGGAGCCCCTGGGAAGGGGGGGGACCTTCAGTCCTCACAACTGCTTCATCAGGGCAAGACCTCCTAGAAAGCGTTGCTGAGACCACTGGGCTGGAGCTGTGGTCTGTCTCCTTGAATGAAGAATTAACTTCACTGGTCTCATAGCATTTATGGTACTGTTGCTGACCTACACCTGACTCCGGCCCTGACACAACTGGTATTCAGAAGCATTTCTGCCTCTGACTGTGGAGTCAGAGCATAGTCATCATGGATAGGGGCCACTTATAGCCCCCCCCTACATGAATTTGTCCTCCTTTAAGGCCATGCAAGTTGCAAACCAGCAGTGCCTCTGCGGGAGTTCCATGATTTAGCTTGGTGCTATGTAAATAGGTCCTTTTTTAAAAAAATAAAATAATAATAATAAAATGAAATTGATTATTATAATGACCAGGAAGTGCGACCAGTGGTATGCCACACCCTCCTCACCTTCTTCTTCTCCTTCCTCCTCCTCCTCCTCCTCCTCAACAGGCCTTCTCTGCCTTCTTCTACACTGTGGACTTCATCCAGTCACAAATGAAGAGACATGTGGCCACCCCAAGCGACCTGGAGCAGGCTGCTAACGAAATATGCAATGCAACTTGGTCCGAGGTGGGTTTCCTCGTAAGGGGGGCTTTTCCAATGCAAACTGAAGCACGCTCCAGACATTTGGGTCCTGGCTGTTTAAGAAGAAATCTGATTTTTCAAAATATTTCAGTTTCAGCTGTAGGGTAGCATGGTGTACAGTGCAGATACATCCAACCTTCTTAGACCCAGGACCCAATTTTACCCAAACATGCATTTGGGGGACCCATATCTTAGTCTTTTATCTTATATTTCTGCTGTGACCCTCCTTGGATCAGGCTGTGACCCACTGGCAGGTCCCAGCCCACCAGTTGAAGACCAGTGGATGGTGTTGGGGCAGGATCCTGAGCTGCGAAGCTCACATTGAGTGACTCACTCTCTCTCTCACTTAGCCTAACCTACTTCACAGGGCTGTTGAGACAAAATGGTGTGTGGGTATGGGAGGGAGAGGAAGAGGAAGAGGAAGAGAGAGAGAGAGAGAGAGAGAGAGAGAGAGAGAGAGAACCTTGTGTGCCACCTTGTGTTTCTTGAGGGAAAGGCAGAGTGTAAGTGGAGCAAGGACCATGCCTGTTGTGATTCCTTCATCACAGGGGGTTGAAGTAGGTGGCCCTTTGTCTCCCTTCCAGCTCTTCAATTCTGTGATTCTATGGTTGCTTTCCTTCAGGACAAGGAAAGAGGCAAAAACAGGGACAAAGGAAAAATACAGCCATGCAAAATTAAGGAAAGGGCAGAGGGCTCTGCAATGCCCCTTTTTGGATGGCTGGAGATGTCCTGGAAGCTGGGAGGTTAATTTTGTGGGTGACATAACTGGAATTAGAAGACAGCTCTTAACACAACAATGAGGGATCCTTTTCAGCCAGATGGCTGCACTTCCTCACAGGAAACCCCCCAGGCCAGTGAGTCTGGGGTAGGAGAATGGGTTGAGCAGGAGGAGTACCCTGTGACAGCCAGGAACACCCTCTCCTCAGGTGGGACAGGACCCAAGAAGGTTGGGAGGGAGCAGTCAGAGTTGTGCTTTGCATTTGAGAAGAATATCAAGCCTTTTCTCTTCCCTCCTCTCTTCCTGCCATGCTTCTGTAAATCTAGCTTCTTGAGAAAGCACCAGGCCTAGAGAAGAGGCTTCCCGATTACTGTTCAGTGACCACCTTCATCTACCTCATCCTCACGCGGGGCTACAAATTTGACAACAGCACCTTCCCCAACATCGCCTTCCAAAAAAAGGTAAGAACCTAAGAAGAGGCTGCTGGATCAGGCCAAGGGACCATCAGGTCCAGCATTCTGTTCTCGCAGTGGCCAGCCAGGTGCAAGCCGGGCCCCAGCACAAGAGCCCTCACCCCTCATGAGGTTTCCAGAAGCTGGCATTCAGAAGCATTCCTACCTCTGACGATGCAGAGCAGACCCATCCAAATTGGTGGCCATCACTTCCTCCTGTGGGAGAGAGTTCCCTAGTTTAACTAGGCTCTGTGTGAAAAAGGACTTCCTTATATCGGTGCTGGATCTTCCAACTTTCAGGTTCATTGGATGTCCACAGGTTCTGGCGTTAAGTGAGAGGAATAAAAGCTTTTCTCCATCCACTTCTATCATGTCCCCTCTTACTAGGCTTTCCTCTAAGCTAAAGAGTCCTGGGCCACCATGCCATTAAAACCCTATGATACCCCTTTAAACAGTGCTGGCTTCCCCAAAAGAACCCCGGGAACTGTAGTTTGTTAAGGGTGCTGAGAGCTGTTAGGAGGCCCCTATTCCCCGTCTCTGAGCTACAATTCCCAGAGTGGAAGTTGAAGGTGGTGGAACACTGGGAATTGCAGCTCTCTGAGGGGACTCCCAAAAACTTCCAGCACCCTTAATGAACTACAGCTCCCAAATAATTCTTTGGGAGAAACCAGCACTGTTTAAAGGAGTATCGTGTCTCTTTGAATATATGGCGTGAATGTGGCCCAAGTCTATAATACATACACAAAGTGTGCCTAAGCGCATAATTTGAATTTAGATGTAGACCTAGGTAGAGAATGATCTATATTTAAATTAAACATGTTCATTCTGTTACCGCCTAAGTTTATCTTTTGCTGCTTGCTATCTGTCTCAGATTCCAACCAACGTGTTTCAATAACCAATATGAGCCTCCCCACCCCCCCAAAAAAACCCCAGTTGTGCTTTTGGTAACCTGTATTCTGCCTGCAAAAAAGCAGTTATGATCTTAGCAACATGAATTCTTCTGGAACATGCAGGGCCCTGTTGTTTGATGAAGATGCAGGGAGTTTTGAGAGGGGACCTGCTGATCGCTGTGGTGTTCGAGCGAGGGAGCGCTTTGTAGTGGAAGTAGCCACAGGAGAAGCGTTGCCAGTTGTGTGAGTCTTTTTACAACATTTTCTTTGTTCCTACATGCAGGCTGGGGACACATCCATCGGCTGGGCCCTGGGATACATGCTGAACCTCACCAACATGATTCCGGCCGAGGAGACTGGCTTCTGGAAGGGCACAGCGTACGGCCCCTGGGTTGGCGTGGTCCTCCTCTTCGTTGCCATCATTCTGGTCACTGTGGCAAGCATCTTCTGTCTGCTGAGATCCACCAGGGGACGGGGAATGATGTAAAGGGCAGTCCTGAGCAGGTGGGAGCCCAGTACGGTGGGGTTTATGTGAAGATGGCAGGTCTTCCTGGGCCACATCCAATGTCCAGCCTGACCACACGGCTTGTTGGCTTGGATCCCCTGTGGAGATCAGAACCCATTCCTCACATGCCCCATACCCCAAACCACAACTACAGCCTAGAGGGAGAGGAGATGGTGACTGATTCTGGACACAAAAACTGTTCATCTGAGGCTTGTGATGAAGCCCTTGTTTGCATCCAAGAGTGCTGCAGTCTGAACAATCAGCTTCCCTCATTTTCTTCCATTGTTGAAGAGCCAGTGAAAATCACAAGGAGTGGTTGTGGTTGTTCTTGTTTTCTTTTAATAAGGACTCCAGCTGAAAGCAAGGTTTTTCTGGACTTCCACCCACTCCTCTGCTCTGCTTGCATATCTGTTACTTATTGAAGCTCAGGGACTTATTGAATCTGCCATGAATGCTTTGTTCTTGGCAAGGCTCCAGCCCTGGGAAGAAATGTTGGGTGGGGGGATTGGGGGGGAAAGCTCAACTTTTTGCATTACAAACAGACCAGTGTGGCTGAAATCCAGCACTGTAGATAAGCACCAGGTGTGGCACAAATTGCACCAGTGATGTGGGCACCTGTGGTTCTGCTTTCTTTGAGCTCCCCCAGGGCCACTTTACCATTGAGCAAAGCGAGGCAGCAGGTGCGGGGGGCTGAGAGGCAGCAGAGAGACCTGCGTGCAGGTCAGCGGTAGAGCTCCTGCTTTACATGCAGAAGGTTCAGTCCTTGGTTACACCTCCATATAGGACTGGGAATGTCCCCTGCCTGAACCCCTGCTGTCAGTCAGTGTGGACAAGGCTGAGCTAAGTGGATCAGTGACCTGACTCAATAGAAGGTCGCTTTCTAAGTTATTGGCCCCTGAGCCAACTTGCTGCCCATGGGAGCTTTGGATAATGCTGCCATGGTTGAAGTAAGATGGGACAGCCACTCTAGTCAACTATCCAGGAGTGAGCTCTCTTGCCCTTTACCTCAGGCAGCAAAATGTCTGCCCCCACCTGACTTCTTAAAGCTTCTTATGGTGGTCTGCTAACATTGCATTCAAGAGTCTCATCCAAAATTAAACACCAAAGACAAATTTTGAATTTGAAGCCTACCCATAGTAGAGACTTCAAACTGGTTTAGTCTTCAATCCTGAACAGTACTCACTTACCTGGGCATAAGCTCCACTGTACTCAGTGGGACTTGCTTCTGCGTAAATGTGGGTAGCAGGAATGCACCAGTGATTTTTTAAAACAACTATTATTATTATTGTTATTTGCTTGCTTTCCTGGAAACTCTGAACTGTGCAGATGGAGGCAAAAGTGGGTTGAAGGTCTCTGAAGGAGGAGCTGCAATTCCAGGATAAGGAAATCACTATTTTTTCCCCTGAAAAATTGCTCTGCCAAAATTCCAGGTGGGGCAACTGGCAAATTGCATTTAAATATACTGTACTAACTTGATTTGAAATAATTTGGTGAGGGGTGGAGAGAGAAAACATAACCCCACCCCTTCACAACTTTTGGCTGTTTTTACATCAAATACGCCTCTACATGTGGCTCATTTATTTCAGCATCCTGGTCTCACCTTGGATAACTGGACCTTGGTGCAAAACAGGCAAGCTTGCATTGGTTTCTTCCCCACCCCAATACTCCTTAGCATATTCTGCACTCTTAAAACAAAATGCAGCTGTATGTGTGTGTGATATATTCCATCTGTTTTCCTTTTAAAGAAAAACACTGCATGTCTTAAAAACACACACAAATAAAAACATCTCATAGATGCCAACATTTGGTGTGCTCAGCTGAGGAGTTAGTTATTGATCATTGTGAGCCCCTGGTATGCCTCCAAACAGAGACTTCAGCATCAGGAGAGTGACAAAATATTTTCTACCATTAGAATCCATTGCTTTTAGGGCTGGTTTCCAGACAGATTCACTGGTGTTGCGGAAGAAGGAGCCTGTCAATTTCATTTGCTCCCCATTTCTCATTCCCTTCATTATGTTGAATTTGCTCCATTTCTGCATGTTTGTGATTCTTTTATTAAAAAACACATTAAAAATTCATATGCATTTGTGTTTCGTTTCTCCTAACATAGAGATTTTTGAACACAATCTTGCCTAATAAAATGCACTGCTGCATGCTACTACTCCAGACATTTCCCTGATGATGATGATGATGGTGATGGTGATGGTGATGATTTATTATTTATACCTCGCCCATCTGGCTGGGTTTCCCCAGCCACTCTGGGCAGCTTCCAACAGAATATTAAAATACAATACAGTGGTACCTCGAGTTACAGATGCCTCAGGTTACAGACGCTTCAGGTCACAGACTCCGCTAACCCAGAAATAGTACCTCGGGTTAAGAACTTTGCTTCAGAATGAGAACAGAAATTGTGCGGCAGTGGCAACAGCAGCATTGGGAGGCCCCATTAGCTAAAGTGGTACCTCAGGTTAAGAACAGTTTCAGGTTAAGAACAGATCTCCAGAACAAACTAGGTTCTTAACCCAAGGTACCACTGTAGCCTATTAAACATTAAAAGCTTCCCTAAAAAAGACTGCCTTCAGATGTCTTCTAAAAGTCTGGAAGTTGTTTTTCTCTTTGACATCTGGAGGGAGGGTGTTCCACAGGGCTGGTGCCACTACCAAGAAGGCCCTCTGCCTGGTTCCCTGTAACTTGGCTTCTTGCAGCGAAGGAACTGCCAGAAGGCCCTCAGCACTGGACCTCAGTGTGCTGGCAGAACGATGGAGGTGGAAACGCTGCTTCAGGTATACTGGACCGAGGCCATTTAGGGCTTTAAAGGTCAGCACCAACACTTTGAGTTGTGCTTGGAAACGTACTGGGAGCCAATGCAGATCTCTCAGGACCGGTGTTATGTGGTCTCGGCAACCGTTCCCAGTCACCAGTCTAGCTGCCACATTCTGGATTAGTTGTAGTTTCTGGGTCACCTTCAAAGGTAGCCCCACATAGAGTGCATTGCAGTAGTCCAAGCGAGAGATAACTAGAGCATGCACCACTCTGGTGAGACAGTCCGCGGGCAGGTAGGGCCTCAGCATGTGTACCAGATGGAGCAGATAAACAGCTGCCCTGGAAACAGAATTGATCTGCGCCTCCATGGACAGCTGTGAGTTCAGAATGACTCCCAGGCTGCGCACCTGGTCCTTCAGGGGCGCAGTTACCCCATTCAAGACCTGCCCACCTCCTGTCCCCCAAAAACAGTACTTCTGTCTTGTCAGGACTCAACCTCAATCTGTTAGCCTCCATCCATGCTCCAACCGCCTCCAGACACTCACACAGGACCTTCACCACCTTCACTGGTTCTGATTTGAAAGAGAGGTAGAGCTGGGTATCATCCGCATACTGATGAACACCCAGCCCAAACCCCCTGATGATCTCTCCCAGCGGCTGCATGTAGATGTTGAAAAGCATGGGGGAGAGGACAGAACCCTAAGGCACCCCAGAAGTGAGAGCCCAGGGGTCTGAACACTCATCCCCCAACACCACTTTCTGAACACGGCCCAGGAGGAAGGAGCGGAACCACTGTATAACAGTGCCCCCTCTAGGCGGTCCAGAAGGATGTCATGGTCGATGGTGTCAAAAGCCGCTGAGAGATCCAGCAGAACTAGGAAACAGCTCTCACCTTTGTCCCTAGCCTTGGTTGGTTTCACTCATCCAAGCAGCCTGTCCACATCCTTGGAGGTAACAGACTGGAATTGATCCCACGCAACTTGACTAGACAGGACTCTAGCCCTCTCCTAAGTGGTTGCTGAACAACTCCCAGTCCTGCTCACACGGTGGAGTCTACCTCTTACCAAATCTGAGGGACTTTATGTGCAAAAAAATTTGTAAAATCATTGCAGAAGATCATGTGGCCCATACTGGGCCCCGATGTAGCAGGTGGTTCCGCTAAATTGCGAACCACCTGAAAGAGTCTCCTGCTGCTGTTTTCTGCAGATGCAATAGAGGCGGTGAAGAAAGTCCTCTTCACTGTCGCTATCGCCACTTGGTAGGCTCGAAACTGAGCTCTAACCCGTGTCTGGTCAGCTTCAGAATGAGTTATCCGCCACCGGCGCTCTAGCCGTCTCAGTGATTGTTTCATTGCCCTCAGATCCATGGAAAACCATGGGGCTATCTGGGCTCCATGCAGTCGGAGAGGGCGCTTCGGAGCCAAACAGTCAATAGCCCTGGTTAACTTCACATTCCAGCGGGCCACCAGCGAATCAGCTGAAAGGCCATCAACATGGGATAAAGCATCCCCTACTACTCTCTGGAAACCATTTGGATCCATTAAGTGGCGGGGGCAGACCATCCAAATCGGTCCCACCTCCCTGCAGAGCAGAAGGGTCGTGGAGAAGTCCAGTTGCACCAGGAAGTGATTCTATGATTCTATGATTCTAAGTGATCTGACCATGGCACTTCTTTAGTTTCATTTTTACTTAGTGTCAGATCACCCACATCCATAGAGGTGAACACCAGGTTCAAGGCATGTCCGCGGTTATGAGTTGGGCCAGACTTATTCAGGGACAGCCCCATGGAAGCCATGCTTTCCACGAAGTCCCAAGCGGCCCCTCGTAAGGTCGTGTTGGCATGAATAGTCCTCAAACTATGACTAAACCTGCCTCCTTGGTAATGACATGGTCTGGTCTTAGCATCTGGTCTCCTCCTACCTGTGATCACTGAGATCGGTTGTCCCAGTGCATCCCCCCCTGTGGAACCTGCCCCAGCCATTTTGTTGGCTGGGACCCACTCCCAGGCAGCCCTGACCCCTCCCCTTAAGAACAAAATAAAACCTAAAACCACAACAACAACACACACACACACACACACAATAAAACAATACAAACCAAAAACAGTAAAAATTACAAACATACCAAAATTAAACACATTCCCAAACCCGACTAAACATCCATCCCACCCCCCACACCAAAACCAAAAAATTTAAAGGGCAAAAAAGAAATTTTAAAAACATTTTTAAAAGAACTCTGCGCTGTTCTGAGTCCTCCTGGGCAGCAGCAGCAGCAGCAGCGGCAACCATCCTTATGAGGCCTGTCAGGCCCCGCCCTGGGCCAGGTGGTGAGTGGCAGGAGCGGGGCCCTTAGGCACTCACTCAGGGGAGTCCTCCTGGGCAGCAACAGCAGCAGCAGCAACCGTCTCTGATAATATTTGGTTGGCAAAATGGATCACAAAGTTTAGAAAATATCCCATGGATTTTGAAAGAGAGCTGTGTTTCAGTTCGTGCCCATGAATCGGTTCAGGAATTAGTTCAACTGTGAACTGAAACGTATTTCCCCATCCTCCCCTAAGCAGATACCTTTTGCAATTTGCAAATGTGTAGTGGGGCATGCCCTGATTTGGGGTTTGCTCCAAGAATGCGCTTCTAAAATCCTCAGAATGCTGTTGATGGAATGGCTGAAGAGTGAAATGCAAAGTCCAAGTAGGTTCTCTTCAGGGCCCTGACCAGGGATTTGGGTTAGGGTATTATTCTGTAAGCTGGTGGTGCTAGAAGTTCAACCTGGAAACTTTTGCCTGCAAAGCAGGTTCTCAACCACAGACCCTTCCCAACAAATCAGGTTACAATTTCACAGTGGGGAACCTTTTCTGAGACGCCAAGGGCCACAATTCCTCCACAGTCAACCTCCTGTGACACCACATGCCAATGGTGGGCAGGGCCAAAGACAAAAGTGGGAGGAGCAACGGATGTGACTTTTGCCCCTGGGTCATATGCTACATTCGAAGAGGTTTTGACACATGTATGGACCTGGAGGGGTTGCTTCCCCCACCCCTGGACCTGAGTCCCCTCACACCTCGAGCCAAGAGTACTGCTAGGTACTCAGACATCTTGGGCCACAGGCCCAGGACACAAATTGTCAAATTCAGGCTAAATTTCAGATGGCAGAGGTGGAGCGGAATGCAAACTGTGACTTTTGCTGCTAGGGTTTCCTCTGAGCTACGGGGTGCCTGCGGGATTTTCAGGGCCCAGCACACTGCATGTGCCGCTGCATGAATCTAACACACACGTGTGTGTGTGTGTGTGTGTGTGTGTGTGTGTGTGTGTGAAATGTCCTCCAAAAGGGTTAAACTTCAACGGATTCCTCCTCCTCTCCTCAAACTGGGCAGGAATTACCGGTATGTGGGTTTTTAAAACCCCACTCCTCAGCTGAAGGCCACCCAATAGCTTGCAATTCTGAAAGACACAACACACAAGGAAAAGGGGATGAGGAGGGAGAAGGGTTGGAAACAAAAAGCAAACTTGTGCATCCGTTCTTACATTAACCAGTTCAGGTACACTTACGGAATGGCTGTTACTAAGAGACAGTGGAGGCAGGACAATGGAAAATCTTGGCTTACTTACTCATCTTCTGGCCTAATGGCAAATAATTCAGATCAGATCCCAGCCTCACAAAGCGGCTCAGAGCTAGAGTAGCTCTGGCAGTGCTGGTGGTGAGGGCTACACTGGCACAAGGATGACTCCATTCATCCTTCATGCCCTGCCCCCCAGTGCGTGCGTGCATCCGCCCCAAGCACCAGCAAACCATGCTATGCTGCTGGGAATGACTAACACAGGTCATTTCCTTTTTTTTATTATAAAATAATATTTATTGATTTTCCAACCATTTAAACACAATAAAACAGAAAAAATAAAAAAGAAAAAAAAGCAAAGAAGAGAAAAGAAAGAACATAAGATTAACAAAACAAGACGCAAACCATTTAAAACACAAAACAATTTCAATATCTTAACTTTCATTCCCTTATTTCCATGACCTCCTCACACCTCCCTTTTTGTATTCCACTTCTGTTAATTGTTTCAGCAATTGCTTTCAGACAAATTTGAAACTGACAGTTAAGATGTGGTGAAGGATTTGTCCAGTTGGGCTTCAGGTACCTCTAGATCTGAAGCTGGTGTGGAGGTTTTTGGCCATAAGATGGCATTGTTATGTTATGCTGTAGGAAAATGAACGGTGATTTAAGAACGGGTGGGCTCTACAATCTAGCGGTTCTCTAGTTGCTGCCGGCTCATATGTAGCAGGTATTCCTGTTTTAGGAGTGGGGTGCATTGTGGGTAACCATAATGGTGAAGCAATGTCCCAGCTTGCCTTTGATAGCAGAATGGTACCACTTTTATAAATAAAAAACAATGCATTCCTTTTCTTATTATTGAATTTGTTTTTATCTTGCCCTTCCAATGAACACAGGACAGTGAGGCTGGCTCACCCTCACCCCTCCATTTCATCATCACAACAACCCTGTGAGGTAGGTTCCTTAGGGTAACAGTGGCTGGTCCAAGGTGACCCAGTAAGCTCTGCAGCTGCGTGGGGCTTTGGAACTAGATGGCCACAGGCCTAGTCAATGAGACTAGCCAGAGTATGGTTACCAGACGTCCCCATTTCCCGGGGACAGTCCTCGGATTTACAAATCTGTCCCTGGACAAAATCTGTCCCCGGATTTCATTTAATGTCCCCGGATTTATATTTTAAGTGTTGTAGATTTATTAGTAGGGAATGAATGTTGCGTGATTGGTTCAACGGCACAAGACACATCATATGGGGACTTCCGGCGAGGCAAAATGGCAGGCGCCACGGGAGCGGGCAGCTCCTGCGCTATCAGGCTGGCTCTGGGCTGCTGAGACTGCTGCCGCCGCTGCCAAAAGGAAACCGGGGATGCCCAGCAGGTCAACTGGGGAAACCACTGAACACCCCCCAGGATCCAAATCGAGGCGGGAGCGAGAGCGCCCAGCCATCCGGCTAACTGCCCAGCAGTGCTCCAGGGCCAGGAAAACCCTGGAGCCGATGCAGAGAGAAGGAGGAGAGGAGAAGGAGAAGGAAGAGAGAGAAAGAGGAAGGAGAAAAAAGAGGGGAGCCCTGACCTTGCAGCCGCTGAGGAGGAGAGGTAGGAGAGCACCAGGAGGGCAAGGACATGGGGCCGAGCCCAGGCCTGACCTGAGCCTACTCCACGGCAGATAGCACTCCAAGAGATCAGGCTGGGGCCCAGAGGAAGGCCACGCGACAGAGGAGACCCAGAAGAGAAGATATTACTTCTTTTAAAAAACACAACTTTTTTAAAATAACTTTTTTTCTCTTTTCAAAAAAAAGTGTCCCCGGATTCTGTGAAAAAAAACTGGTAACCTTAAGCCAGAGCATAGGAGCCAACTTTAAGGGCAGAGGGGTTTTCATGCCCACCCCAATAAAAGCCCCTCCCAAAGGTAAGGGACACTGCCATTCAAATGGTGTGTGTGCACTGCATCACGTGACTGATTATGCAGGGTGGGTCTTGCTTGCCCCCCCCCCCCAATATTTTATTCAAGTTGGCACACACACAACCACAATTTTAAACAGTATTATTTTAAATTGCAGTACAGTTCCTAGCACTTTTAGGCCCCCATCCTATATAGACACACACCTAGAAGGAATTAAATCAACTGAACAAACTTATTTCTCAGTGGACATGAACAGAATTGCATTATTAGGTACTTTGCAATATACTACTTTTTAAACTTCTGAATCATTAATAACAATGATTAATTATAATTATGGGACATGCTTCAATATTAATCAACCAATAATCATTAATAACAACAGAATAATAATTAGAGTATTTCATTTTTATTACTAATGACTAATAACAGCAGTGCATGATTTAGTATTAAATAAACCAATAATCATTAATAACAATAAAAAAGTAAGCAGAATATTGATCATTATTATTCATAGCTAATAATAGCAGCAATAATTATTGATCACTGTAAGTTAGGGGAGTATTTCTTTTTTATTATCAATGACTAATAATAATAAAGTATGAGTACTAATCAACCAATTATTAATTAACTGTAAGATGGTAAGGAGAGTATTTCATTTTTATTATTTATGGCTAATAATAATAAAAAAGATGTTTTAGTATTAAATAAACCTATCAGCATGAATAGCAATAAAAAGTAGTGCGGTTATTTAGTGTATAGTATTAATGACTACTACTACTAATAAAAATAATAATGGATCATGCTTTAGTATTACGCAACTGACCAAATTCAATAACTATGAAATAACGGCGAGAGTATTTCTTTTTTCCATCAGTACTACTAGAGCATGCTTTGATATTATTGGCCAAACATTAAAAAAAAAACCAGGTCCCGGGGTTTAAGCGCCACCGGCGCGGCCAGGTGGAGGCGGCGGGGGCGGAGCTTTGCGCGCTGCGCTCGGCCCCCGCCTCGCCCTTTCCCTCCTGCGTCCCGGGGCGATTGCGAAGCCCGGCTGCACCTGCGGCCACTCGCGGCTACGGCCAGGTGGGCGGCGCGGGGCGAAGCCTGCTGACCAAAGGAGGGCTGCCATTGGTCCCTCGCGCGCGCGCGCGCCCGCCCCCTCCCCGCCGGCTGGCCCCGCCCGGGCTCTGCTTTGCTCCTGCCAGCGCAGCGCTGCTCCCTCGGCTCCCCTGTGCCGCATCGCCAAGCAGCCGCCGCCACCGTCGCCGCGATGCTCCGCCGGGCCAGCCGCTGAAGAATGAGCGCCGCTCCCTTCCTGCGCCTGCTGCTCCTGACGCCCCTCGCCTGGGGCCTCCTCAGTAAGCCCCCTCCCCCTCTGGGGGTCTCTCTCTCTCTCTGGGCCTCCCCCGTCTGCGGGCTTTCTCTCCTCCCGGTCGCTGTGCCCCCCCCCCCGCACCCATCCCCTCCTGGATTTTATCTTCAGTCCTAATCTCCCCCACCATCACTTTTTTCCCTAGCCAGAATAACCCCCCAACCTTCCTCTTCGCCCGGCTTCACTTTGACCTCCCCCCCACTCCACACCCCTTGTTCTCCTTTAGAAACGCCCCCCCCCCACCCGTCCATTCCTTAATTAACATTTCTCTAACTAGGGTTCATTCCCATTCCTCCCTGCATTTCCTTCATGCCCCCTCCCACTTTATTTTCCTAATGATTCTATTCCGAAGCTTTAATTCTCTCCCCCTCCCTTCTATCCAACCCTGATTTTGTCTGGCTGACCCCACCCTGCCCGAATAATTTCCTCTTAGTTATGTGCTGCCATTTATGCACTTTGTTGTTAGTGGGGGGTTTGGGGGGCGTAGTCCACCGTTGGCAATTCTGTCTGAGGTGGACTGGCTTATATTGGGGGCTGGGAGTTTAGCTGCAGGACTGGATAGCTCCTGCCAAAGTTATACAGTACAGTACAGTCGTACCTCTGGTTACGTACTTAATTTGTTCCGGAGGTCCATTCTTAACCTGAAACTGTTCTTAACCTGAGGTACCACTTTAGCTAATGGGGCCTACCGCTGCCGCCGTGCGATTTCTGCTCTCATCCTGAAGCAAAGTTCTTAACCCGAGGTCCCATTTCTAGGTTAGCAGAGTCTGTAACCCGAAGCGTATGTAACCTGAAGCGTCTGTAACGTGAGGTACCACTGTACTGATATGTGGCCTCAAGGCTGTTTCCTTGGTGTTGTTTCTAACGTGAGTGCTCTTATTGTGCCTGACTTCTCGGTCGATGTGTCTTTCATGTGTGGCCTTGGAGCATAAGCTCCTGCTTAGTGGTGGATTTCACACCTCGCCCCCACCCCACCCGTTGGTGTTCACTAAAGGAATAAAGCTTCATTCCTTCCCACTCTGATGGACGGAGCACCCAAAACCATGTGTCATCCAGTAAAAAAATAGATTCTGGAAAAGAGGGCCTCTTTTCTTCTTGTGCATAATGGGCAGGTAGCTTTTTTTTGTTGCTAATTTACCATTTAATCTCGGTAAGGAATCAGACCCCTTTGTCTGTGCTGCAATTCTGCAGCATAGCAGTCCTTGCTAATCTGGGGCACCTCCAGATGTTTTGCACCACAAACCAACATAAGCCTGATGGGAGTTGTTGTCCAACGGACCCGTAGAGCACCAGATTGGCAAAGACACCACCTGCACATTCACCCTCCTGAGCTTGTTTTGCAACTTCTGACTCTCATGAATACAACCTTGGACACATCACATAAGTCACAAAGTTCCTTGATTGGTTGATTAATTGCCCGGATGCCCCGATAGCAGAGATGCTTCCTGCGTTCCCAGTAGTGTGTCAGGATTAGGGTTGCCCAACCTTTGGAAGAGGCTGCATGCTGTTCATCTGCATGAGTTACTGATCCGCAGCAAAGGCTCCTGCAGAGAGACAGAGGGCAGCATCCTCTAAGGGAGGCCCACTGTCACCATCATTGCACTGGTGTGGCAGAATCAGCCATTTAGACCCCTTGAAGAGACTTGGCGTGATTGGAAGGAGGTGTAGTCAGAGCAGTAAATCGGCCAGGGTTGCAGTCTGCATCCTCTTTGGTGGGTGACTGATTGTTCCTGACTGTGAAAATTTAATGAATTCCTTTCTCACTGTGTGGAAGTTGTTGTGTAAGAGATGCAATCAACTTCCCCCCTTCAGCTGTTTGGGTTTGTGGACTTTGTGAACTGTCTGCTACCTTTACCCGAGGAAGCTGCCTCTCTCTTCAGATAGCAGCAAAGCTCTTGACTTTCCTCAGTCAGTGGATTGACACATCTTGACTTTTACCTGAAGTGGCTAGAAAACATTATCTCAAGACGGGCGGCAGGATGCTAGAATCTTTTCTGTGGTAGCAATTGTGGATGTACTGCTCAACTCTATGAGGCATTCAGGCCAGTCATTCAGTTTTATTGCACATAGCCAAAGGCTGCCGCAATGTACACAGAATCATTCAACAATTAAAAGAAAATATACCAGATTGATACAAAAAACTTAAAACATTTATATTATGAAGACATTACCTACTCTAAACAGAGCTATAAAAGTACCTTAATATACAAGTTAAGACATTAAACAATAAAATTTATAAGCTAAAGGTATCACATGGCCACTAACATATTAAAAAAGAATGTTAATTAATACAATGTGCAATTATATTCGGAGTTTGGTGATAAAGATAGAATATAGCTTGATGTAGACAGGGTCAAATAAATTCATCTCCTTTACAGTTGGTGGCTACCTTGGCTATATAATTTGCTCTAATTTTCCTAGCGGCAGTTGCAAAGAGTTCTACACGCCAGGTCACATACTTATCTGTGTCTGCAAGGAGATATAAAATCATGTCAGAGGGGTTCTGGCCAGGGGACCTTGTCCTTATAGGTGCTAAAAATCTTTCTCTTGCTTCATTATATAAGGGGCAGCGCAAGATGTAATGCATAAGGTCCTCTACTTCAGGACATCCCCTAAATTGTGGGTGTACTGCTCAACTCTGTGAGGCATTCAGGCAGTGGATGTGGAAGACAGTTTAGAGCAAATGTTTTAGGTGTCCTCTTGGGTGTTTGGTCTTCATAATAATGCTGAGGCCATCTTTGCATCATTGAAGCACGTAATTTTGAACAAAGCTGTTGTTGGCCTGGCATAGTGCAAAATTAAGAAGAGCTGCTGTGCTAAAATGTGGGGTTGCTCTCTTGCAACTCTGGCCCCAGTCACACCATACAGTCAAGGCATTTAAAGCAGTGCGGAGTAGTGGTTAGACCGCTGGACTGTGACTCAACCATGAAGCTTAGTGGATGACCTTGGGCCAGTCAGTTCCTCTCAGCCGCACCATGAGGAGGGGGAGAACCATGTACACCAACCTGAGCTCCTTGGAGTAAAGGTGGAATGAGTATGTGCATGCAATAAATAATAAATAAATATGATACTACATTAAAGAGTCATGGCTTCCTGCAAAGAATTATTGGAAGTGTAGTTTAAAGGTGCTGAAGATTGTTAGGAGCCCACTATATTCCCCTCACTGAACTAAAATTCTTAAAGTGATTTAGCAATCAATCCCTCTTCACATAGTCACTGCTGGCTGGCACCATAAGGGAAATAGTGGGGGGTGGCGTTGTCCCCACTTTGCTATTTTAAACACGCTTTGCAAGCAGGAATTAAATTGCTTTAACTGACAGTTTGGCAAAAAGTGGGGGGGGGGGGGCGGGAATCATTGACTTGTTGGCATGCATCCAGGGCTGCCTATCCTCTATGCAAAGAATTATGTGCCAAGAGAAATTGAATTCTGTGATTGGCAAAAATTATGCAAATTTGTTTTGCCTAATTTATTGACTGTCATGGGGAAGAGAGAGATGGGATAAGTCTCTCTCTCTCTCTCTCTCTCTCTCACACACACACACACACACACAGGTAGCCCTGCTCAGCTCCCCTCTTGCTCTTGTGGTTTTGCCAGGTACTTCCACATATTTTTCATTGTTATATTTGCTGGTGATGAGGGACAGGACCTTGCCTCTTTATTTGTCTTTTAAAAGTGAAAGCTGAAAATGCAATTAAAAAACAAGCAAGCAAGCAATTGGTGGGATTTCAAACCACCAATTAAGAGCCAGATTGTGGCCAGGTGCTATATGGGAATTGACTAATTAAAGGGTCCTTAGAATCCTAATAGTTGGAAGGCACCCAGAGGGTCCAACTCTGCAATGCAGGAGCGGGGGAAAGTGGAGCGCCAGCTGAACAGGGCTGCGCAGCTGTCCACTGAGACCTCAGCTGTGGGGGTTTGTCATTGTGGAAACGCTCTGGAGAATTTAGCCCCAAGTTAAGCATTGTGCAGATTTGCTGTTCCAGATTCCAAGCAAAAATAGTCTCAGAAGTCACTCAGATTCAGTGGAGCAAAATGCATGCAGAGCTGGTCATATCTTGATGACACTTTGCCAGCCCTAAATCAGTTTTGAAAACGACGAGTTAGAGTTATTAACATAATTATTCTTGGGCAGCTAAATAGGTATCGCCTTCCATAGCTTGAAGGCATTTGGCAGAGCATACCTGGGACGCATCTATTCTCCACCCACTTCCATTCCATTGCACAGTAATTGATAAGACTGTAGCTTAATGGCTCGGTTTTACACCTGTGTCCATGTACTAAACCACACATTCAGAATAAGAGTCTTTAATGGCCTGAACCACTTCAGAAGAGCAATTGTGTTCATTCCTTTTTTAAAAAGTCCATGCTTATAGAAAGCTAGTTCATCAGGGAAGATAATATTTATTTCCCACTCCTTTATGTGATATTTCTACATGCAGGAAGTGCATGTTGGTGCAGTGTAAAGTGATAATTTAGAAAGGACCCTCCTGTTTACATTTTATTGAGGGGAAACGCTGCAAATACTAATCAATAATTCATGCATTATTTTAGGTATGCCCATAAGGGGCCATTTGAATGGCGTCCATATACAGGTCACTATTTGAAACCTGAGCTGGTTTGAAACCATTTTGCCTATTAGTATCCTACTTTCTGTGAAAGGACACTCTGGTAACCATGATTTGGGTAAAGGAGTTGAGATATTAGTTTTGACATCACAGCTGATGACATGCCTTACTGGTTTGTTTATTTTTAGTACATTTGCTTTTCATATGTGTTTTGATACATTTATTCCCAGTCCCCCCCCCCCAAGATTCTCAGGGCAAAGTGAGTGGTTTTTCATCTTCTCTCAATCTCGATTTCATATTCTCAGCAACCCTGCGAGGTAGTTTATGCTGGCAGAGAGTGATTGGCCCAGTTTCAGCCAGTGAGCTTCATGGTTGAGTGGGAGGGTTGAACTTGCCTTTCTCCTGGGCCATGTTCTTGTTGTTTAGTCATTTAGTCGTGTCCGACTCTTTGTGACCCCATGAACCAGAGCACACCAGGCACTCCTGTCTTCCACTGCCTCCTGCAGTTTGGTCAAACTTATGTTGGTAGCTTCAAGAACACTGTCCCACCATCTCGTCCTCTGTCGTCCCCTTCTCCTTGTGCCCTCCATCTTTCCCAACATCAGGGTCTTTTCCAGGGAGTCTTCTCTTCTCATGAGGTGGCCAAAGTCTTGGAGCCTCAGCTTCAGGATCTGCCCTTCCAGTGAGCACTCAGGGCTGATTTCCTTCAGAATGGAGAGGTTTGATCTTCTTGCAGTCCATGGGACTCTCAAGAGTCTCCTCCAGCACCAGAATTCAAAAGCATCTCCTGGGCCATGGATGCGAAGTTTCCAGATGTTGCTGGACCCATCAGCCCCAGAAGCCAAGTTGACCAATGGTCAGGGATGATGAGAGTTCCCCATCCCTGTCCTAGGTGGTCTGTCCATCCAGGCACTGCAGTTGTCTTCTGTCAGTTCCCCACCCACCTCCCTGCCAGCACTGCTTCCCTTGCAGCTGCATTAGTGCCGCACTGGACGGCGCAACAAAGGTTGTGTGCCTGGAGGTGGTGGTGTCAGTATTTTGGGGCTGCGCCGCAGGAGTCTGCTAAGAGGGGTGTGGTGGTGTTGTGGGGAAAGTCTGTTTGCTGTCCATTCCTGGGTGGCACAGCCCATTGAGTCAAGGTGCCATGGCTGCAGGCAAGGGTGGCACCAAGTGCAGCTGTAGCAAATAGAATGCTTCTGAACCTTCTGAACAGCTATAGTGATGCACTGCCCTGTCAGGATCAGCTCCCAGGATACTCCCCCTTGCAGGGAGGACCAGCGTAGTCCAAAACATCAGGAGGTCACCAGGCTGACATATGGTGATGCTGTGCAAATTGAGCACCTAGAACAGTGGTTCTCAACCTGTGGGTCCCCTGATGTTTTTGGACAACAATGCCCATCACCCCTGAGTTCTGGCCTTGCTAGCTAGGGGTGATGGGAGTTGTAGTTCAACAACATCGGGGGACCCACAGGTTGATAAAGGCTGACCTAGAACAAGGGTAGGCAACCTAAGGCCCAGGGGCTGGATCCGGCCCAATCATCTTCTAAATCTGGTCCGCAGACAGTCGGGAATCAGCATGTCTTTACATGAGTAGAATGTGTCCTTTTATTTAAAATGCATCTCTGGGTTATTTGTGGGGCATAGGAATCCGTTCATTCTCCCCCCCCCCCCAAGCAAAAAATATATTCTGGCCCCCCACAAGGTCTGAGGGACAGTGGACCAGCCCCCTGCTGAAAAAGTTTGCTGACCCCGACCTAGAACTTCGGATAATATCAGAAGAAAGGGGGTTGGGGAGACCATTTCCCATAAACAGGCTACCCTGTAATAATTTATTTCCCAACTGTACGATATGTTGCTTGATTGCGGTCTCCACTGGATTGATAAGCTGCATGTTCAGTTTAGTTTTCAAAAGGGTGTTTTGATTTTTAGCACTCTTTGCTTGTTTCCTGATCTTCCAGTTAGCATCCTCTCGGGTCTGAACAGGAAGGAAATTAGATTTATGAAGCTGAGTCTTGTGGGCAGACTGAATGGGCTCTCAAAACAGTTGAATTTTGGGTGGAAGGGAAATCTGTTTCAGGGCTGTAGCTCAGCAGCAGAGTGCCTGCTTGGCATGCAGAATGTCCCAGGTTCACTCCCTGGCGTGATCCTTCTATGCTGAGGGAAGATTCTTGTCGGAGTCCCACAGAGAGCCACTGCCGGTTCATATGGGCAGAACTGAACTAGGTGGACTAGTGGTTGGACACCATATAAGGTAAATTCATACATTTCCAGCGAGAAGAGAGTTAGGGCCCAGCAGTTCACAAATTCTGATCCTGGTGAACATCCACCAGCATTTTACTGCAGCTTTCTCCTAATAAACACATTTTTGTATGCAGTTCTGACAAATATACACATCTTTGCAAGCAGTTTCCTGTAAAATAATGCATTTCTGCATGTTCTTTTCACCAATGTATCCATTTTTAGGTACGTCATCTTAGCATGTTTGCACCCATTTTTTGTTTGGAGGACATCACTGCAACATTCAGAGAAATGTGATTTTCAAAGAATTATTATGACTCTGAGTGTTTAAAGCCCTTTGCGTAAAACCTAGATATACATATACATTTATGTATCTATACATATATGTTTAATCAGGCTGCTGCTTTGATGGTACTGGCCTAGATAATTTAGAGTCCTCCCTGTGAATAAGGAAACAGGGGCAGATGTTTCTTTACGCTTATCTGGATTTGAACATTGTGGGTTGCCAAACCTGCTTTTCCTGAAGCATTTCACAGGAGGCCAAAGGTTTGCAGCCAGAGAAATGCGTCCTGGGCTTGCATGTGAGTGACACGATTTGAGGACAAGGAACACGTGTTGTTGTTATTATTAATGGCTGTGGTTCAAGTGCTGCCTCTTTGCTTGGCCCTGGCCTGCAATATCCTGATCGCCTGGCTCAGGGTGATGGGGAGGAAGGGGCCCAGACCTTGCAGAAACAGAATCTCTTTGCTAAGTCCATTGAGGGGCCAATGGGAGAGGAGTGAGAAGTGGAGTGGAGGCTTCGCGCTCCCCAGCTGAGCTGCCCCATCCCGCTCCTACTTGTGTGCAAGCAGGAGCAGGGTGGGGATCTCTCAGCTGGGAAGCACCAAGCCTTCACTTCTGAGAGATCTCCATCCACTCCTGCTTGCACGCAAGTAGGAACAGGATCGGGGAGCTCAGCTGGGGAGCACCTGGCTGTCCTCAGGTAGTGCAGGAGCTCTCAGATGCGGCTTCCGGGCTGCGCCCACCTTCCCCAACCCCAGCAACTATTCTGTTATGTACTGAAGTTCTCACCCTGGGCCAGCAGGGGGATACTGTAGATAGTTATGCAAATGAAGGATCGAAAGTGACGTTCAGTGGTTGGCTAGTTACAGAAAATGGTTACTGTTGCATTCTAGTGGAGCTCTATATAAGCAGGCTGACTGAGCTCCTCAGTTCAGTTCTGTTCCAGCTTACAAATAAAGAGCTGCTTTGGAAGAATCGCTGTGTCGTCTGATATGTTCGCCCACAACTTAACATATTCAGCCTGGCTGCCTTCATGGGGTTGCAGGGGATCTGATGCAGAGGTGGGGGCTCCTTTAAACTTCTCCCTTGAGGGGAGTGCAGCCACGAACCCCTCAATGGAAAGTGTGACGGAGCCTGCACTTCCCCAGCTGAGCAGCCCCAATCCAATTCCTGTTCCCGTGCAAGCAGCAACGCTGCCTAACAGAACAGCCCAATCCCACTCCTACTTGCCTGCAAGTAGGAGCAGACCAGTATAAAGTAAGCAGCTCATAAGCGGCACACAAAACGCTACCAAGCCATTCTATGTTATAAATCTTATATTAATAATCCAAAAACTGAGAGAGCTATGTACAAGATCTACTACAGAAGCCACAAACAGAAAACTCATTCAAATTGTGTCCAAAAGGAAGATTCAGTCTTTAAAGTTCCTTTAGCCAGGCTCTTGTAGATATCAACAAAGGTAAGTTTGATCAAATGAAGTGTCAGCGATGTGTGGCACTCACAATGGAAGTTATACTCAGAACAGAGCACGTTTGGCTCCCCTTCTAAACTAAAATCTCAGTATTCAGGTTAAATGGTCATGTTGGCACTTTGCGATATATAAGTGGGTGTTGAGTTGCAGCTTGGGCACTCGCTCTCTAAGGCTCGCCAACACTGCCCTAGCTAAAAAGCCCCAAATGTTGTGACCTTTCCTCATTGGGGAGTTGTTGCAGCTTCTTAATCGTTCTGGTGTCTCTTTCCTTCCTGGACTTTGAGATGAGCCTTGCAATCCTTGCTCTGACATTAGGTGAGCAGGGGAAAAGTAACATGGCTTTTTCAGTGTTGGCTCCGCGGTTGTGGAACTTGTTCTTGGAGATCTTCCAAGCTCTCTCCTTCTTTCCACCTTCAGCTGGATGATGAAGTCTTTCATTTTAAAGCCAAGCTAGCTTTAAATAAGTGACCTGCTGCATTTGTTGTTCCTTCAATGACGTTTTGCATTCTGCTGTATCATTGTGTTTTAATGGATGTTTGGTTTTATTGATTTTGTTATATTATATTTAAAAACTGGGTTCGTTTTGGATAGGACAATGGGTCTGCAATATTAAAGTGAAATGAAATGGATATTTTAAGCAGAGGATTGAGCTGGGCATCTGCAGGCAAACAGGATTATGGGCCCATCAGCCCAGGTCTCTGGCCTGTCACTGTCTCTGTGTTTCAGCCAGCCATTTGGCACCGGGAATTTGAACCCAATACTTTCTCGCAGGCTCTGCTGTTGAGCTGTGGGGCTTTACCTTTCAAGTGTGCCAGATCCTCATTTTCCTCCTCCAGACTTTTTTTCCTGTTAACTGAATGCAAAATTTTGGGGGCAAGGATACAGACCAGTGAAGCGCCTTTAATCTAAACCTCTGCAGTGTGTTTGCTTCTGCTACCCCTGGCTGTAGGAAGGAAGGAGGGGGGAAATCCTGAACCTATTATGAACCAGCATGGCCAGGGTGGGGGTGGCCAGGATTAAGAACGGGGAGAAATTCAATGAAGTTCACATTGAAAGGCGAACCTACCTAAATCACGCATTCTGAAATGATATGAGAATGAAACAAAGTTCACCCTTCTCCAATTTTTGCACTGCTGTTCTGCAGCCAAGTAACATGAAAAGAATTGCACATAGTGAAATATCCATAAAATGCATATTTTATTGTAAATATCATGTGCAGATGCATTATTTTAGAGGAAGTTTCTTTACAAATGTGTGCATTAGTGAGATGATGATAATAATAATAATAATAATAAGAATAATAATAATAATTTATTATTTATACCCTGCTCATCTGGCTGAGTCTCCCCAGCCACTCTGGGCAGCTCCCAATCAAGTGTTAAAAACAGTACAGCATTAAATAATAAGAACTTCCCTAATAATAATAAAAATAAATTTGCACTAAAATGCTTATAGATGTTCATGAGCACTTTTTTTCAAAAAATCACAAACTATGTAACTTTTATGTTGTAAACCAGAGCTTTCCAAACTCTTCATGTTGGTTACAATGCTTTTGTAGACATGCACCATATTGCTACACAGTAATTCAGTTTTACTAGCAAACCAGAGGTTAAACTAACCCCTTTTCAGCCCCGGAAGGAGCGTGGGGAGCGTTCACACAACACACTTACACACTGCAGCTGGCACACTAGTGTGTCGTGACATACAGTTTGGGAAGCTCTGCTGTAAATGAAGTTTATAAATTTAATAAATAAACTGGAGAATTGAACTTTAAATTGGAAAAACAAGAACCCGGGGGAAACTTGAAATTTGCAGCATCTCCCAACCCTGGTCAGGATAGCCTAGCCCAGGCGTCCCCAACCTGCGGCCCTCCAGATGTTTTGGCCTACAACACCCATGATCCCTAGCTAACAGGACCAGTGGTCTGGGATGATGGGAATTGTATTCCAAAACATCTGGAGGGCCGAAGGTTGGGGATTCCAGGCCTAACCCAGCCTCCATCAACCTGGTGCCTTCTGGATGTTTTTGACTACAACTCCCAAAGGCCTCAGCCAGAGTGGTTGTATGATGCTGTGGCTGATGGGAATTGTAGTCTAAAACAGCCGGAAGGCACCAGGTTGGTGAAAGCTGGATGGCCTAGTTCATGCCTCTTAAAATATCTGTTCCCCTATCTGTTCCCCTTTCCCCCCTGCAGCTGCCTCATTTGATTAGGTGGGCTGATTTGACATGGTGGTTGAGAGCATGAGCAGTGAGTGTGAAGTCGTGGGCTACAAACTCAGTATACTAGCACAGGAGGTGTCCTGACATATTACAATCTTCATTAGTAATATAATGATAACCATGCTGATCTACCCTACCGGGGGCTGGTTGAGACTGATTTAAGTAAATATTTATATCCCACCTTCGAAGTGCTTACACCCCACTTGAGGCTTCTTATATAAGATTCTTATAGCAGCCTTTCTCAACCCTGGGTCCCCAGCTGTTGGAATACAGTTCCCATCATCCCTGACCACTGGTCTTGCTAGCTAGGGATGATAGAAGTTGTAGTCCAACAATAGCTGGGGACCCAAGGTCAACAATATCTGGGAACCAGTCAGTGTAGATGGACTGTTGGTGCAGGGCAGCCTCTGCTGTTCCTGTGTCATATATTTGACAAACCATGAGCATCTTGTGTGGGTCATGCTCCCCTAAATTCTCTTCCTTTTCCTTCCCACTTCCATTGAGGTACAGTATTGGGGAATCTATTTGGGATGGTGGAGCAACTGCTTACACCTGCCTGGATGTTGGAACTCCCCAGCCTTTTGAAAACTTTGTGTCAAGTACCTCCATGTGTGGTGGTGGTGGTGTTGAAGATTTTGACATTTTTGTAGCCATCCAAGGTGAAACACTGATAAGGCTGTTGAAAATTTAACACTCCGTGTTGCTAAAAACCTAGAGCAAGCAGAAACCCCTTATTTTGCAGAGAAGGTCTTCATACCCAGTAGCATTCTGCAGATTGCCCTGTTCTGACACATTTGTGCTTGGGGAGCCCAAGGGCCTTCTGCGTCCGAGATTCTCTTCTTCTCACCCCCAAATAAGCACCACCTTAATAGCGACTGGTGATGGCTGGCTCTGCTCGAATAATCCCTTAAGCTGCCCTAAGGAGTTGCCTTTCCTGGAAGTACTCCCAAGTCTGCTTCGAAAACCCAGTTTCTAATCTGGAGCTAGAGCTGTAAGCACTCTGCATCCTGGACATCTGTGCTTCAAGGGCAGGCCTGTAATCCCGGAAGAGGGGGAAGGGGGGAGCTTTTGGGAATGGGTGGCTATATGACCCATTTGAGCAGAAGCATCTTCAAATGCTTGGTATCTGGAGGAGAAGAGATTTTTTTTCTTGGGGGGCTAGGACGCAAATTCATTCCTCCTAAGAACTTTCATTTTAAGGGGCAGTCAATGTATTTTTATTTTTAAGGCATGTGCCGTTCTTCAACAGTGTTCCCCTAACAATGAAGTTTTAAAATAAAGACATGGTGTCTCTGGTTCAGGGGGATCTCAAACCCTTTGGAGCTGAGAGAAATTGTCCTCACTTCTTTTCAGGAGCCCAGGCTGCCTGCTTTCTCCCCACTGTCTCCCCACTGTCCTCATCATGGGGGAAGGTAGATAGCCCCACCAGCTCCTTGATTCTCCCCCTAGGGTCAGCTTCTGCCTCTTTGGCCTGTCCCCCACTCTGCTGTAGTGGCTCCCTCTGGGGCTTATAGGCCAGGGGTCAGCAACCAAAGGTCCATGGGCCACAAACGGCCCACAGGGGTCGTTTAACCGGCCCACGAGCTGCCCCCTAACCAAGCCGCTTGCTCAGCAAGGCCCTGCGCGCTGTGCTAAACCTGCGCAGTGCTGCGTGGGGACTCACTTCCATGGTGCCGAAAATCACGTCTGCGCATGCTCAGACGCCGGAAATCGCATCTGCACAGACACTGGAAATCGCGGCCGCGCATGTGATCCAGCCCATGGAGGGATCTCCGCTGGAGTGAACCGGCCCAGGCGAGGTAAACATTGCCAACCCCTGTTATAGGCCATCAGGAGGAGGCTGGAAGTTTGCGTCCTCTAATAAATCAATCCCTTTTGTCCCCATCTGCACCCTACCTTGACTAACGGTGGGCTGAGCTACTCACGAGCCAGTAGTCAGTCTAGCATTCTAACAGACCATCTTGGCTGCCTCTTAGTGCAGACTCAGGACTGGCAGCAACAGCAGCAGATATGTTCTGTGCTTACGATGATAACTCACTTGTTAATAATGCTGTTTTAAATGTGCATTTTGACTTGCTTTAGAAATGCCTGCATTCAAAATGTTTCAGAAACTTTTTATTCTTAGCTTTGCTGCGTTAAATGTGCATTCTGTAGTTGACCTTCTTTGTAGTGTTTCATTTTGAAATATTTTAAATAATATTTCAGTTTCCCATTAATTATGCTGCTTTGAATGTATACTTTATGGCTGACTTTCTTCACTAATGTTTTTTCCTGGATTCTTTTTCTTGATGCTCCAATTCGTTGGAAACAGAATCCTGCTCTCACACTGGCCAACCAAATGCTTCCAATTGCCGGAAGCTATAGGAAGAGAGAGTGTTGCTCTTGTGCTAAAATCCTGCTTGCAGGCTTCAGAGGTGTAGCTAGGGGGGAGCAGGGGGCATTGTGCACCACACTGCGGGGCTTGACACTTACCACTCCTGAGCCACGTGTCTCTACTGGGTGGGACGTGGTTGCTCGGGAACCTGCAGGCTCCTGCTGGCTCCGTGCTGCCCAAAACAGCAGTGTGGGGCTTGCATCCAGGCTAGATGGGACATTGGCCTCATCCAGCAGGGTTCTCCTTATGTTTTCCTTCTTCACCCATTGTATTTTGTATCATACCCTCCCTTTCAAACAGCTCAGGGTTGTAAACATGAGGGTTATCCTACTTGATCCTTGTAACAACCATGTAAGGTAGGTGGGGAGTTTAATGGAACAGCCATAGCTCAGTGGGTAGAGGAGGTTCCAGGCTCAGTCCCCAATGGCTTCTCCATGCAGGGCTGTCAGAAACACAAGATAGCTGCTGCCCATCAGGCGCGAAGGAAGTTTAACTGGCACCCAGTGTGGGGTGTCAGGGGTGGGGCAAACCACCCGGTGGCACATGTGTTTGTGTTGTACATACGGTGCACGTGTGGCACCACTACGAGTGGGATCCTCTGCTCATGGCTGCAGCTGTGAGAGCTGGAGCTGAAAAGCCGCGCACAACCAATAGCTAGTGGGTGATAATAATAAAAAAATTTATTTATACCCCGCCCTCCCCAGCCAGACAGAGCCGGGCTCAGGGTGGCTAACACCAGTAAAATTACAGTAGAAACATAGTAGGGGAGGGGGGAAACCCAATTTAAAATACATATTAAAATGGAATTTAAAATGCAATTTAAAAATGCAGCCTCATTTTAAAAGTAGCCGATAAATCAAGACCATAAGGGGAGGGAAGACATAAGGATCAGACTGAGTCCAAACCAAAGGCCAGACGGAACAGCTCTGTCTTGCAGGCCCTGCGGAAAGATGTCAAGTCCCGCAGCGCCCTAGTCTCTTGTGACAGAGCGTTCCACCAAGTTGGGGCCAGTACTGAAAAGGCCCTGGCCCTAGTTGAGACCAATCTAACCTCCTTGAGGCTTGGGACCTCCAAAGTGTTGTCATTTGTGGACATTAAGGCTTGCCTTGCACACCGCTTTGCAGCTCCCGCCTTTCCCTGGCTCACTGTATGCTTGGAGTTGTGGGTGGGGGGGGCAGAATGTCACCCCCATCAGGATGGCACCCAGAGCGCGCCGCACCCGCCGCACTCACCTTGCTCGGCCTCTGCTGCCCATCAGTGTAGACAACACTGAGCTAGCCTCACTTAGGATGAGGCAGCTTCCTACATCCGATGGTGGTGTTAGCTTTGATACAAAAAGCAAAAAAGATTATTTCAGTAATCAAGCTTTTGAAGCGACCCTTGGAAAACCTCAAGGTTTTGCCTTCCAGCCTTGCAAATGAGCCCACAGCAGTACTAGCCTGCAAACTTCCTAATTCTGAGCTAGGTGAACCATTGGTCTGACTCGCTGTTGGCCTTGCACATTGGTTTTTCTTTCCCCGTTAGTAATGAGTGCAGACTTTAACCCAGGCTCCTTGCTAGACCCAGTGGCATAGTGCTGGTTGCCGGTGCCTGAGGTGGGCATGCGCATGCACACTGGGTGAAGTGCATGTGCAGGGCAGGTGCCAGCTGAGCCCTCGTACCTGATGCCGCTGGAGCAACCCCACCCCTGCTGGAACAAAGTGGGGCCACACTGAGCTGCCCGTACGCACAGGGTGGAGCCCATGTAGCCGATGCAGACTTTGGTGGGTGGAGAGGAGAGCACCAGGCTGGGCTGCACTGGGGGCACCTGCATAGGGGTGCCTGGTTTGTGCGCCCTCAAAAATTGTGCATCTGGGGCCACAGCCTCCTGGCACCACCACCCCTGGTTAGACCACACCACCTGTCTCTCACTCATCCTTGTTCCTGTTCTGAGGCCTGTGCCACAATAAACCCTTCTGAGACAAGTCAAATGGAAGCTGACAGAGGTGTAGGCTCTAGGTCTCTCTCCCTTTCTTAAAACCTTCTCTTCTGCTGCTCCTTCCTCTCTGCCTGTCCTCTCCCCTGCTCTTTCTCCAGCCTCTGGGATTGCCTCATAGAGCATCTATCTGTCTCGCAAGCAGAAGAGGAGCCTGGCTTTTGCAAGAGCACCTGCCAGAGGGAGGCACAGGTGGGTGGAGTTGGGCAGCAGGAGCATCTGCTGTGGGGAGGGAGGCAGGCTGGATGGCCTGGCACGGGAGGAGAAGGCTGCGCTAGGTCTCTTGCTGGTACTCCATGTGGCGGTGGGAACCAGGGTTTATGGCTGCATGAATCACGCAAGAACAGCTCATTGTGTGTGGAAGGCGAGCATCTGTAGCCTGGCTCCTGAGCTGCCTCTGAGCACCGTTTGCTTCCTGAAAGCAGCTTCTGATTCTGCATGGCTCATGCATCTTAGCTCAGCCTTTTCCCAGGCTGGTGCTCCAGGCTAGATATTTTATGCTGCTACTCCTATCAGTCTCAGCCAGCAGAGGCTGGTGGGAGTTGTAGCCTGAAAGAGTGTTGGGACTACGAAGAAGACAGGACACCAGGTTGGGGAAAGATGTTTTTGAGCCTTGGAGATCTGTGCTGTGCCAAAGGTGAAGGCACCTTTGTGAAACCACAATGCGTATGACTTGGCTTTCAGTTTGAAGGCGCCTGGTTTTATCTGTGAAAGGATCTGTCTGTTCTTTTTGTGTGTGCGGTGCAAGGGGTGGCGGTCAGGACTAAAAAATGGGTATATGAGCACTGACCCATCCGCAGGGCTGGATATAATGATGACTAATTTTTATGTGCCTATTTAAATTTATATCCTGCGCTTCACCCTAAGGTCACAGGGGCAGGTTACAGCATTGGGTAAAGGTAAAGGGACCCCTGACCATTAGGTCCAGTCGCGGATGACTCTGGGGTTGCGGCGCTCATCTCGCTTTACTGGCCAAGGGAGCTGGCATTTTTCTGCAGACAGCTTCTGGGTCATGTGGCCAGCATGACTAAGCCGCTTCTGGCGAACCAGAGCAGCACATGGAAACGCCGTTTACCTTCCCGCCGGAGCGGTACCTATTTATCTAATTGTACTTTGAAGTGCTTTTGAACTGCTAGGTTGGCAGGAGCAGGGACCGAGCAACGGGAGCTCACCCCATTGCGGGGATTCAAACCGCCAACCTTCTGATCGGCAAGTCCTAGGCTCTGTGGTTTAACCCACAGCGCCACCCGTGTCCCACACAGCATTGGTTTTCTCTTGTGCCTATTTATTACATACACCATTGGGTACCATATGTAATAAATAGGCACAAGAGTAAACCAGTTTTAAAAAAACAAAACAAAAAACAACAACCCCTGGAATCAGGGGTTTTAAGTCAGACAATCATAGAACTGGGCAGCAGTCTTTTTTTAGCTGATTTCTCAGCACCAGGGAGTAACTTTGCCAAATATTTCCATCTTGGACTCAGCCTTGAAACATACGGTACACTTTTACCATATGTTTGCATGGTGGTAGTGCTCTTGTTATAACCCACCTAGGTCAGCCTGCAGACCACCAGGAGGTCCCAACCCACTACACGGACCAGCAGTGGCTCTCTGGGGTTTCAGACAAGCGACATTCCCATTAGGGATGGAACCTGGGAGCTTTTGCATGCAAAGCAGAGGCTCTGCAACTGGGCTGCGGCCCTATCCTGACTTCATGTAATCTGTAAACTGACCTCATTACTATAAGACCCAACCTTTTTTTTCCCCCTCCTTTAAAACATTGATTTTCCTTGTTCTGGCAGGCCCTACTTTATTTACAGGCTCCTCCTCACCCACTTAGGTGCAATCAGCTTACGTGTGACTTGGTGTATGCACAGCGCCGGAAAATAAATAATTCAAACCCAGAAAGGGAGGGAGAGATTAAGAGAGGCATCCTGGCTCACAAGGAGACTCTCCCTGGAGCCCGGAGAGGATGTTGGTGAGGGTGGAGGAAGCCCCAAAGAGACTGGAGGCAGAGCAGAACCTTTTTTAACACTGTTCAGCCTGCCCGTCTAATAGCTGATGTGGCGCAGCTGCCGCAGCAGCAGCAGTCTCAAGGTTCCTGCCTGTCCTCCAGCCTTTTGCAGGCCCCAGAGCTTCGATTCTAGTTATTTTGGACACAGTGGTTTTGGTATTGCTTGAAGAGAGAGTGGCAGAGAGGGTGTTTAGAGGGAGCTCCCCATTTTACACAATTTCAGTTATGCGCACAGGGGCCTGGAATGTAACCCCCACACAAGTAGGGATTCAATTTAGGGATTTATTTCGACGAGGCACTGTGGAGTGATTTTACAACACAATAAAAGCATACAGAGATTTATTTGCAACCCGCGTCTTTCCTGCCCAGGAGTTCTCCTTCCTCCCCATCTTACCCCATCAACGGCCCTTTCAAGGTAGGCTAGGCCAAGGTCACCCAGCAACCTGCATGACTGGTGTGAGAATGTGCAGTGCTGTACTGTCAGAAAGCTGCAATGGATCTCAAATCCCTGCCCCCCACAGCACTATATAGGAGGGGATTCCCTTGGTTTTAGGGAAACATCAGTGCCTGATTTTTTTGGGGGGGTGGGCTTGCTTTTCCTGGCAGGAAAGATGAAGGGGGGGTACAGTCTTGCCTTGTTCATTAAGAGGGAATCTGTGGAAGGGCCTCCTCTTCCTGCCTGTTTTGGAGCATTAGAGTATAATCTGCTTCTAAATCTGCCTTGTGTGAATTTAGCTATAGGTGCCTTTTTCGGCTGAGGAAGAAAGAGATTTAGTGTTTATTCCCAGCTACTGTAAATCTCCAGCTTTAGGAGCACTACAGAGCTCATATTTTCCCCCTCCACCCCCCCCCCCTTACGTGCCGCTGAACTGGATATAATATTTGAAGAGGAGAGATTAAGTTATTTAATGCAGAGGCTTGCCGGTAGTGGCAGGGAGTGGGGCTAATGTTTTTGAGCTAATGGTACCAGGATCAGGGCTTGGTGTGTTACCTAATTTGTTTTTAATTACATGAACATTGCTGATTTGCTTGCTCGGAGTTTAAAATGTGTCAGAAAGGTGTGTGTTGTTAAATGAAATTACTGCTAACAGTAATCATTGTGTTTCTGCCTATATTGTGTAATGCGTAGCATTTGGTGCACATTTCAGTTTCCTATCAATGTTTTCCCCCCTCCCCTTCTTCTTCTTCTTCTTCTTTCTTTCTTTCTTTAGCACAGTGATCGCAAGTTGTCTGCCCAGGCTATGGGTTTGCTGTGCAGAGTGGATAAAATTAATTGCCATAGTGATAACATTCATTTTTAAAGTGTGTGGAGGATACTCCAGGCAGTCAGGCCATGATCGCAGCTGTACTTTTCAGTACTTTTTGTTATGGGCAAATAACAAAGCCAAAGGTATTCAGCGTAGCTGAAATGAGTTTATAATCATAACCCTTTGAATTAAAATCTAGCACTTACCTGACTACAACAGCTGTCTTTTCATAAACTGCTCTTTGTAGCTTGTTTTTTCCCAGTGGTACCTCAGGTTACATACGCTTCAGGTTATACCGCTTCAGGTTACAGACTGTGGGCAGATAGGGTCTCAGCCTGCGTACCAGATGAGTCTGGTAGACAGCTGCTTCCTGAAGTGCTGCCGTCCTAGTGCTGCTGTTGTGCTGTGCTTGTGTGTCTGGTGGCTGGAACAGCCATGCTGAAACTTCTGGGGAAACTGTGTGTCAGTGTTTTCAAATGAGTAATAAAATAAATGCACATGCAGTTGGTGGACGACAGGAGAGTGGGTGATTCAGCTGCTATGGGATCGCATAAGGAGGGGCTCCTGGATCAGGAAGGTCCATTGGCCTGTCCTGGGCGTGAGGGCGACTTCCTTCCTTCCTTCCGTGGCTGCAGGCAGATCTGATAGTCAGACAAAGATGCTTCCCAGGCTGTTATATGATGGGCTGCCAGCTCCATATTATTACAAGAGCAGGCAGCTAATGTGATAAAGGATCCTTAATGGGAGGCAGCAGGATTGCAATTAGTAACTTTCTCCCTGTCTCGCTTCCCGTAATTGGAAGGAACAGGAGTATATTTCATTCCTGGGTAAGAACAGTTCCTGTTGCAACGGAGGAAATGTTGTGCAAAGCCTCATGTGTATTCATGGAGCACAAGCAGGTTTCATGAGCCTGAGCAAATATTGGAGCAGCTGAGTCAAAAGAGATATTGGGATCCAGAAGCATAACCTTCACCAGAGAAGCTGCAGCTGGGCTAGCTTGAAAACCAGCGGCTTATTTCGTTGAACCTACAAGCAGGTTGACTCAAATGGGGCTTCCGTGTTCAGGAGCAATATATCCTTGTGTATTGGAGGGAAGTAGGGAATAGCCATAGTGAACTGTTAAAGGAGAGAGGAATCCTTGCCTACTCATCAGTGCTTTACTAGTCATAAGGAGTGGGATTTGCAACAAAATGTTGCAGCATAGAGCACTCTTCTTCAGGGTTCTGGTTAGGCAGCAGTGCCCCCCCTCCCCCCGAGGCACAACATCTCATTCATTAGAGGCCTGGCTGCTGGATCAGGCCAGTGGCCCACCTAGTCTAGCATCCTGTTCTCACGTTGGCCAACCACATGCCTGTAGGAAGCCTGCAAACAGGACATAAGCACAAGGGCCCCCTCTCCTCCTGTGCGCTCCAGACACTGGCATTCAGAAGCACTACTGCCTTGGACTGTGGAGGCAGAGCAGAGCCATCCTAGCTAGCAGCCTTTGACAGCCATATCTCCTCCACGAATTTGCCCCATCTTCTTTTAAAGCCATCTAGATTAGCAGCCGCCACTAACTCTTGTGGGAGTGAGTTCAGAAGTATAACTATCCACTGCGTGAAAGAGTTTCTTTTGTGCACTTACTAACCATTGCACTTTTTGGGGTGGGGCGGGGATTCCTCTAGTTCCCACCCACACCTTTAAAGATTCTCACTTCTGTGAACCTCAGGGCTCCACCAAACCTTCTGATTCTTCCCTCTTGAGCATCAGAATGACATCTAAATGGAACCTCCACATTCAGAGGTAAACGTAAAGGGACCCCTGACCCTTAGGTCCAGTCATGGGCAACTCTGGGGTTGCGGCACTCATCTCGCTTTACTGGCCGAGGGAGCCGGCATACAGCTTCTGGGTCATGTGGCCGGCATGACTAAGCCGCTTCTGGCGAACCAGAGCAGCGCACGGAAACGCCGTTTACCTTCCCGCCAGAGTGGTACCTATTTATCAACTTGCACTTTGAAGTGCTTTCGAATTGCTAGGTTGGCAGGAGCAGGGACCAAGCAACAGGAGCTCACCCTGTCGCGGGGATTCGAACTGCCGACCTTCTGATCGGCAAGCCCTAGGCTCTGTGGTTTAACCCACAGCGCCACCCGCGTCTCTACATTCAGAGGTAGCATAGCCCTGAATTCCAGCTGGCTGGGGAGCCCCACCCCCACCCCAGGTGAGGACTGTTGCTGTCATTCCCTGACAGTGGATTTCTCTGGAGGCATCCCAAAGCCCTATGAATTCGCAGGCTGCTTCCTATTTTGAAAATGCAAGTGAGATAGAACCTTAAAAAAAACACACACAAAAAAACAAATGCAGCTACTCAGCTACTACAATGGGTGTCAAAGGCTAGGCTGCTTTCTCCCTTTCAGAGAGTGCTTTGATGCCTCTGAAGGTTACCTTGATGAGGGTTATTTCTGTTTTGCTCTTTTGCCGCTCCTCAGAGTTGTGGAGAACACCATCAATAATTCAACACTGCTTACATGGCAGAGAGAGAGGGGGACCATTGCCGTTGGCAGAGCAGGGCTTATAATGGGAGCTGCTCAGGGCCTTGCAAAAGAACAAAGAAAGGGGTTGCTGAGCCAAATGAAAAAGGTCACCCTTCCTGCTTTGTGTCATTGGTGGTGGTCGGGGGCAATGAGTACAGCAATGCCTTCTCAGTCACAGGTGTTCCCAGGCCCTGTTTTAAGAGAGCTTAGCAGAAGAGGAACTTGGCTGCGGAATCAGACCAAAGTCCCACCTGGGCCACATTCACACCTGTGACTTGTTAGGAGGGCCCCTGTTCCCTTACCTGAATTCCCAGAGTTTCCTGGAAAGAGGAGTTGATTGTTAAACCCCTTTGGGAATGGCATCTCTTTGCAATTGCATCTCAGCAGAGCTGAGAAACAACCCACAGCACCTCCCACAGTGCTTTGGGGGAAGCCATGACGGTTTGAAGTGGCACCACAGTGTTTTAAATGGAATGATTGATGGGTTCCTGGAGAGAGGACTTTATTGGTCATGCCCTCAGTGTGGACTGGCACCCACATTGTCATTCTTTGGGCATCAGGGGAAGACCTTTATATTTCCCAGCTGTTTGGGGTTAGTCTTCTAGTACTTTCTTTGTATGGCTTGGTGGTCTTATTTCTTCTGCTTATGCTGTAGTGATTTGTTTGCTTTGTTAATTAGGGAGGGAGGGAGGTTGATTTTGTGATTTGTATTGATCAGCACCCAGAGAAAGCTAATTTATTGGTTGGTATTCAAAGTAAAGTAAATACAGTGGTACCTCAGGTTACAGACGCTTCAGGTTACAGACTCCGCTAACCCAGAAATAGTACCTCAGGTTAAGAACAGTTTCAGGTTAAGAACAGACCTCCGGAACAAATTAAATTCTTAACCTGAGGTATCACTGTAAATGAAATAAATAAGTGAAGGTAAATGTGAGATTCCTTCCCCTGATCCCAGGTCCAGAAGTGATGAAATTGTGCATCAGAGCGCCTGAGCGAAAGTTATTTGGATGTTACTTTAAGGGTTTTCCTAAAACAGTCTGATTTGATCCGTGGCTTCTGTATACCCTGAACTGTGCTGAAATGGGGACACTTGAGTACAAATTGTGTCCGGATCAATTATTCAAGAGGCTGGGGATTTCACTGCTTGAAGCAAGTGGCAGTGGTTACATGAGTGTGCAGAGACTGCTGGGGTTGTGAGTGCATATGGAACCTGGGAGCAGCAGGGATGAAGTGAGTTTTGCACACCCACACTCACACCCTGAGTGATCTCTTTATGTCCTTGTTTTTCTCAGTGGTGCAATCAGTGTTCCAAGTTTATTTTCCAGTTTAGGTTGTCCCTGCACTTCAGAACAGAACACCCTTTTCTGCTGTTCCCCAAGACTGCTTTCATCACTTCTTCATACATAAGATAAAAATGTAACACTGTCGTCATGCCACAGTTTGCATGGCCACCTGCGGGCAGCGCGTGAGCAAGCAGCGTGGGTGACAGGCAGCCCAGGCAATCTGTCTAACAGAGGGTAAGGCATTTCACTGCAGTCCCTCCATTAAATGTGGCTGCAGCAAGGTTTAATGGAGGGGGGAGGCATTTCAGAGAGTGGCTTGACAGGAAAGGAGCTTGGTCAGGTGCAGAGGGAGGAGGGGTCGGCCAGGTGTGAGGGAAGGGGGCTAGAGTGTGTAGGCAGGGTTATCAAATGGAGGAGGGAATACAAATACAAATAGGTACAAATTAAAGGTAAAGGGACCCCTGACCATTAGGTCCAGTCATGGCCGACTCTGGGGTTGCGGCGCTCATCTCACTTTACTGGCCGAGGGAGCCTGCGTTTGTCTGCAGACAGTTTTTCCGGGTCATGTGGCCAGCATGACTAAGCCACTTCTGGCGAGCCAGAGCAGCACATGGAAACGCCATTTACCTTCCCGCCAGAGCGGTACCTATTTATCTACTTGCACTGGTATGCTTTTGAACTGCTAGGTTGGCAGGAGCTGGACAGAGCAACGGGAGCTCACCCCATCACGGGGATTCGAACTACCGACCTTCTGATCGGCAAGTCCTAGGCTCTGTGGTTTAACCCACAGCGCCACCCATGTCCCTTTAGGTACAAATTACAGCAACACTAAAAACTGGCATGCCAAACAGAAGCTGCACTCCTAAACAATTTCACATGGTTTTATGATCTCACTGAAACAACTTGGAAGTCCTGGTAAAATGAAAAAGAGGGTTCCCTGGCGTTGAGAGGTGACAAAAACCGTGCCACCAGGCAAAATGTCCTGGGGTGCTGCTGGTATAAGGTTATGTTATTGCTTGACGCAGGATAGCAGATGGAGCAACCTCAAGCAGAGAGTGTCCAAGGCTCGGTCAAGTGATTCTTTGCACTCGAGGCTGTTCTCCCTTGCTTAAAAACATAATAAATTAAATGGCGCCCCCTCCGCAAACTCACTGTCCTTTATGACACTTGATATCAGGTGCCCAAGGCAGTCACATCTCTTTACCTAATGGTAGGATCTGTTCTGGGCAGGGTGCACCACATCTGGAGCATCATCCCAGAGAAGGACTAATTCTGGTGTTGCAGGTTTCGTGCCTCTGATGGCAGGGGCATCTGGAGGAGGGCCGCCACTCACACAACCCTTTGAGGTATGCAATCCAAACCAAGTTGGTTGTTGGAAGTAAGCACTGGTGCTTCCTATTGCACCACCAAATATTTCTGGGGCTGTCTTAAGTACAGTGGTACCTCGGGGTAAGAACTTAATTCGCTCTGGAGGTCCGTTCTTAACCTGAAACTGTTCTTAATCTGAAGCACCACTTTAGCTAATGGGGCCTCCTGCTGCCGCCGCGCCGCGGGAGCCCGATTTCTGTTCTTATCCTGAAGCAAAGTTCTTAACCTGAAGCACTACAGTGGTGCCTCGCAAGACGAGTGCCTCGCAAGACGGAAAACCCGCTAGACGAAAGGGTTTTCCGTTTTGGAGGTGCTTCGCAAAACGAATTTCCTATGGGCTTGCTTCGCAAGACGAAAATGTCTTGCGAGTTCCTGCGGGGTTTTTTTCCTCCCCCCCCCTTTTTCCCAAGCCGCTAAGCCGCTTATCAGCTGATCCGCTAAGCCGCTTAACAGCTGATCGCTAAGCCGCTTATCAGCTGATCCGATAAGCCACTAAGCCGCTTATCAGCTGAGCCGCTAAGCCGCTAAGCTGCTTAACAGCTGATCGCTAAGCCGCTTATCAGCTGATTGGCTAAGCCGCTTAACAGCTGATCCGTTAAGCCACTAAGCCGCTTATCAGCTGATCCGCTAAGCCGCTTAACAGCTGATCCCTAAGCCGCTTATCAGCTGATCCGTTAAGCCGCTTAACAGCTGATCGCTAAGCCGCTTATCAGCTGATCCGCTAAGCCCGCTAAGCCGCTAATACTGTAGCGCTAATCCGCTAAACCGCTAATGGGCTTGCTTCGCAAGACGAAAAAACCTGCAAGACGAAGAGACTCGCGGAACGGATTCTTTTCGTCTTGCGAGGCACCACTGTATTTCTGGTTTAGTGGAGTCTGTAACCTGAAGCGTATGTAACCTGAGATACCACTGTACAGTCATACCTCATGTTGTGAACACTGCGGGTTACGTCTTTTCAGGTTGCGTCCCGCTGCGACCCGGAAGTACCGCACAAAAGGACATCATGCGCAGGAGCAGGTTGCATTCCATTCAGGTTGCGAACGGGGCTCCAGAATGGATCCCATTCGCAACCAGAGATACCACTGTACTGCCAATATGTGCTTTCAAAGCCTGTTCTGACTTGGCCACCAAGCAAAGTGTATAAAATATACCAGGCTTCCCCAGCCTGGTTCCTTCCAGATGTTTGGGACATAGTTGCTGAAGGCAGAAATAATGACCCAAGTTTCTCTGCAAAATTCAGCTCCCCATTGCCCAGATTCTTGTTTGGAGGTTCTAGCAGGGGAGCGCAGCTATCGTATACCCTTGACCGAAGAACTGTACACTCCTTCTATCTGGGATGGTCGTCCTCTTCCACCGAGCGCGCAGCTTCGGGAGGGACGCACATGGAGCGGTGAGGGAGGAAGGGGACACCCGCCTAGCCAGCCAGATCAGCCGAATCAACCCTGGCGATCAATGGGGTGACAGATGTCGCAGCCAGATCGCCCTCACATCCCCCATTGCCCAGATTCTTAAACAAAGAGCATTTTTAATAAGGGGGGGGACGACACATCCCACATCCCCTTCCCTGCACCCCCCAGTTGTACAACTTTCATATCAATCTCAACATACAACTAAATACCTACATTGCCCAGATTCTGACTTTGAAGGCTGAAGAGACCTAGCCTTGTTTCACAATTACCAAAACTGTTATTTGCGTTCCAGTCTCAAATACCATCCCTTCTACTTGCCATCTGATGAAAGCTCTTTCCTCCTTTCCGTGGTTGGCGGGCCCTTGTTTACTCCCCTGTGTGTGTAAAACAGACTCAGCTGACGTGTCCAACTGCTGCCGCACAGCTGAGAACACCCTCTGTGAGAACCTGCAAACCTGTTGTTTAATTTCTCAGTTCCCTGGGTTTTAAGCTCACAGCCTCTTTGCAGCCGGCTGAGGCGTTGCAAGTGGTGTTTAAACATTGCACGCACATTTTTAATTCTTTGAAAAGTGGAGCGTCCATGTCTTTTTAAAACAAAGTTGGGGTGCAACTGTTGTTTTAGTGCAGAACTGGAGGCATGGCCCCTGCTATAGTACATATGTTTCAACTTACTGTGGAGAGTCCTAGTTTTTATTCTTGTTAATTTGTGTGTGCACTTGATAAATATCTATAAGATTAACATCCACTTGACCTTCTTTGGGATGGGGTGAGGGCGGATACTTGTCACAAAATTTGTAAGTGTGCATTTGTATGGTAGGAGTTTTTCAGAAACAAGACTCTCATGTTCTTCCACTTCAGTTCTGTGTTTGACATAGCAGTGCAAGAACAGCCTTGTTTGCTCCAGCGTTTACTTTTTGAGAAAAAGAAAATAGAGAAGGCTCTACGTGCCAGAGGCTTGCAGGTGGACTACTTTGGAAAACTGAGGTTCTATTCAGCTACTCAGACTAGTAGCCATACGTAGACCTCAAATCCACTTTTAGCTAATTCCCATAATTCAAGCTAGCAGCAATTTTACAGAATTGTAGAGTTGGAAGAGACCTCCTAGAGGGTCATGTAGTCCAATCTCCTGCAATGCAGGAATCTCAACTAAAACATCCATGACAGATGGCCACCTAATGTTAAAAACGCTCAATGAATGAGAGCGCACCACCTTCTGAGAGAGTCCGTTTGACTGGCTGACTCTTACGGTCAGAAAGTTCTTCCTGATGTTTGGTCGGAATCTCCCTTCTTGTAACTTGAAGCCATGGGTTCGAGTCCTACGCTCCAGAGCAGGAGAAAATAAGCTGGCTCCATCCTCCATGTGACAACCCTTTAGATAATAATAATAATAATAATAATAATAATAATAATAATAGATTATTTATACCCCGCCCATCTGGCTGGGCTTCCCCAGCCACTCTGGGCGGCTTCCAACAAAATATTAAAATACAGTGGTACCTCGGGTTACATACGCTTCAGGTTACAGACTCCGCTAACCCAGAAATAGTACCTCGGGTTAAGAACTTTGCTTCAGGATGAGAACAGAAATCCTGCTCTGGCGGCGCGGCGGCAGCAGGAGGCGGCCCCATTAGCTAAAGTGGTTCATAGAATCATAGAATCATAGAGTTGGAAGAGACCACAAGGGCCATCGAGTCCAACCCCCTGCCAAGCAGGAAACACCATCAGAGCACTCCTGACATATGGTTGTCAAGCCTCTGCTTAAAGACCTCCAAAGAAGGAGACTCCACCACACTCCTTGGCAGCAAATTCCACTGTCGAACAGCTCTTACTCTCAGGAAGTTCTTCCTAATGTTTAGGTGGAATCTTCTTTCTTGTAGTTTGGATCCATTGCTCCATGTCCGCTTCTCTGGAGCAGCAGAAAACAACCTTTCTCCCTCCTCTATGTGACATCCTTTTATATATTTGAACATGGCTATCATATCACCCCTTAACCTCCTCTTCTCCAGGCTAAACATGCCCAGCTCTCTTAGCCGTTCCTCATAAGGCATCGTTTCCAGGCCTTTGACCATTTTGGTTGCCCTCCTCTGGACACGTTCCAGTTTGTCAATGTCCTTCTTGAACTGTGGTGCCCAGAACTGGACACAGTACTCCAGGTGAGGTCTGACCAGAGCAGAATACAGTGGCACTATTACTTCCCTTGATCTAGATGCTATACTCCTATTGATGCAGCCCAGAATTGCATTGGCTTTTTAGCTGCCGCGTCACACTGTTGGCTCATGTCAAGTTTGTGGTCAACCAAGACTCCTAGATCCTTTTCACATGTACTGCTCTCAAGCCAGGTGTCCCCCATCTTGTATTTGTGCCTCTCATTTTTTTGCCCAAGTGCAATACTTTACATTTCTCCCTGTTAAAATTCATCTTGTTTGTTTTTGCCCAGTTCTCTAATCTGTCAAGGTCGTTTTGAAGTGTGATCCTGTCCTCTGGGGTGTTAGCCACCCCTCCTAATTTGGTGTCATCTGCAAATTTGATCAGGATGCCCTTGAGTCCATCATCCAAGTCGTTGATAAAGATGTTGAATAAGACCGGGCCCAAGACAGAACCCTGTGGCACCCCACTAGTCACTCTTCTCCAGGATGAAGAGGAACCATTGATGAGCACCCTTTGGGTTAGGTCAGTCAGCCAGTTACAAATCCACTGAGTGGTAGCATAGTCAAGACCACATTTTACCAGCTTCTTTACAAGAATATCATTCTTCAGGTTAATTACAGTTTCAGGTTAAGAACAGACCTCCGGAACAAATTAAGTTCTTAACTCGAGGTACCACTGTACAGTAATGCATCAAACAATAAAAGCTTGCCTAAACAGGGCTGCCTTCAGGTGTCTTCTAAAAGTCTGGTGGTTGTTGTTCTCTTTGACATCCGGTGGGAGGGTGTTCCACAGGGCAGGTGCCACTACCGAGAAGGCCCTCTACCTGGTTCCCTGTAACTTGGCTTCTCGCAGCGAGGGAACCGCCAGAAGGCCTTCGGCGCTGGACCTCAGTGTCCGGGCAGAACGATGGGGGTGGAGATGCTCCTTCAGATATTGGAAGATGTCTGTCATCTTTCCTCTCAGTCTCGTCTTTTCCAGTCTTAACATACCCAGCTCTTCATAAGGCTTGGCTTCCAGAACCTCGGTCATCTTGGTCGCCCTCCTCTCCCCACCTTCCAGCTTGTCAATACCCTTCTTAAACTGGACACAGGACTCCAGGTGGGGTCTGACCAGGGCAGAATAGAGTGGTACTATTACAGTCAAATATTTTGTAACAAGTACATGGCACATTTCCACCCCACCTGCCTCCCAAAGCTCAGTCAGTTTCCCCTGTTTTTTGCTTGCTTCTTTCTTAGAAGGCTGACACTTTGTAAAGCTTGTTTGCTTCTTCGCTTGAAGACAGCAGTGCTAGCAAGGCTTCACCTTTGACGATAACCTGCTGTCTGTGAGCCGGGGGACATAGCTTGCCTGGGACAATGGCAGGATGGGAGGCTTGGCTCTGCCTCCTTCCCTCTTAGCTGTTGCAACCCTCAGAAGGACGTCACAGCCTCTCCCTGGCTTTCCGGACTGTGTTAAAGCTCTTAGTGTTTCTTCCTCCTGCCCTCCCTTGCTACCAGGAGTTCGGCTTGCTTGTAGCAGCCATTATATAAGGCCTTCTGGAAGGCAGGCAGGCAGACAATTTTTAGAACTGTTTTCTTTTATTCATTTGCAGCAGAAGGGGGAGTTTTGATTTTCCTTAGTGTTCGTGCGGCTTGACTCCTGAGCAAGTCATGAACTGCAACATAACCATTAGTTATGAGATTGCTAGGAGCCATCAATTGCCCTTTCCTCCTCTATGAATTCATCTAATCCTCTCTTAAAGCTTTCACAGTTGGTCACTATCACTCTCTCCGATGGGTTCCATAGTTTAACTATGTGCCGCACATCGATCCTACTGCTCCTGAGCTTGCTGTCCAGTCTGCCTGGCCAAATTTTTGAAAGCCTCTTGACCATGTGTCCTTGTGGGTTTTTTTTTTTCAATTTAATTTTTTTTTTTTTAGCAGTCTCTGCTGAAAGGTTGTGGGTTTCTTTCTTCCAGTTTGAAAATTGACAATAAAATGATTAAAATGTGAGGCTGATAAAATAGTGCTCAATGAATTATAAATTATTTGGAGGCTATTATAAATGAAGGCATGGAAGACCCAAGCTCAAATTTGTGCTGGTTTGTAAGATTTGTATTGGCCATTGGCCCAGCCATTTATCTCTTGGCACCCCTTTCCCATCTGTGAAATGGGCATGTTTCATGCTTGCTTCATAGAGTTGTTGGGCTGTACTGAAGCCAAAGAGCAGTGCAAAGGATATCCTGTGCAACTGAAAAAGCTGCTGTGCAGCTTTGACTCATCAAACCCCCCCCCCAACTCTGTTTTCAAAGAACTCGGCTGGATCAGGCCAAGGCTTCATTTAGTCCAGCAGGTAATGTTCCTGACCATGTTCAGAAGCAAATTGCTTCGAACAGGATGGCAGCTCTCCTCTCTGCACGGGTGCTGCTTGGTCCTTTACCTATTGGAAGATTCAGAACAGATAAAAGAAAGTCCTTTGTGGAACTCAGTGCCACAGGAGGCAGTAATGGCTGCCAACTTAAAGGTAAAGGTAAAGGGACCCCTGACCATTAGGTCCAGTCGTGGCCGACTCTGGGGTTGTGGCGTTCATCTCGCTTTATTGGCCGAGGGAGCCAGCGTACAGCTTCCGGGTCATGTGGCCAGCAGGACTAAGCCGCTTCTGGCGAAGCAGAGCAGCGCACGGAAACACCGTTTACCTTCCCGCCGGAGCGGTACCTATTTATCTATTTGACGTGCTTTTGAACTGCTAGGTTGGCAGGAGCAGGGACTGAGCAATGGGAGCTCACCCCATCGTGGGGATTCGAACCGCTGACCTTCTGATCGGCAAGCCCTAGGCTTTGTGGCTTAACCCACAACTCCACCCACGTCCCTTCTAGGTCCTTAGGGGTGCACAAATAGGGGTGCTAGGTCCTTAGGGGTGCACAAATCCGCATAGAGGAATTTGTGTGTGTGTGGGTGCCACTGGGCAAATGAAGATGAAGGGTGACTGATGCTTTGCAAGGTGCCTCCCACACCACCTCTGCTCTGAGAAGAAGGAGGAAGAGGAGGAGGCAGTGCTGGAGATTTGAAACTCAGAGGCCTGGATATACTCCTAATGTTCTGTTCCCCTGTATGCCCACGTCTCCAAAAGAAAACCAGGATTCACAGTTGTTCCTCTCTTCTATTATCTCTACAACAACTTTATATGGTAGATGAGGCTGAGGGATAGTGACTGGCCTAGATTACCCAGTGAGCTTCATGGTTGGAACTGGGTTTTGAACCTGGGTCCCCTTGCCTCTGTTTGAGCTTTTGGGACTGGTGTAGGCCACACATCCCTCCTTACCAATTCCTGCTCTGCACCTTCCTTGAGTGCTTTTGGCCGACCAGAATGTGTCCTTAACCAGGTCAACCTAATCCTCTCGCTTGCTAGGATAGAGGAGTGGGTTGCGTGCATTTGTATGTGCACACATATATACACTCACACATACATGCACAGAAACCTCTGCCTTAGCCGAAAGTAAGATTAGCAACCTTTGCTCAGCCAACTCTTGCCTCTGGCAAGCCTCTCCCAGTAGACTGTCCATGAGGAAATGTGACCTTCAGGATGAAAAAGTTTCCCTTTTTCCTGTTCTTACCCCCATGCTGAGAGTCAGTGTGACATGTTTGCAGGTGGGCTGCCTCTGAGTGTGGAGGCTTTGCTTATTTCAATTTTGCCTTCTATGGAACTCAAGGCAGTTTTTGTGGGGTTCCAAGCTGGTCCTAGACTAGACCCTCAGATCTGCCTGGCATCTTGTGTCACCCCTCTGTGCCAGGCAGGCTCTGATTCCATTACAGCAAACATGACTAAAGGCACCTGATGGAAACAATTCTTGGCAAATGTGTCTAATTCTTTTCCGAGGATGTGCAGAGCAGTTCATGTTTACGAAAACCTCAGGTGCTGGTAAATGAGGCCAGCCTTCCTTCCCACCCGCTGCCCTTCTAGAAATTTCCAGCACTATTAACCACCAACAAATGGGAGTTTAATTGCATCGTAAGTAGCAGTTGCAACCGGAGACTGTAAATGGCAGCTGATAACCTTATTGGAGCTTTAATTAGATTGAGAAGTATCTCTCTTGCTGCTTAATCCTTATTGGAAGGAGGGAGAGGGAGCCAAAGCAGAACTGCGCCAAAACCTTCCAGAGGGCAAAGCAGCGGCATGATAGGTTTGTTGTTAGCAGGAAGCTGGCGACAGCTGAAGGGTTCTGAGAGCTTTACTTGGAGAATCCCCTCTGTCTGGAGGAAGGGTGTGAGGATTCTCTCCTGTTAACCTAAGATGAGCTTGCTGGATCAGGCCAAGGGGGACCCACCTAGTCCAGCATCCTGTACTCAAAGTGGCCAACCAGGTGTCGCAATGGGAAGCTCAGAAGCAGGACCTCAAGCACAGCAGCAACTTTCTCCTTCTGCGGTTTCCAGCACAGAAACCAGCACTTCTTTGGTGCTCTGGCTGGCCAGCTTCCTGGCCCTGAAGGCTTCTCAACAAGGGGTTTGCTGCTGTTACTCTTTAATAGCAGTATTAAAGGAGAGAGGCCACCATTATAAAATCAAATTTTACACAGGGCAGGAAAGGCAGTCACTTATCACATTATTCAGCTGTACACTTTAATTTTAAAATAATGCTTTAAAACAGCTAGGAGATGTGTGAAATGGGTGTCCAGGGTGTGTGTGTGTGTATACAGCTAGAGGAGCTACCTGCCCACCCCATTGGAAACTTCATCTCTCTGCCACCAGCATTATGCCAGCCCAGCACCTAAGCCAACAAGAGCAATTGTTGGGTTTCCCTTGCAAAACCTTTCTCTCTCACTCCTCTGCCAACCTTCCAGCCCTGTGGACAGGCAGCCAATGGTCGTGAGATCTAGCTCAAAGTCACCACCATGTGCAGCCAGGTTGTTTCTGCGGTGGATGGAAACTGCTCCTGTGTCGTTGCCTCCCCCCCCCCCCCCCGCATTACCACATTGTGACTTTTTTTAATTAAAAAATATAGTAACCTGAGGCAACACCATCACATCACATTCTCCCTCTGCTGGCAGGCTGGGCATGGGTTGTTTGCTTTTCAGGTGGGGGGAGTTTCAGTCTACACACACACACACACACACACGCGCACACACACACGCCCATTTAAGCAAACAGTTCCTGGAAGGGAGCAGGATGTCAGGGCAGGCTGCCGCGTCCTGTGAGTTGCACCTTCTCCTGGAAGACTCTGGAGCATTTTTAGGCTGTGTGGCAAGTGACTGTGTGTAAGGATGGCAGATCCCATCAGTCTTGGTTGCTGTCACTTTTTCATTTTTCCAGTCTTAAGTCTCCCCCCACCCACCCCCCCAAAAATCTGCATTGTTTGCTTTTTTTAAAGTTACACACACACACACACACACACACAAATCGCATGCTATTTCCCTCCAATATACACAGGGTAAGTTGATTTTGAATAGGCCAGTTGTACAAAGCTCTACATTCTAGTTGGGGAAAGAGGAATGGGAATCCACGCAGGGCAGGGGAGTGGTAAGTCCTCCACTTAGGCGAACCCAAATCCCCATATTCCCAGCTTTCATTTTTTGAAAAATATACATACAGTCATACCTCAGGATAAATACGCTTCAGGTTGAGTGCTTTCGGGTTGCGCTCCGCGGCGACCTGGAAGTAATGGAGTGTGTTACTTCTTGGTTTTTCCGCTCGCACATGCGCAGACAGTCAAAATGACATCGCGCACATGCGCAGAAGCGGCAAACACGACCCGTGCATGTGCAGGCACTCTGTTGCGTCTTACGTTCTGTTCGGGATGCGAACGGGGCTCTGGAACAAATCCCATTTGCATCCCAAGGTACCACTGTATCTATAGATCTGTAGAATCTGAGATATGGGGTGAAATGTACTGGTGGTATTAATATTTTTCTTCTGAGAAATTATCCTGCTCCCCACAGCCTTTTCAGTGCTTTGTTTTGCTCTTGGGGAAAATTTGCAGACATCCATGGTGCGTGTGTGTGAGAGATAGAGACTTATAATACAAGGCAGGGTGTGCAGGAAGTGGGTTTGGTCGTCGTCGCGCCCCCCCCCCCCCCGCAGTACTAGAACTTAGGAGGCCGGTGTCTGCCAAAAAGTGGGTGGTAGATTCAGGCCAAATAAAGGAATGCAACATTTATTTCACTGCCACGGTGTTGCATTAATTTATGCAACAACGGGATGGCCACTAACTAGGGCGGTTTTTTTAAATGGAGTCTCCATGGAGTTCAGTCCAGGGCTGTTGGTGATGTTGTCCCTGTTTAGCAGTGATATGTAGCTGGGTTGCATCTGCTGGGGGAGTGGGAGGGCTGGAGCCCCTGTGGCCTCTGTTTGGCTTAGCTTAGGGTTACCAGATGTCCCCATTTCCCAGGGACAGTCCCCGGATTTGCAAATAAGTCCCTGGACAAATTCCATCCCCGGAATGTCCCCAGATTTCATCTAATGTCCCCGGGAAACGCAGCAGTGGCAGTCTCAGCAGCCCAGAGCAGTTGGGTCTTGCTGGCTTCAGGAGCTGCTCGGAAGTCACCATATGATGGTGGAGCAGGGGGCAGCTTCCGGGCTGCCTCCACCTTCCCTGACCCCAGCAACTAAGCTGTAAAGGGAGGCTTCATGCTGCCTATTGGAGCAGCCCTGATCCCAACTCCTACTTGCATGCAAGCGGGGGAAGGGGAAGGGATCTCTCAGTTAGGCAACGGGAAGCCTCCCTTCCCAGCTGAGGGATCCCCGCCCCCTCCTGCCTGCACGCAAGTAGGAATGGGATTGGGGCTGCTCCGATGGGAAGGGAGGCATTGCTCTGCCCAAGCCTTGCCGCCGCTGCCACTCTCGGCCCTCCTCCTCTGCCTTCCATGCCTGACCCATCATGCACCACTTCCCCACCACCACCACCGAAGAACCAACAACTCAGGATTCATTGGAAAAAATCTGGTAACCATAGCTCCACTACAGGTGAAACTCGAAAAATTAGAATATTGTGGAAAAGTTCAATTATTTCAGTAATTCAACTTAAAAGGTGAAACTAATATATGAGATGGACTCATGACATGCAAAGCGAGATGTGCTTCTACTTCTCAGAGGTCCAATCTTGCTCGATTTGCAATCCTTGTTTTGCTGATTTCCTTGAATATTCTAATTTTCTGAGATTGTTAATTTGGGGTTTTCATAAGCTGTACGTCATGATCATTGCAATGATAACAAATAAAGGCTTGACATATCTCACTTTGCATGTCCTGAGTCTATCTCGTATATTAGTTTCACCTTTCAAGTTGAATTAGTGAAATAAAGGAACTTTTCCACAATATTCTAATTTTTTGAGTTTCACCTGTAGGTCATGGTGGTGCTTTTGTCTCATCTAGCAGTGGCATTGGGAGTGACAACTTTGTGCAAAATGCATACAGATTACTAATGGGTTCTCTCTCTCACACACAGAGTCTTGTCCTCGAAGTCTGGAATGTGCTTTGCTGCGGCGTGAGTTCTGCCTCCCCGGATCGTATTCCTGTGGCCCGTGTCTCTCTCAGTTCATCGAGGATGAAGACGGCCAATGCATCCCAAAGGCACGGGCGGCCAGCGGTAGGTAGGGTTGGGTGCAGAAAGCCTCAGCCAGAACAATATTCCCAGTTCTCTTTCCGCAGCTCCAACCCAGTAAAGCTGTTTCTGGACGATCCATGCCAGAATCAGAAGTCTAGTATTCATGTTGCCCTCTTGTTGTTGTTGTTTAGTCATGTCCTACTCTTTGTGACCCCATGGACCAGAGCATGCCGGGCCCTCCTGTCTTCCACTGCCTCCCGCAGTTTGGTCAAACTCATGCTGGTAGCTTCGAGAACACTGTCCAACCATCTCGTCCTCTGTCGCCCCCTTCTCCTTGAGCCCTCCATCTTTCCCAGCATCAGGGTCTTTTCCAGGGAGTCTTCTCTTCTCATGAGGTGGCCAAAGGACTGGAGCCTCAGCTTCACGATCTGTCCTTCCAGTGAGCACTCAGGGCTGATTTCCTTCAGAATGGATAGGTTTGATCTTCTTGCAGTCCATGGGACTCTCAAGAGTCTCCTCCAGCACCATAATTCAAAAGCATCAATTCTTCGGCGATCAGCCTTCTTTATGGCCCAGCTCTCACTTCCATACATCACTACTGGGAAAACCATGGCTTGAACTATACGGACCTTTGTTGGCAAGGTGATGTCTCTGCTGTCTAGGTTTGTCATTGCTTTTCTCCCAAGAAGCAGGCGTCTTTTAATTTTGTGACTGCTGTCACCATCTGCAGTGATCATGGAGCCAAAGAATGTAAAATCTCTCACTGCCTCCATTTCTTCCCCTTCTATTTGCCAGGAGGTGATGGGCCCAGTGGCCATGATCCTGCCCTCTACTGTTTCATTTTCTGTTTGGAGGAGAGGCCCCCATCCTCTGCTGCCACACTGTCCTGCATAGTATTTCCTCAGAGCTGCATTCCCTTGGGAGACTTGTAGGCAGCTTCCATGCTTTGGTGTGGAAGGTGAAAGCCGTTAAACCCAGATTAAACATTTGAGTGTTAAAAAGGAGTTGTTGTTTTGTGAACACAAATAAAACAATTGCAACTCATGACAACATAAAACCAGGATTCCTGCAGCATGAAGAAACTTGCTGAAACTTTCCTACTAGAAAATTTATGGGGAGGAGGTCCAAATCCTTGCAGTAACACATTTGTTGCATCAGTATTTGACCGGCTTCTTATTCCTTTGGACCTCATCAGCTCCAGTGGTAGGGCACACATCTAGATAGGCCCTCCCAGGGAGAGCAGAAAGCGTTAATTTTCTCAGGGCTCCCCCCCCCAGTTTTGTAACTCAGTGGTTCATGTTAAGCAATAGCGCCATCTCTAGGCAGCTGATGATGATAACTAAAAAAAGGTCTTCAGTGCACTTTGGTGTTATTCATTCTAGCCTAATGCAAAAGCTGGTTTTGGAAGTGTAAGGCGTACTTAGTTTGAAGATCTTGCCACCTGTTGTACAAGGAACCTATTTGTCCCAGGTGAATGTACTGGACCTATGTGGGTACAGTTGTCTTCCATCTACCCACCTTTTGAAAAGTGAGGAACGGGGTTGGAAAGGAATGCAGTTTGTACACTGTGGTCTTCAATCTCCTGCCTGAAACATGACTTCATGCAAACTGATGATTCTTAGCGACAGATGGGAGCTTACATAAGAGCTTGGTTGTTAACGGATTGGTGTTCGGACTGCATTTCAGTTATCCGGGGAGATTATGTACTGCAAGTAGCACATCCTTTTCCCTTTAAAATGCTGGAGATTTGGGGCTTCTCTGTCCCTGCGCTGTTTGTAATTTCCTTTAACACTCATGCAGTGGGTTAACTTCTAATGGAGTCTCAAGAGAAACAGCTTGCCCTAGACAGCTCATTCCCCCTTATTCATCACACAGATGAATAACAAGCTGCATTATCTGAAGGTGGACCCACATTTAAGTCCCAAATGCTTTCGGAGAATGCCTGAGGCGCACCTCTTTACCCTGACTTTTAATACACGAGGGGCATGGTTTTAGGCCTCACCTTGTTTTTATGGTTGTAAGTTGTTTTATATATTTTTAATATTGATTTCAATGCTGCAACACATAGGTGAAGGGCAGATAATAAATGAACTAACAATAATAGCAAGAACACCACCACAAGTGCACGAGGAGGAGGTTGCAGTTTGCAGAAGTCTAAAAAACATTTAAGGGGTGGGAACATAACACATATTCACAAAACAGCCTAGTGGTTGACTGGGGAAGAGAGATGGAACAGAGCAGGCTCTTCAGAAGTGGTGGTCCATGGATCAGTGCTGGGCCAGAATAATAATTATATATATATGTGTGTGTGTGTGTGTGTGTATATATATATATATATATATATATATATATATATATCCCGCCCTCCCTAGCCGAAACTGGGCTCAGAGTGGCCAGCAACAATAAAAGCAACACAGTTCACATAAAATCACAATCAATCAATTGAAATGCATTCTAAAATCAATTCAATCTAAAATCAATTCAAAATCAAATTAATGGCAACCATTGGGCTACAGTTCTGTGAGGATTACCGAAGGAGGGGGTCAGACTGTGCCTTGGCCAAAGGCCTGGTGGAACAGCTCTGTCTTGCAGGCCCTGCGGAAAGATGTCAAGTCTGCAGGGCCCTGGTCTCTTGTGACAGAGCGTTCCACCAGATCGGAGCCACAGCCGAAAAAGCCCTGGCTCTGGTTGAGGCCAGCCTAACGTCCCTGTGGCCCGGGATCTCCAATATGTTTTTATTTGAGGACCGTAAGGTCCTCTGCAGGACATACCGGAAAGGCAGTCCCGTAGGTACGAGATCAGCTGCTGGTCTGCAGGGATTCCACTACAGCCAAGGTTGAGTGGGACACTTCAGATTTGGCCCTCCTTGCATGATTTCACATGCCTGGAGGTTTTGTCTCAGCAAACCTTACCAGGGCGCACCATCTAGCTGGCCACACTTATTTTTTAAATGTAGCTGATCTTATTTGTGTACTACCAGTGATTGTTTTATACTGTGCTTATGTACACTGCTAAAAGATTTTTTTTATTTTTTATTTTTTGGTGAAACTGTTTATGGACGCTTCCAAGCAAATAAATCTTAACATGAGATCCTGGTGATGTTTTGATGGAAGCTGCCTCAAGGGTTGAGAATGTGAACCGAGCAAGGGCTGGGTTGGCTGGCGAGTCTGTTTCTACTGGTTGTTCAGAGCAGAGAGGCCTGTTAACTCTGCTAGCCCTAGAGGTGCAGGCAGAGAGAGAGAGAGAGAGAGAGAGAGAGAGAGAGAGAGCAGGTCTCCTCAGTTGTGTGTGTTCTGTGCTATGTGCTTGCATTATTAAAGACACTTTTTCATGTCCCAAGCAATAAAAAGCTGGGAAAGCTTGCCAGTCATTAAATATTCACAGAGTTCTAAAAATAGTAACACAGGGACTACATGGGACACAAGGTGTACCCTGGTTAGTGGACACGCCCCCACCCCCGCAAAGGGATGCTGGTATCCCGAATTTTGGGTTCTTGAGTGTGGGAAAGAAAAGTCTGCTGCAGGCCAGTAGCCCATCTAGACCAATATACTGTTCTCACTGTATCTATCTATATCTATATCTATATATCTATATAGATATAGATATAAAGATTTTTATTAGTTTTTTAACATATCATTTTCAACAATAATTAAACATACTTTTGCATCTTATTTAATTTTTTTTGTCCTGTCTGAAAATTTTCCAATCTAATCTCTTAGTATGCATTTCTTATTTTCCCTATTACATTTCAAAATCATAACCAATATATCTTTTTCTTCTTCGTAACACTTCGTATATTTCTGCTTACAAAACCTCTTGTAGTCCTACTAGCGCAATTTGTTGATTACAGTTGCTCTTCAAATAATTCATATACTTCTTCCAATCTTCTGTGAATCTCTGGTCCCGCAGGTTTCGAATCCTTACTGTCATTTTGTCCAATTCTGCATAGTCCATTCATTTCGTCTGCCATTCTTCTTTTGTCTGAATTTCTTCTTGCTTCCATTTCTGGGCTAACAATACTCTTGCCTCTGTTGTTGCATATAAGAACCTGTTCTCATTGTATCCAATCAGATCCTGTTATGGGAAACTTGTAAGCAGGATTTGAGCAGAAGACCCCTTTCCTCTCCCTTGGCTTCCAACAACTGATCTTCAGAAGCATCACTGCCTCATACTTTGGCAGCTGAGCAGAGCTGTTATGGCTACAAACCATCAATGACCCTCTCCTGCATGAATCTGTCCTTTACTTTTTTAAAGCTATCTAATTTGGCGGTTCGAATCCCCGCGATGGGGTGAGCTCCCGTTGCTCAGTCCCTGCTCCTCCCAACCTAGCAGTTCGAAAGCACGTCAAAGTGCAAGTAGATAAATAGGTACCACTCCGGTGGGAAGGTAAATGGCGTTTCCGTGCGCTGCTCTGGTTCGCCAGAAGCGGCTTAGTCATGCTGGCCACATGACCCGGAAGCTGTACGCCAGCTCCCTCGGCCAATAAAGCGAGATGAGCGCCGCAACCCCAGAGTCGGCCACGACTGGACCTAATGGCCAGGGGTCCCTTTACCTTTACCTTTAAGTTGGCAGCCATTACTGCCTCCTGTGGCACTGAGTTCCACAAAGGACTTTCTTTTATCTGTTCTGAATCTTCCAATATTCAGCTTCCACAAATTCTAGTGTTACAAGAGAGGGAGAGACACTTTTCTCTATCCACTTCACTTCACTTCACTTCACTTCTATCCAACTCAATTCATTTCAACCAACTCCCAGAAAATAGCTGGTCAGCTGCTGGCGGACAATAGAGCATAAACTGCCCATTGGCCTGCTATTTACCTGAACCTGTAAAACTCAGTCTCAAACTTTTCCGTTCCAGCTGGCAGTGGGAGGGAAGGGATCTCCAGAAATCAAGACTTAAGTGTTGAGGACAGTATTGCCCATAGCTGTCAACTTACAGATTTGAAAATAAGGGACCAGCAGCCTCGAAAATAAGGGATCAGCAGCCAAAATAAGGGATTTTCCCGGCACAGGTATATTCAACTTCTGAGCCCCTCCGAGCCAAAGGCAGAAAGCCCAGCCAGCAGTCGAACGAAGCCTCAAGCGGTGGTTCCCACAGTGCAGCAACCCGGCAAAGGGGATGCAGCAAGGAAAACCACTGTCACCTCTCCGCTGGGAAGCGCTGAGCAAAGGCGAGTCCCCAGGCAACGCGGCTGATTTGATCGGCACAAGGCTTGCAAGCTCCACCCCCCAGTTGTTCTTAGACTCCTTATTGGTTGAGCAACGCAGGCAAGCAACACAGTTGGAGCCTCTCTCCTCCCTGGCCTTTGAAACCCGGGAAATTTAAGGGACATCATCAATAAGGGACAGCAGCAGGACACGGTGCTGGGATAAGGGAGTTTCCCGCCAAATAAGGGACAGTTGACAGCTATGGTATTGCCTGCTTCATGAGTGAAACTGATAAAATAAAGAGAGCCTTGCAGGCAAACACTTGATATCTAGGGAAAAGTGATGCAGGGGCCAACATCTAAGATGTTGGGTTGGTGGTGAGGGAAATGCAAGCTACAACTTCTCAGTCATGTTTTGAATCAGGACTTCATGTCAGTCTGGGCTGGGAGATATTGGTGGCCCTACAGGTGCTATTGACCAGTAGTCTGAGATGATGGGAGTTCAGCAGCATTTGGAGAGCTACAGGTTCCCCATCCCTGATGAAAGGATTAAGAACTAATGCCATGTAGTAGATTTTTCTTTTCTTTCCTTTTTTTTTTTGTAATCTGCTTTGTAATAAAACCTAAACCGGGAAGTATTTAAATTTTGTTAAATAAAATAAAGATTGAACAATAAGAGACAGGATAAACTGAACCTATTTATGTCACTTGGAACTTTGTGGTTACTGATTTATTGCGTTTTATTCTGGTATGTAAATTTGTTCCTTTATGTTTGGTTCTAGATATTCTCTTCAACCTTTGCTTTATTTTATTTGTCATCCGTTTTTGTATTTTATGTTTTATTATGATAAAAATATATGAGAAAAGCAATCGCAAAATAAAATAGATTGAGTATGAAGTTACAAGTCCCCAGTTCAAATCTTACCAAGTTGCTTTTGGCAAGTCTTCATTCTCCCTCTCTATCTCTCATCCTCTCCACCAGGAATAATATTAGTGGCCTACCTGCAAGGTGGCTATAATACATGTCAAATTCTTGGCAGAAGTCTACAGACAGCGTGGCAGCTTTCCCCCCAATCTGATGCCACCGCTGTGCTGGTTGGGCTGATGCGAATGATAGTCCAAAATATCTGGAGGGCAGATTGAAGGAATCATAGAATTGTAGAGGTAAAAGGAATGCCAGGGGTCATCTACTCTAACCCCCTGCAATGCAGGAATCTCAACACATGGTCCATCTAATCTGAAACTACCAGACCCTGCTTAGCTTTGAAAATGTGGTAGCAGTTTTATTGCTCTACTACTAGGAGTAGGCTGGCATATATAGGCTTTTCTCATCTACACCATTAAAGGTAAAGGGACCCCTAACCATTAGGTCCAGTCGTGAGGGACTCTGGGGTTGAGGCTCTCATCTCGCTTTACTGGCCGAGGGAGCCGGCGTACAGCTTCTGGGTCATGTGGCCAGCATGACTAAGCCGCTTCTGGTGAACCAGAGCAGTGCACGGAAACGCCGTTTACCTTCCCACCGGAGCGGTACCTATTTATCTACTTGCACTTTGAGGTGCTTTCGAACTGCTAGGTTGGCAGGAGCAGAGACTGAGCAACGGGAGCTCACCCTGTCGTGGGGATTCGAACTGCTGACCTTCTGATCGGCAAGTCCTAGGCTCTGTGGTTTAACCCACAGCGCCACCCGCATCCCATCTACACTATTAGGGTGGTGTTTTTTGTTAAAGAAAACTGCTGGGAATGTGATGCCAAAGCCAGCTGGCTGCGCATGGTCTCCTTGACCCTCCCTCCACCATGCCAGCCCCCTCCCACACCCTGCGCACAAGAAACCCTGGCAATCATTCACTCTGATCTGAGGACGCTTAGCTCCTCCGGCGAACATCATAATTGCCTCTCAGGGAACTGCATCTAACTGAATTTGAAGAAGTGACCAGGAGGGGAGCAAGCGAGAGAGAGAGATCTACAATTCCATCCTTTCAAAGAAGCCTGGCTTTATATAATTCCTAGCAACATAGGAGACAACTCCCTAGGGGCTGAGGGGTCTTTGGCCCCCATAAAACATTTGAGGGGGCCATGGGCCCCCAAAGTTGACGGGCATTGCCATTGAAATGGTGTGTGTGCACTGCTTCATGTGATCAATTATGCAGGGCAGAGCTTACCTGCCCTCCCCTCCCCCATATTTTACTCAAGTTGTCCCCCCCTGCCTGGCAGAGTGTGTCCAGTGTTGCCCTGGATTTTTTAGAAACTGAAAAATATTGTATTTTTAAAAATGGATAGGGTAATTTGTGAGTTTGGACCCATCATGGGAAAAATTGGGTGAAGTCACGCCAGTCCGCCATCTTGGTTTGGAATTATGTCCTAACATCAATGAAGACTCCCACCTTAATGATCTTATTGAGTGGTGATCGAACCTATGCCAAAAAAATACCAGGTGAAGTAACACACACAACTTTGCCTGTGACTCTGCAATGGATATTTAATCATATTCACATTTAGATGTGCCACTGTCTTCCAGCAGCAAGATGACTAGACTTCAGTATGGGGGAAAGTCCAGTTCACATCCCCAAACCTCTGCCCCCAGCCTACCTCACAGGGTTGTTGCGAGGGTGAAATGCCACTAGCTGGGGGGGGGGGGGAGAACAGGATGCAAACATGTCAGCCACAAGTCCAACAGCTGTTCGATTAGGGAAGAAACACAGCCAATCTTACTTTTAGCCTATTGTTGATTTTATAAATAAATTTTAATTAATTTTTACACATACTTTCCAGCATAATATCCTTTTAAACATCATTTCGAAATTTTTGGCTATCACAGCCTGAGACTTCCTTTAACCTTGACTGATGGTTTTCTAAAGTCTTTCTAATTATGCATTTTGTTACTGCTGTAGTTATTGCTATAAACTCAAATTCCCAGTACATCTATTCTTAATTCTCTTCACAATAATTTATAAATTGCTCCTTTTAGTGTTTGTATGTAGAAAGAAGGCCTTTCAAAGGCCAGCAGGAATAAGCGGGATTGTCAGACATGCCAAGATGTTAAAAGCCCCAGTTCCTTCAGTCTCAAGACTCTGATTAAGGTGTATTAAGGTGCTCCTCCACCTGCAGCTGCTGGGTGACCTTGGGCCAGTCACACTTAAGGTGTAAGGTGATTAAGGTGCTCCTCCACCTGCAGCTGCTGGGTGACCTTGGGCCAGTAACACTTCTGTGAAGTCTCTCTAACCCACTCACCTCACAGTGTGTTTGTTGTGGGGGAGGAAGGGAAAGGAGAATGTTAGCCACTTTGAGACTCCTGAAGGGGAGTGAAAGGCGGGATATCAAATCCAAACTCTTCCTCTTCTTCTTACGAAACTTCTTTCAACCCTACAAGGGATGTCAAGCTTATTGTTGGTTTTAAATATTATTTTTGAAGGTTTTGCATCTTTTAAAACTATTTTTACTGGTAATTATCGGTAAACCATTGTGAGGGTTTATTTTAAGCAGTTGTTTGGTCTATAAATTTATGAAATAATCTGTTGATAACTTTTCTTTGGATTTGTTGTCCCCCCCCCCCCCCAAATACCTTCTGTCTTCCTTCTTAGGGCGAGCCAGTGTTCCCAACCTAGAGGAAGAAGTTGATTTAGTGGCGGATGCGCTGTCCAAACAGAATAATGCTCTCCAGGATGGTAAGTCTCTTCTGCAGACCAGTTTCCACTCTACACATCTTGGATGAAAGATTAGGGTTGATACTTTCTTTCTTCTCACATAGGGCGAGACCGTCCAGGGGTGCGTGTGGGTTGTCCTTCTGTATGAATTAATTTGTAAAGAAATATACAATAATAAGAGTACAGGTGAAACTCGAAAAATTAGAAAATCATGGAAAAGTTCATTTATTTCAGGAATTCAACTTGAAAGGTGAAACTAATATATGAGATCAACTCAGGACATGCAAAGCGAGATGTGCTTCTACTTCTCAGAGGTCCAATCTTGCTCTATTTGCAATCCTTGTTTTGCTGATTTTATTGAATATTCTCATTTTCTGATATTGTTAATTTGGTGTTTTCATCAGCTGTACGCCATAATCATCACAATTATAACAAATAAAGGCTTGACATATCTCGCTTTGCATGTCACGAGTCTATCTCATATATGAGTTTCACCTTTCAAGTTGAATGACTGAAATAAATGAACTTTTCCACGATATTCTAATTTTTTGAGTTTCACCTGTAGAATCACGGCTTGACATATCTCGCTTTGCATGTCATGAGTCGATCTCATATATTAGTTTCACCTTTTAAGTTGAATTAGTGAAATAAAGGAACTTTTCCACAATATTCAAATTTTTCGAGTTTCACCTGTACATTCATTGGTAAAAAAGGAATATAGAACGGGATAGACAGGAAGTCCAAAGTGTTTGTAGATATATGATTTTGGAATAGTTTTTTGTCCTTGTTTCTTTTATTTAGGTATACAAACTTTGTATATAAACTTTGTATACATGCTGAAAATTATATTATAATAAGCCTTGTGATGTAATATGAAAATGTTTGCCGATGTAACATAAGAACGTTAATAAATAAATAAAACTCAAAAAAAAGAAGAAAAGAAAATCTTTCGCCCTCACCCCAACCTTTGTGGACATGTTATTGCCTTACACAGAAACCCCAGCCCCCACAGGCAAGCACCCCAGGATCGGTGCGTCGAAGTCAGTGTCCTCGCCAAAGGGACAGGCAAGACGCCCTCCTGCAACACCTTCCCTTCGCACAGAAGCAGTCAAAAGTACTCCAGTGAAAACCTCACTCTCGTCAAATGACGCTCTCATACTGGGTAAGCGGTTCAGCAAGGCAACTGGGTGTTCCATATATGGCAGAGTATAATATAACAATGGAAGACTATATCAATCCAAATTTCAAACGCACAGCAGTGAGGCAAATAGTTGTTTCCACTTGGGGGGGAGGGCTCCCCCTCCCACCACAGAGTTTTGGACCCAATCCGTGTGGAACTTAGGGAGCACTTCCAGAGTGCTTGGCTCACCACCGGAGGTGGATAAGAGGAATAATAAAGAAAGATGGGTTTGACTTGGTAGGGTCTCAGTTTATATCCTTTATTAACAATAGGAGAGCCTCTTCCACCTCAGTCGCAGAAGCTACTATGGAGACATTATCTTAACTCTTGAGATTGAAGCCATACCCTGTAGATGCGAGCTGAACCTAAAACGTAAAAGATTTTCCAAGTTTGTTTTGATGCCATGTTGGTGACTACGTATAAAACTTAACAGCTGGACATGCATTTGTCTTGGAAGACAGCACTTTGTTTGTTTGGTTGTTTGTTTTAATTGTAATAAAGTTTGTAAAGAAAAATGTTTAATAATAATAATAATAATGTTGCTTTTAATCGGTATACAGTAAAGTTGAAAAGACACAATGAAGATAAATCAATTTAAACTCAACCACAGAGTTACCAAACTTTCTTAAATTGTCTGCTGAGGTGGAAAGGGCATCTCCAGCTGCCAGAAGTCTAATAGGGAGGAGACTCCTCTGATAATAATAATAATAATTTTTTATTTCTATCCCGCCCTCCCCAGCCGAAGCCGGGCTCAGCGCGGCTAACAACAATAAAAGTAACACAGCATTCTAAAATCAATTCATTCTAAATCAATTCAGAATCAAATTAATGGCAACCATTGGGCTAGAGTTCTATGAGGATTACAGAAGGAGAGAGGAGGTCAGACTGTGCCCTGGCCAAAGGCCTGGTGGAACAGCTCTGTCTTGCAGGCCCTGCGGACAGATGTCAAGTCCCGCAGGGCCCTGGTCTCTTGTGACAGAGTGTTCCACCAGATCGGGGCCACAGCCGAAAAAGCCCTGGCTCTGGTTGATCTCAACCACGAGAGAGTTCCACAGAACTGTCCCACAATGCTGAATGCACCACTGGTTGCTGATTTGCAGGTAGGGATTTTATGCTTCCACCTGCAATGAGGGGCAGTGTATGAACACTTACAACAAGGACAGTGTTTAAGCAAACAAATAAAATGCTAATGAAGAAAATAAAATCATAAAGGCTGGAAGTTCTTTGACAGTGCTTCACCTGCCATCATCCCAGGAGGTTACTGCTGGTTCCTTCCCTGCTTCCTTCCTTCCCTGGTGTGTCTCTATACAAACTTTCCACCTGTGTGTCTCTGCAGGGATGATAGTCGTGTGTACAGCTGCAGGAATCGCAGCTCTGGTGGTGGCAGCTGTGTGCTGGTGCAGGTAGGCCCATGCAAAACCTTTACTTGGCAAGAGGCCAGCAGTTTTATTTAGTGCTTCCCCCCACCCCCACCCCAAAACACCATTCTCGGGAACCACTAGGAAGGGTGGGGATGCAGGTATAATAACGCTAGAATGAGGAGCTGCTTAAGAGCAGCAACAACTGCAATTGTTTATTGCATTTGCATCCCACCATTTTCTCCACGAAGCTCAAGGCGTCACCCATGGTTCTCCCCTTCTTCATTTATTCACTACAACAACCCTGTGAGGTAGGTTGGGCTGAGAGTGAACGAGTGGCCAAGTAGGGATTTGGACCATGGTCTCTAAGCACTAAACAAGGCAGTCCTGTGTACCATTCTCTGCTGTAGTATCAAGTGCTGAAGGACGCTGAATGTTGCCCTCAAGCCCTTCTTATTGGCTTTTCAAAAGCGGGCCACTGTTGGTAACAGGCTAGATGGATTTCTCACCTGCTCCAGCAAGCTGCTGGTGTGTCTAATTATTTACTTGCTTTCCTCTTCTCCTCCTCTTCCTAGGCTGCAAAAGGAAATACGCCTTGCACAGAAAGCAGACTACCCAGTTCAGAAACTCCCGGGCCCTCCGTCGTATGACAAGATCTCAGTATGTCCTTTTCTCTTTGATGCCTGTTTGCTGGCTATGCACTAAACTTGATGCTCTTCACTGTTTGAAGGGAATGTGGGGAAAAACATTTGTATGCCTAATTCCAGGCAATAATGAGCCCCAGTTACCCAGCCATAGCAGGGGGTTGGTTGCCTTTGCATCTCTGTATCCTATACTGTTCTGGCCTCACAACCTTCCAAATACATCTCTGCTAGCAGGGGCAAGTTGCTGTGGACTTGGCTCCTTCTCAACAGGAAATGCTTGCCTGGACTGTGATGATTTCTGCATGCTCTTTTCTTCCAAACTCACTGCAACTTGGGCTAACTTGCAATGCTGTGTACACTGTGCCTGTTTTTCTCTCCCCAAAGCCTGGCGATAAGAAGTTGGCACAGAGTGCCCAGATGTACCACTACCAGCACCAGAAACAACAGATGCTATCCATGGAGAAGTGAGTAGCACCATTATTCACCCATATTTTTAGCATTTTCTTCAGACTGCGGCTTCCACACACCTCGTGGCAACAAGTCTGCTTTATTAAAATACTTTTATCCCACTCTTCACCCTAAAAAAAGAGGGAAGTCCTCTTAGAGCAGCTCCCCAATGTCATTGATGAGACAATTCCCTGCCCCTCGGGCTTACAGTCTTAAAAAAAGGCATGATATAAGACAGAGAGGAATGGATTTGGATGAAGTAGGGAAAAAACAAACTCAGTTAGGCCTCTACCTTTCCATGCATGGTTCTGGGACTGGGTTCCTGTGGAGGGTGCATTTCAAAAACTTCTGCCCGAGAGAACTGGAACAGCCAGTCCACAACATTGCATCCACATCTTTAGTGTCTTTTTAATGTGGACTCACTTGGGAGAAGAAGAGGAGGAGGCGGAGTTTGGATTTGATATCCCGCTTTATCACTACCTGAAGGAGTCTCAAAGCGGCTAACATTCTCCTTTCCCTTCCTCCCCCACAACAAACACTCTGTGAGGTGAGTGAGGCTGAGGGACTTCAGAGAAGTGTGACTAGCCCAAGGTCACCCAGCAGCTGCATGTGGAGGAGCGGGGAAGCGAACCCGGTTCACCAGATTACGAGTCCACAGCTCTTAACCACTACACCACACTGGCTCTCTACATTCCTTTGGCCTATGTGATGTGGCCTCTGGCTCAGATAGCCTTTTTAAAAGCTTAGGTCAGCCTCTCCCCAACCCAGCAAGCCTCCAAACTGCAGCTTGCACCAACTCCTGCTAGCTAGCACAGCCATGCTGGGTAGGAGGTGCAGTTAAAACACCTGAAAGGTACTAGGTTGGGGAAGGCTGGTTGGATTTTGGGAAGATTCAGGACAAAAGAAAGTGCTTATTTACACATCACATAGTTAAATTATGGAACTCCCACAGGAGGAAGGGATGGCCACCAGCTTTGGGCACCAGGCAAAAACATTTATCTTCTTGCAGACCTTTGACCAATTAAACAATATGTTTGTTTTTTTTAATGGGGGAGGGTATTGTTTTTGTTATTATGCTATGTGTTTTTGCATTGTAAACCACCCTGTAATCTTTGGATGAAGGACAGCATGGAAATTAATAATAATAATAATAATAATAATAATAATAATAATAATAATATTTCCATGCTGTCCTTCATCCAAAGATTACAGGGTGGTTTACAAATAATAATAATAATAATAATAATAATAATAATAATAGCAATGTTCCTGAATAACAGTTGCTGGAAGCCACAGAAGGGGCAGAGGGCTCTTGTGCTCAGGTCTGGCTTGTGGGTTTCCCACAGGCATTTGGGTAACCAATGGGAGGACAGGATGCTGGCCTAAGTGGGCCCCCTTTGGCCCGATCCAGCAGGGCTCATCTTGGGTTCTTATATGACAGCTTTTGGAAAGGTATAGTTAAATTGATGGAAGGTCTGTGTATACACCTGAAAATTGCCAAGTGCCGTCTTCTGTGTTCAGAGACAGGGCACTTTTGAGTACCAGGTGCCAAGGTCAAGGAGGGGGGGACAGGGGGAGCGGGGAGCAGTCTCGCTTTATTACCTGCTTGCCACACTTTATCCTTGGTGGCTCCCGTTAGAAGTGAATCACTGGACCAGGTGCCCTGTGGGCTGACCCAGCAAGGCCAGTTGGGTTTCCCCAACACACCTAGCCAAGTTTCAGAAACGTGTCACGTCAGAGTGCCAGAGTTCTGCAGATGGCTAAGCTTGGAACTGCAGCTTTTGATACTCCAGGGTTTCAACACAGGACTTTTTTTAAACCTGGGAGTGGCTCCAGCTAACTCCTGGAGCTTCTGAACCACCACCACCACCCCACCCCAACATTTTGGCTCTCTGTGTGTGGAGTCATAGAATCATAGGACTGAGTCAGAAGGGACCCAAAAGGTCCTATAGCCCAACTCTGTGGGGAAAGTGGGTTGGGTGTGCCAGTCTGTGTGTGCTGCACTCTTTACCTTCCTGCCCTGCCACCATCTCACCTCCTCCACCCCATCAATAGGAATAAAGAGGAGGCCAAAGTTCCAGAATCTGCATCATCGGATGAAGAAAACGAAGATGGAGACTTCACCGTCTATGAGTGCCCAGGCCTTGCTCCTGTGAGTGTTTCCTCTTCCACGCACCAGAGTGCCCTTGGCCCTCTGACAGCTTTTCTTACTCTTTCTGTGTGCTTCTTGATAACTAAGTTCTGCTTGTTTTATTGAGTACACACTCAAATTAGGATAGATTATTGTTGTTGCACTTAACCCACACCTCCAATCAGAGTTGGAAGTGGCCGGAGGTTCCTGCACTTACCCAGAGTTCAGTTTCCTTGGAAGAAGAATCAACAGAAACATTGGTGTCTTTAGGAAACATGGTTTTATTTACGGGTATATACAACCTGGGACGCGGGTGGCGCTGTGGGTTAAACCACAGAGCCTAGGACTTGCCGATCAGAAGGTCGGTGGTTCGAATCCCCGCGACGGGGTGAGTTCCCGTTGCTCGGTCCCTGCTCCTGCCAACCTAGCAGTTCGAAAGCATGTCAAAGTGCAAGTAGATAAATAAGTACCGCTCTGGCGGGAAGGTAAACGCCGTTTCCGTGCGCTGCTCTGGTTTGCCAGAAGTGGCTTAGTCATACTGGCCACATGACCCAGAAGCTGTACGCCGGCTCCCTCGGCCAGTAAAGCGAGATGAGCGCCGCAACCCCACAGTTGGCCACGACTGGACCTAATGGTCAGGGGTCCCTTTACCTTTACAACCTGAGCATAGGATGGAGGGGCTCACAGTATCGGTGCCCCAGCAGATCTTGCTACTTCATTAGGTTTCCAAGTCACAGCTTTGGGGTCCAGCGCAGAGCAAGGTGTGCCTCAGTCTCCCCAGCTTCCAGCATCAACCCTAACTCACTCACACAACTCTCAACCCCTCCCACTTAGCCTGTTGTCCTCAGGAAAGGCACACCTATTTGTCTCTATGGCAACAGAGCTCACTCTTTCAAGATGTGAATGATGAGTAGTACTTAGCTGACCTGCTAAGGCCATCACTATGAAAAAGAAACTGATTTGGCAGTTTCTCTTTTGTAGAACATAGCTGCACAGATAAAGGATTGCAGGTTTGGGAAGGAACCCCTGGTATCCTCCAGACTGAATTCACAGACTAATAATTATTAATACAGGTGATTCCTCAATTATATGAGGGTTGTGTTCCAGGGTTCCCTCATAAACCCTCAGTCCTCCATCCAGGCAAGCCAGAGCCAGGATTGCAGTTTAAGGACACCTTCCACCCAGGCAGAAGTCCTTGTGGAATGCGTAGAGCAGGACTGGTGAGGGGAATGGCCACAGAATAGGGGACTTGAACCCTTGGCTCCCTGGTCTGGTCTTCTAACCACACGCTGGCTCTTGAAGGGGAACGCCAAGTCTTGCTCTATTGTGAGAGAGCATTTCAGTTTTGTGTAAGAACTCTTGAGCTCTTCCAGCTGAACAGTGTAGGGCAGTAGATCTTTAAAAGAAAATGCTGAAAAAACTGGGGGTTGGGGGAGAAGATGACTAAAAATTCTTGAGGCAATTAATTTTTCCTGCTTTTCACATCTTCTCTCTTATCTCCCCCCCCCCCTCACCTGCGCCACCCTGGACTCAACGCAGACTGGCGAAATGGAAGTGAAGAACCCTCTTTTTGACGACTCCTCGCTGCACTCCCCACCCACCAAGTTGCACCCATGACCTCTGGCCGAGCATGTTGTGGACTGTGTCTGCCGAGCCTTATGTGTAGGAATGTCCCAACCTGCCGACATCCTCACTACCTAAAGAGAGAGTCTCCTTTGCAACACCTCCAGATGCCCGAATGTGCATCTCCCCTCCCCCCTCCCCACGCCAACAAATGAATCTCTGAAATGAATGCACATTATTGGCTTCTGGGGAGGGCGGGTGGGGGGGCTTCACTCTTCAGCTCTTCATTGCTACCACTGCAACCCCCAACTCCTCTTAGATACAACAACCTAGCACTATTTAGATGATTGGGCACATGAATTGTTTGGGGGGGGGGAGGAAATGCCTATTTGCTGTTTTGTTGACGGGGGTGGGGGCGGAGTGTGAGAGAAGGAAGGGGAGTCCCCTGACTTTTTCACCCACCCCCAAGCTCCTGCAAAGGGTCCTTGTCCTGGAGGCCAAGTCGTCTTGTCAGCCCTCAGAGCAAAAGCCCGAAATGAGAATCCACCCAGCATAAAATGCTATAAATCTTTTTTGAATCCAATGGTGTCATCCCTCCAATTTGTAATATATAAAAATACATGCGGATATACCTTGCAGTTCTTTATTTGAGCAGTATGGTTGGGGGATCGTGGCCCTTCCACCCCAACTTTCTGTATTTTGTGAAGATTGAAAGGGAAGTTTGACCCTCCTAGCCAATAGTACTCCTAGGACATTAAAATGCCCATTTTAAAGGTGGGAAGGGGGACAAACTAAGGCAGAAGGATAACGGCATTCATGATAGTGAAACAATTTCAAATCACTTCTGGGCTTTTCTCTGCCAGGCAGTTGGGTCCTCAGCTGTTGGGTTGTGATCTACAGCAAGGTCCAAACCCATCCTAGGATGAGTTATGGTCCCTTTGAGAAGCCTATCTACATGCCAAAAATAAAACGTTTTTAATGCCCCTTTAACACTCAGGATGTCTCCCTTCCAAATAAAACTGGGAATTGTAGTTTTAAGACTGCTGAGAACGCCAGAGGTTCCAGCTCTTCTGTGCAGAACTGTGGTTCACAAAATTTCGTTCATTATCATGGCCATGTTGTGGGATAAAGAAAATTGTGGAGGAAAGGGAGAGTTGACGCAAGTGGAACAGCTTTAAAACATAACAGTGCAATCCTGGGTGCATTTACCCAAAAGTAAGCTTTGCTGCACTGATGGGACTTTCTCCCAAGCTTGGGACTGTGCCCTTAAAGTCATCAAATCACTGTGCTTTAATTGTAGCACTGGGGGCAGGGAAAGCACTGCATCTGGTCTTCACAGATTGCCCCACCTGGTGCTGCAAGGGGGCAAGGGGTGGCCGTGGCAAAGATGCGTTCCCTTTAGAGTCTAGAGAACCCACCCTGCTAGCAAGAGGAAAAAGTTAAAGGCCCAGTTCAAAGGTGGCTGACTGGGCATTTCAGACTGCCAGGGGTAGGAGTGATCCAGCCTATGGGCTTTAGCAGGAACCAAATAAAACATACTGGTGTTCACAGGGGGTTCCTTGGGTTTAGGCGCAGTGGTTCTCAACCTGTGGGTCCCCAGATGATGTTGGACTACAACTCCCATCATCCCTGAGCTCTGGCCTTGCTAGTTAGGGGTGAGGGGAGTTGTAGTTCAACAACATCTGGGGACCCACAGGTGGAGAAAGGCTGGAGGGGGCTGCCAAACTGGCCAGTGCTGGGTGTCTGGGCGCTGGGTGTCCAGCGGTCAGGCCTGGACCAGGATGTTCTGAGGCAAAACAGAAAATCTGCCCCAGAGAGGAGCAGGTGGGAACGTGGATGTGGGGTGGTTGGGCAACAAGCAGAGGGGGAGGTGAGATGGGCGCTCCTCAGGAGCCCTGATCTGCCACCCATCCAAGCTGTCCCCACCCTGCTGCCTGAGGCGCCTGCCCCACTGAACCTCATGGGCAGACTGGCCCTGACAGCAGTGCAAATTTGCTGCCCCAAACATTGGCTTCTTTCCCTCTCTTTCACCACACAGTAGTGCTGACCTCCCTGTTTCTGCCCTAGTTGACAACAGGGGTGACAACTTCTGTTCTATTGCTTTTCTTCTACCCCACTAACCCCCAGTACCGCCAGGGCATCTAACTGACGAGGGATACCCCTGTCATTCTTTGTGATAAGTGAGAGATTATTGGCAGGGGGCTGGGTGGGTGGGTGTGTCCTTGGTAAGATCACTTTTGCAGCTAGTTCTGCCAAGAGCAGGTCCACTGTGGCTTCTGAAGCAGCTGGAGACCCCTTTGTTTTGTACGCAGGGGCTCCAGGTTAAAATCGCATAGCATTGTGGGTCCAGTAAGGCTGGGAGTGACCCACGTGCGAAGCCCTGGACAGCCCCTGCTGCCAGTCAGTGTAAGTCGTGCTGAGCTAGATGGAATCAGGGTCTGAGTCAACTGTTTCTGACAATCATTCCCCTGGGCTGCACAAGAACCAAAACGGAACTATTCCTCGTGGGTTTGGGGTGGAGCCAAGTGCTTCTAATAGTTCAAACCTCAACCCCTGATTTTTTTGCAGGGAGGGGATTTTCTAATGCTGATTCTGAGACACTTAAAAAAACCCAACAACAATTGAAAACACAATTTTTGAAAGTTTTCCCTCTCCTAATTTGCTGAACAGAGGAAGGATGAGGTTCCTAACTTTGGGGTAACTCCGTTGTTTTGCATTAAGAGAAGATTGGGGTGAGAGAGACCTCAGTTCATAGAGTAGCCTTTGTAAACCAGATGCATTGGACTACATGCTGGGATGGCTCAGTTGGTAGAGCATGAGACACTTAATCTCATGGTTGTAAGTTCGAGCCCCACCATAGGGTAAAATATTCCTGCATAAAGAGTTGAGCCTGGATAGATTCTTAAAATCAGACACGAGATAAAGAGAGCCTCATATATCCAAACCTGTTTTATGTTTTATTTCCCCTGGTCCGAAGGCATTCCTGAAAAACAACATCAGGAACCTATGGCCCTTTAAAATTTTGCCCCAGTCATGAGGTCTAGAAACTTGGGTTTCTTAATTTTATTTTAATGCTTAGCTGGTTGGCATGGGGAAGGAAGCAATGCTTGAAACAGGAGTGTACCTCTACAATTCTGACCCAAGGAACCTTGAATATCGTCTTACTCAAAGCCTTCTAAGACTCATGCTTCATTTGCGGTGCAGAGGCATTTAGGGAGCTTTGCCAAATGTGTATCTGAGGTTCAACACGTGTGTGTGTGTGTGTGTGTGTGTGTGTGTGTGTACACATATATAGCCATGTCTGTGGTTTCCTCCCACCTGCTATGGCTGCAGAGTCTGAGCCCGTGGAATGACAGACAAGATCTACCGGGAAAAGAGATGGCAAATTTATACAATTTTAAATGCACAAAATTGGAAGAGATCTGATGTTCCGCAACCTCTTTCCTTGGAAGCCCCTGTCACGAGAGAACCCACAGCTCCTTCTGTAGCTGCTGGACTGATGTTTAGTTCAGGTGTTTAAAATATACAGTTGCTGGTTATCCCTTGTATCCCTTGTACAGTGTAAGAGAGCCACACTGTTAAACTGCAGAAGGGATTGGAAATTGTCATGGAAATGTATTGATTGGGGGGGGGGGGGGGTTAGTATAAAGTTATCTGAAGGTAATACACCAAGAAAACCCGTGGGGTCTTATATGCAGCCTTCATTGATTTGAAGACTGCCTTTGATTCAATTTCACGACTCTGGGCCAATTTGAATACATCCAGTATAGATAAAAGATTATTATTTTTGATTAATGGCCTATATAAAGATACTGTGTTGTACGTAAGATCCTCCACAAATGGCCAACTCATAGGTCCTGTACCAGCCACCAAGGGGGTTAAACAAGGCTGCATTTTAGCCCCAGCTTTATTTAACCTATATATCAATGACATGGTTAACAGCTTGACATCTCCGGAGTTCCACGCTCCTAAATCGGCCACAAAACCAATCTCAGTGCTCTTATACGCTGATGATGCGGTCCTCCTATCCCGAACAAAAATAGGCCTTAAAAGGTTGATAGGAGAATTCTCAGCATATTGCAGAAGAGAACAGCTGGTGGTAAACTATCAGAAAACCAAAGTCACGGTTTTCGCAAGGAAACATATATTACATAGCTGGAGCACGGACAATCACCCAACAGAGCAGGTTAAAGCCTTTAAATACCTGGGCATAGTCTGAGGGTCAGCCATCTTCTGAATCTTAAAAAATCCCCCCCCCATGCCCCCATAGCATCTTTGGGACAGTCCCTTCTGCTTTCTATTGCTTGGCTTTGAATTTAGCAAAGTACTCTTTAACTTATTTCCCATCATGACAGCCCTGCAAAGTAGGGCACTGTCTCCAAGTTATAAGTTGCCTGAGGCTATACGGCTCGCTGGCGTTTGAACCCAGACTGAGTCTTAACTGTAGCTGTGGGGCACTCAGGTTCCTAAATCATAAAGTGAGAGAAGGAAGGGATCCTTGATTGTATGCTAACCTTTTTTTATAGCTCTACAGTATTAAATATCCTGAGCACACACACTGCTATTGAGAAGCCTCTGCATTCTACCTGCTCCTTGTTTTGACATGTGGAAAGAGCTTCAAAAGGTGCGCGCGCGCGCATGCGCGCGCACACACACACACACACACACACACACACACACACTGAGTCTTACTGGCTATGCCCAGGGTGGGGGGTGGAGATATCCAATTTCTCTGATTTATTTCTCTCTTCTTATTCTGTTACATGTGACTCCTCCAAACTAATTTCATTGTATGGACTGTGCTTAGTGTTACTTTAAAGAAGGGGAAGTTTTATTAAAGGACTAAATTTCAAACCAAATCTTGATTTCCTATTCCTTCTTAACCCACTCGCACTTATAAGATAAGCTGGTTTCTAGGTCTTTGGTTTAAAGGGCATATTTAAGGAAGTATGTTGGATTTCCATATTGGGGGGACTGGACTCTCTTCTGCCTTGATTTCGATTGCCAAGTGATCTTTGTGCCCAAGAGGAGTCTGGGAAATGATTACAGAGTGCACCTTTGGGTCATGTGAAGGCCTAGTGCCGACTATAATATACAGGATGCTTTTATCTAACCATTTTGAGCTCTTGGGGTATCGATGGAAACTGCTTGTGTCTTCTGCCATCGAGACATAGGTTGAGTTTCAGTATCAGATGAGGCAGGTTAGACACCTGGCCCAGGTAGCATCCGATGGGAACGTGGGCAGCAATGATGATGATGATGATTTCATATATTTTTAGCCTGCAGTTTGGGGCATTAATGCTTCAAAATGCAAATATTGCTGTAAAAATGTTGCATTCAAATAACAGCAGCAGTCATTTAAATTCTTTAAATATAACACCTGTACAGTTACCACTCAGATAAGGAATTTGGAGTTTAGGCAAAGCTGCGTTTTACCACTTGTCTTTGGCCTTTATACAGTCACCAGGTCACCATTGTGGGGGGATGAAGGCAACCACAGGAAGGAAACAAAGTTCACCTGAAGCTATCTGTGGTACTGCAACTCCTAACTTGCCTTGCGCAGTGATATCTGACTAATGTTATGGCCAGCCATAATGTAGATTTCCCTTCTCTGTCCAATGCCGCTAGCTGCTAATAATAATAAAAATTGTTTGTTTGTTTATTTCCTATCCCACCTTTTTCTCTGAGGAGTTTAAGCTGATACATATGGTTCCTCCCCACTCCTCATGTAATCCCCACAACCACCCCGTCTTTTAAAACAAGACTTTTCCCCCATACCATTGCCACAGTTCCCACTCCCTCCCCCCACTCACCCCTCTTTCCCTCCTCTCTTTTCTTCTTCCTTTTCCCATCCTTCCTCTTCCTCCTCTCTTTTTCTCTCCCCCCTCCCTCTCTCCATCCCCCCTCCCCCTCCCCCTCTCTTTAAAGGAAACATATACACACACTCATATCACCGTTGAGTGTGTATTACCGCTGATATTACTCTACTATCTCTCCTTCTCTCTCTTTCAACTCTCTTTTTGTCTCTCTTTCTCCCTTCTATTTTACTCCAATTTCCCTTCTCTCCCCCCCCCCGCCTCTCCCCCTTTTCTCCTTCTTCCCTTTTTCTCCCTTCACCCTTTATGTATAGCCTATTTGTCTGGTTCTGTTTCTGAACGCATTCCTAACCCCACCTTCCACCTTAACTGGACTCCAGTACCCCTTTTGTGTATATTCAACCCCCTCCTAAACACACATTTCCCCTCCCCACCCCCCACCCCCGATCTCTCGCATCTCTACCTGCTATCCCCCCTCCCTTTATATGAACTGTCTGTCCGTTAGTCTACCCATCTCTGCTTACCTGCCCTCCCGCTCTGGTGGCACCACTGAGGCAACTACGGAAACCCCAGAGAAGTTCTTAAAACACAGGCTAGAAGTGACACAAATGACCATCTAGTCCAAACGCTCTGTAAAAGCCACCAGTCAACAACGCCTGATCAGCTCAGCAACCCAACAGCACCCAGGAACCACCACAGCCACAACTCCTAACCACCACACGCCCTACTCCAAGAGGACGCCAAGCAGACCTGAAACCAAAACCATTTAATCACCACAACAACCCTGGGAGGCAGGTTAGGCTGAGAAGCAGCGACTTGGCCCCCCAAGGTCACCCAGTGAGTTCCACGGCTGAGTAGGCATTTGAACCCTGGTCTTTCAGGGATCACCAAGCCACGTGTTTTAGAGTACAGCACCAGTCATCACTAATAAATGACTTTGCTTGCTGGGGCTGATGGAAGTTTGAATGCAGCACATCTGGAGAGCTGCCCCTGAACTATATGCATCAATGGCTCTCCAGGGAGACATTCACCTGGAAAGCACAGGTATTCCCCAATCTGCATTTTCAAAGCACTCTCCCTTCAAAGCTCTCTTGAATATTTCTTTGCAGATACGATAATCTTTATTGTCATTGTCCCATACAGAACAACGAAATTGAAAAAATCTACATCAGACATTCACAAACCAACAAGCCTGCTATCCCAGCTATCCCAGCCTGGTTAACCCCCTAAAAACTCTGATATCCCATAACTGAATACAATATACTCCCAAAGAGACTACCTTACACTGCGTTTAAAACCAAAATCGCATTTGGATAGAAACTGTTTCTCAGGCGGCCGGTCCTAGTCTTTATAACCCTGGACCTTCTTCTAGAAGGCAGAAGCTGAAAGAGATCATTTCCGGGGTGCGCACTATCCTGCGCTATCTCTGCAGCTTTCTTATGACACCTGGAAGCATAGATTTGATCCAAGGTGGGAAGAGTGCACCCAATTATTCTCTCCACAGTCTTTACAACCTTGGACAGCACTTTTTCCCCTGACCGTGCAGCTCCCAAACCACACACAGCTTCACAACCCTTAAGAACTGTAGAACTTCTAGAAAACAATATTAAGACTGTCAAAAATGTATAACTTGCTCCTAGAATGGCGTACAAAGGATGAACAGGTTAAGTTGGTTATGATAAACTGGGCAAAGGAGAACAGAACTGAAATTCACAGCATGTTGTATGCTGAAAGAAAAATACACTGGTACCGCAGGCTACATACGCTTCAGGCTACATACGCTTCAGGTTACAGACTCCGCTAACCCAGAAATACTACCTCAGGTTAAGAACTTTGCTTCAGGATGAGAACAGAAATTGTGCTCTGGCGGCATGGCGGCAGCGGGAGGCCCCATTGGCTAAAGTGGTGCTTCAGGTTAAGAACAGTTTCAGGTTAAAAACAGACCTCTGGGTCAAATTAAGTACTTAACCCAAGGTACCACTATATGAAAATGACTCCTACTAAGTAATCTAAAATGTATAGAACAAGCTCCAATATTTGTTGGAAGTGTAAAGAAAAGGAGGGTACCTTTTATCATATGTGGTGGTCATGTAAGATAACAAAGTCTTTTGGGGAATTGATATACAATAAATTGAAAAAAATGTTTAAAATAACATTTGTCAAAAAGCCTAAAAAAAACCCTAAAGCTTTTTTACTAGGAATTACAGGTTCCGACATCCCAAAAGACCAGAAAATACTGTTTATGTATGCGACAACAGCTGCAAGGACGCTACTAGCCCAAAGATGGAAAGAACCAACAGTTCAGACTAGGAAAGAATGGCAAGCCAAACTGCTGGACTATGCAAAACTGACTTGGGAGACTCAAGAATCAAGAAGATAATGACTTTAAAAAAGAATGGGGAAAATTCGTAACTTACTGAGGAGGCCTTTGTAAACAAATAAAAACATTAGCTGGACTTGTAACTTGTAAAGAAACGAAAGACCTAGATAATTCAGAGAGATGAAAAACTGTGGAGAACATAATGATAGGTAGTCTTAGAAAAAATATTTTAAGGACCCATGCAGGGGATGAGGGGAAGTCACAAGATTCAGAGAATCTCATATATGGATATGCTAAAAGTTTTTTCCTCATTATTTTAAATTTGTTCTTGTAAAAAATAAAAAAATAAAATAAAAAATTAAAGAACTATAGGAGAAGTTTGTGCCCTGCGGGTTAGGATAGTCTAAGAGATAGTGACTGGTCCAAGGTCACCCAGTAAGCTTTATAGCTGAACAAGGATGAGAACATGGCTAGCCTAGCCAAACACCCTGAATCTCCACCAGCATCCCCACAACCCAGCCTGATGGGTTCCGATGTTTTGATCAAATAGATGTAAAGGTCTAGAGAGCTGAATAAAGCCCCAGCCAGCACAGGTATGCTCCCACCAGCCCCAGTCTCATAGGAATGATGGGCACTGTAGCCCCAAACAGCTGTAGGGCGCCATGTTGAGGAACACAGATCAGTTCTGTAGGGTTGGGAGATCTCTTTGGGAAGGGGTGGAACAGGTACTAGGGTCTTACATTTGGCTGCAGGCTCCTTTGAAGCTGCCAATAATCTGTTAATGTCCCATTTGTTTTGATGGATGCTTGAACTAAGAAGATATTTCCAGCCATTGGGTGGAGCAAGTGAACCATGCATTCTGCAATTGAATGTTACGGTTGGGGCTTCATACCACACCTAAGTCATACTGTAGGACTCCCTTCCATAAGGTGCAGCTTTGAAAAGAGTGTCCTCCCCCTTCCCCCTCCCCATTCTTAAAGGTAAAGGGACCCCTGACCATTAGGTCCACTCGTGGCCGACTCTGGGGTTGCGGTGCTCATCTCGCTTCATTGGCCGAGGGAGCTTGGCCAGCATGACTAAGCCGCTTCTGGTGAATCAGAGCAGCGCATGGAAATGCCCTTTACCTTCCCGCCGGAGCGGTGCCTATTTATCTACTTGCACTTTGACATGTTTTCGAACTGCTAGGTTGGCAGGAGCAGGGACCGAGCAACAGGAGCTCACCCCGTGGCGGGGATTCGAACCGCCAACCTTCTGATTGGCAAGTCCTAGGCTCTGTGGTTTAACCCACAGCGCCACCTGCGTCCCATCCCCATTCGATACGATACGATACGATACGATACCTTTATTGTCATTGTCCCTTGCGGAACAATGAAATTGAAAAACTACATAAAACTACTACAAAACTACATAAAACTACTACAAAACTACATAAAACATTCAAAACCCCCTAAAAACTCTAAAACCCCATTTTAAAATACACTATACTACAGAGACCCCTTACGCTGCGTTTAGAACCAGAATTGCATTAGCGTAGAAACTGTTTCTCAGGTGGCTAGTCCTGGCCTTTATAACCCTATACCTTCTTCCAGAAGGCAGAAGCTGGAAGAGATCATTTCCGGGGTGCATATATCATGTATTCTTATATATATCATGTATATCACTTATATATATCATGGACTATCATGTATTCTTATATATATATTCTTACTCCTTCATTAAATTATCTACCCATGGCTACAAGTCAACAAAGCATGGAGAAGCTACACAGAAGATTTTCTCCCTCATAGCACTAGAACTTGTGGCCGTCCAAGGAAGCTGATTGTTGGAAGATTTGGGACAGAGAAAAGAAAGTCCTTTTACATGCACCACACAGTTAAACTATGGCGATCACTCCCACAGGAAGCAACTGTGTCCGTGGAGATGGATGGCTCTAAAAGAGAACTGAGCAAATGTGATGAGGGATATTGATCAAAGGCTCCTGGCCACAATGGCTACGTTCTGCCTCCATTGTCTGAGACAACAATACTTCTGAATACCAGTTGCTGGAATGAGCCTCAGGACGGGAGAGAGTGCTGTTCACAGATCATGCTTGTGGGGTTTCCTAGAGGCAGCTGGCTGGCCAACAGGCGCCTCTAAGATGCTGGACTAGAGGGGCCACAGACCTGATCCAGCCTCAGGACTCTCTTTATGTTCGTATTGCTGCATGCCCCCTAGATTATTGGAGGCAGTACGTCAACTGCTGGAGTTCACAGTCAGGAGGCCAGTGTTGCGCTCATGCCTGACTTCATTATTTAATTCATTAAAATATCTACATCTTTCCTTCTGAGGAGCCCTACGTAGTTTACAGAATGAAATTCCAACTAGAAAACATTTACGTGTGAGTTTGAAATATATGTACAGCAAACAATAATCTATGGTACATCGGGGATGTATACAATACCTGAAACAGGCCCATAACCTTTCTGGGTAAAGTCTAAGCAAAGAAATGTGTTTTCAACAGTCTTCGGAAGTAGCCCAGCATGGGT